TGGATAGATAAATTAAGGAGAAAGAGAGAAGAAACTGAGTGAAAGAGTATGTGGAGGAGAGATAGAGAAAAATTGAGAGTGAAGTGATGAGAGAGGGAGAGAGAGAGAGAAAGAGGAAGAATGAAAGAAAAGTGGTAAAAGAAGACTGAAAGAGAGAGAGGTGTGTGTATAAACATAAAGGTAGGGAAACCTCACTTAAACCATTGTGAATACCCTGTAGATAGATAAATTAGGGAAAGAGAGAAAGAGAGAGAGAAAAAATGAGGGAGAGAGAAAAAACATAGAGAGTGTGTGGAGGAGAGATAAAGAAAAAGTGAGAGTGAGGTAGTGAGAGAGATTTATGAAAAGGTTACGGCATCATTAAAGGCAAACACTTCAAACAGTTGCTGTACATAAAGTGAATAAGTTTTTACTTATTGTGTTCTTATGCTGTCAAAAGTACAATTTAATTTTTTTCGACACCCTATAAAAAGATAAATTAGGGCGAGAGAGAGAAAAAAGGGGAAGAGAAGAAAAACGAGTGAAAGAGTATGTGGAGTAGAAATAGAGAAAACGTGAGAGTGAGATAGTGAAAGAGAGAGAGAGGAAAAAAAGGGGTAAAAGTGAGAGGAAGTCTAGGAGAGGGGTGTAGGAAGAATGAGAAGAAAGAAAATGTGTGGGAGCAACAGAGAGGATAGAGAGAAGAAGGAAGAAGAAAATAGAGCGGTTATGAAATAAAATGAGCGTGAGAGTGAGAATAGGAGAGATAGAAGTTATGAGAGAAGGCGCTGGAGAGAACTAAAGAGGGAGTGAGAATGTGTGTATGTGTGTGTTTTAATATTTTAGTAAAAAATGTAACTATTGAAATTTTTTAAAGTACAGCTTATCCTTAAACAGAACTGTTACTTTTTTAACACTAGATTTGGACGTAAAGCCTTGCCTGATGCCTCTTCTCCACGTTCCATTTTGAATACATCGATGTACGATAACGCCAGTCTATTGGTTCAAGGTTTTTAAATATAAAACAGTAAAACTACGGTTACGGGCTTCATCACATTAAATTAAATTAAAATTGTTAAAATCAAAAATTAAATTCATCAGCCAAATATTTTCGGTATTTGGGATGCGTCATTGAATAGGGCGGGCTTTCCAGTTTCTTCCGTTAACTTATCAATACATTCACCCTGTTCAATTTAATTTTCTACCAAGACCATATTATGTAAATAATATGAACAATATGTTGAGAAAATATAGGCGAGCAAGCATTTTGCCCCATTTAAGACATTTCCGTCCCAAAAATCGTACATGGAAGCCTACATAAATCAATATTCCCTACGATTTCAAAGAAATGTCGAAAGTCACTTTTGTACCGATTCGAAGGGATTTATGACAAACATTGATAAGTAAGGCAAATTTGTTAGAAAACCCTTTCTATTTGTATAACTGAACTAATATATTCGAATCGTTCTAACAATCTTCAGAACGACAAAATAACCGCTTTGTTCCACGATGTTGATAGAACTCGATTGCTACTCAACGGTCTCTTGCCGTATGGTATGTACCTATTAATTAAAAAATAAAAATCTATAGACGTCAAAGAAGTTGAAACCTCATGAACATTTCATATTAATTATCCGGAAATCGTGAGGTGCGGTCTGGTGTGATGTAGGTTTCAGAAAAACATTTTCTTTATCGTGCCAACGTTTCGATCTTTATTGAGTTCATCTTCAGGGCCTGGGATTTACAAACATTGTTTTAATTTAACAAATACATATAGGATGTGGAAAAAAGGGAATTTATACAATGCAAAAAAAAATTTTTTTATATTCAATCAAAGTATTTCTATTCACTCAAAGTGTTTGTTTTCTGCGTAAATTTTTTAATTATTTGTGTTCATTGAATAGAACACGTTCCTTGTAATTTGGTTCTATATCAAAAATAAAGACAAATACTTTTTACAATGATTCAGTTTAATGTAGATAACAATTACATTAACGCTGCGTATAAAATGTATTTAATAATCTATAAACTAGGAAAAGAAAGCAATATTTTCCCTTGTGAGGTTTCCACTTGTGATCTGCGGGGTGATGAGCTGTAATTTTGTCATTACTGATCATTCTGGCCCGTCTATCCTCGCTGAGTTGGTTTTTCCCTATTTCACCGTTTTCTGTGTGTCTGAAGAGATCAAAACAGCGAGAATAAGTTTTTGTAATGTGAATTTTACGCTGAGGTCTGCGAGTTGATGTAAAAGTAATTTTGTCGATCTTATCGATAACTTTGTCGCCATCTCGAATTTGGCCATCTTCAGATTTTATGAACTGGCAAGTTCGTTTAGTAAAGTGGGCCATAAAAAAATGACAATTTATGTATAGGGAAACGTAGCTCAAACACACTACCAAACACAACGAAATTCGAAACATACCGGCCCAGCGAGAATTGACAGATCAAAATGATCGGTAACGACCATTTTACAATGTTTACCTTGTTAGATTTAGTACCAACCAATTTAAAAGTATAAAGTGAGCGAGAGCACTTACTGAGGATTATCATAATGACAATTTGGCTGTAGTGCTTGGTAGCAGTTAAGAGGGCTTTTCTAGATGATATATCTCCCATATTTATTCATTAACATATTGATATACGGTAATTTGTACTAATCTTAATTGAACGCTTAATTATTTTAATGTGTAAATTGTGTGCTGTACCTGAGCGCACGCAAGTTCCGAGCTGCCATTATCTATAGTTGAACTAATTCACCATGTTTTTCTCACCCTCATAACTCTGTTTTCTCTTAAGATGGGCTTTTGAAATTTGAAACATAAATTAAACTTAGGTCATTTAAGACATTGTAAAAATTTGGGCACTTAATATTAAGCTTTTTCGAAAGGGGAGAATTTTCAAAGTTTCATTTTTGTAACTGACTATCTCACTGATCATCAAAATTATAAGGTATTTCCCGAATAGCTAGAAACGAGAAATTCCGTAAAAAGGTAGGTTTTATATAGCAAGAAGGAAAAAATTTGAAAAATTATAATTTTCTCAAAATTAGTGCCACTACTACACATTCCACTTTAAGGGTAGAGGGTATAGAATCACCTCAAAATTATAAATTACATCCCTTATAATAAGAAATGTGATATTTGGTACAAATGTAGGTCTTATAAGTAAAGGTAAGGATCTGAAAATTGTCATTTTCTTAAAATAAGTGCCGCCTTATGGGGGGAGGGGTGTCTCACCATCAAAATTATAAGGCTATTTCTGACTTTTTCTCTTTCTCTCTACTGTGGTTAAGTTATAAAAGGTTTTCAGATAAATTTCTTGTTCCCTCTCACATTCTCTTTCCCTTAAGTCCTCTCTCCTTTCTCTCTCACTTATCTTCTTTTCTCTCTCTTTACCTGTTTTTCTTATTCTCGCTCTCTCAACTGTGCTAGAAGTTATAAAAGGCCTTCAAGCTTTCCACTTTCTTTCTTCACTCACTTTCTTTCTTTTTCTGCCTCTCATTTCTCTCTCTCTCTCTCTCTCTCTCTCTCACACGTAAAGTTTTTAAAATTTTAAAAGTTCAAAAACCAAAATATCTTTATTGAAATTTAGGTACAAGTCTCAGATTTATGATAGGGATTCTAGGTTTGCAAACTCCAAAAGCAAAAAACCAAAACATTTAATAGGTCATTCTCAGTAATAGGTGCAATAAATTTTTCTAGAATCCCTGTACACATAAAACTATGAAAAAATATCATAGATTTCCAGAATAGCCTTAAAAATTACTTTTTATCAAGCTATGATTGATGATCAAAATTCACTGTCTTAAATTTAACTCTCTTTTTGTTATTACTATTTAGTGCCTAGAAGTTTTATCTCTAGATTTATATTGACAATTTATAATTCATGATCTATACTGAATTGTTTGAAAAAGTATTTTTGTTCACTTATTATGTTAGTAATTTACTTTCTAATTGCTCAATTATTCTGTAAACTAGTATATTTATTCGAGTAGTCAAATTGAAGTAAATATATATGTAGTTCAATGTAAAACGAATAGATGCTACATATTGACTACAAAAATCAGAAGTAATTTTAGAAGTAATTAATGTTTAATGAGTTAGAAATGGAGGAAACTTTACCTAACTTAAAGTAAGTAGTAGTAGTAGTAGTGTATTTCACATTAGATGTAAAAATGGTCCTTGAGACCAAATCTTGTGTGATGAATAAATGAAGTCATCTCATCATCTCTCTCGCTCTCTCTCTCTTTCTTTCTTACTCTCTCTCTCTCTCTCTCTCTCTCTCTTTCTCTCTCTCTCTCTCCCTCTCTCTCTGACTTTCTTTCTTTTTTTTTTAATCACTCACTCCGAGAAATATATTTCGATTTTCCACCTCGACAGAAGTGCTAAATCGTTTCCAAGTTGATAACGAAGGGTATGTTAACGCAACGCAAAAATGGTCCTTGAGACCAAATCTTGTGTGATGAATAAATGAAATCATCTCATCATCATCATCATCTCTCTCTTTCTTTCTTACTCTCTCTCTCTCTCTCTCTCTCTCTCTCTCTCTCTCTTTCTTTCTTTCTTTCTTTCTTTTTTTCTCACTCTCTCCGAGAAATATATTTCGCTTTTCCACCTCGACAGAAGTCCTAAATTGTTTCCAAGTTGATAACGAAGGGTATGTTAACGCCTTGTAACTCTCATTTATAATAAAATCAGTAAATGATTTAAGAATTGTATTAATCACTTTATGATAGTATATCTATAAATCTATTATTCTTAACCCGAAAGTCAAATTTAGTACGGCCTTTTTTAAAGATACTGTTTATGACAGTTAATCCCTAAGTCAAACAATCAATAAGTTTATAATAGTTGATGCCTTAAAATATATATTTTTATTATCGAGTAATAATTGAAAAGGTAAAGGAAATTTACAGAGGCAAATAATTATTTATAGTAAGATAAGGCGTGGTATAAGAGGTGTTTTGATTCGAAAAATGATACGGTTACGTAAGAGGCTTAGAAGGTAAGAGGGGGGAAAAGTTGTATACAAGAGATTCGAGGAACAGTGAGGAGCAAAGGGTGAACCGACATGTCAGAACTCGGAAGCGAAAACTGTGAGAAGATGAGCGAAGAAACCAGCACCAAAGCCGAAGTCTCGTCTAAGCCTTCGTCCAAATCGTCGAACGTAAGTAAGAAAGGGAAGAAGAAGAACGAAACGGAAGAAACGACTGAGAAATTGATCGAAGAAGCAGTAATGGAACCAGAGCAGAAAAACTCCGAAGAGTCTTTTAGCTCCACGGAGCTTAACAATTACATTACGCCAGATACTCCTTCCCCCGAACCAGCTAAAAATGAGACGGAAGAACAGACGATTTTTAAAGACGTACATGAAAGCTTGTCGGCATCTCCGGTAATTGAAAATGGCGAAGCTTATAACAAGAAAGAAGACAATGAAGACCCGAATGAAATACCGACTGCAGCGATAGCTTCTACTTCAAATAATACAGAAGAGGTAAACTTTTTCTGTTCTTTATTTCTTAAAATAAAACTGCTCTCTATGCCTAGTCATTCTTTCAAGAAATTATTGAAATCAAAGCCATGGTATGTAGAATATAATTTCACAAATGCTGCCATTTGCAAGTTACTACATGCACATCGGTCAATATATTTGACTGTTATTCATAAAGTCCACATCTTTTCCTTTTTTTAATATTTACAAAGGCTTCTTTATCTAGTACTTTAGAAGTTTCATACGCAAAAACTTCCATTTGTCAAAAAAATGAAATAATTTTATCCAATACGACAATAATTAATATACGTTTTGGTTGATCTAGTTCTAGATGTAGATTCGGATGAATTTAGCACACTGCACCTTTTGATATTTAGAATTTATTTTCAAAAATCTTGCCATTTGCAAGTTACTACATGCTCATCGGCCAATTTATTTGAATGTTATTCATAAAGTCCACATCTTTTCCTAATATTTACAAAGGCTTCTTTATCTAGTACTTTAGAAGTTTCATAAGAAAAAACTTCCAATTGTCGAAAAAATAATGTAATAATTTTATCCAATATGAAAAAAATTAATTCACGTTTTGGTTTGTGATCTAATTGTAGATGCAGATTCGGAAGAATTAAGCACATTGCACCCTTTGATATTTCTCGTACTGTATTTACAGCACAACAAAGTTTCCCAATATTCTCTTTAAAATTTCAAAAATCCTGCCATTTGCAAGTTACTACATGCTCATCGGTCGGTTTGACTATTGTTCACAAAGTCTACATCTTTTCCTTTTTTTAACATTTACAAAGGCTTCTTTATCTAGCACTTCAGAAGTTTCATACGCAAAAATTTCCATTTGTTAATAAAATAATGGAATATTTTCTCCTGAAATATTTGTAACTGCCCGTTGGACAGGTCTCCAAGCATTTCAAAATCATGTTTCATCCCTAATACCCTTTGGACTCTAGAAATGGTCAAATCCTAAGTAGGCTTATAGAACGTTTAATTTAGTTTTATATTTAATTATTATTCAACTTTTTCCATTTTAATTTCGTCTTTTTCATTCAATATTCGACTTTTCTCATTTGGATTTTCATTTTTCCGTTCATCGTTTCAAGTTTAGTTCAACTATTTGCATTTTAACTTAAATTTTTCCATTCAATATTCGATTTTTTTTCTATTTGAATTTCGGCTTTGCCATTTATTGTTTAACTTTTTCAGTTTTAATTTCCAGTTTTACATTTATTGTTCAACTTCAAGCCTTTTTTACATGTATTTGATTAAACTTAAAATTAGTTTAAACTTATTTAAACTTTTTTCCTAGTCATTCTAAACATTTGCAAAAATTGAACAGCAAATTTTACAATGTGCTTTTAATAAGCTAAAACAAATAAACAAGTTCATAAAAATACAGTAAAATAAAATATGGAAAGTTATAATAGAACTAATTAATTAATAATTACAAACACTATAATAATAAATACAAGTTTATAGTTAAATTTAAATTATAATTAAAAAAGTGCTATGGTTGTTAGTTTATAGCCATGAAAATTGATTTAAAAAAAATTTATTATCCGGTTCCAAATTTATTTAATTTTTTACTATCTTAAAAAATATTATACTTATTATTATAGTGTAAAATATTGAAAATAAAAGTAAAAATAGCTGTATATCAATACTACTTTGTCTCTTCCGAGACGAACTTTGTGTGAGATTGGCAGAAGAGATAGAGAGAGACACAGTGACAGGGGGAGAGAGAGATATTACATAATATCTATATAATAATTTTATTTATTTATTCAGTCATATTGTTGGCTTTTAAAAAATAATAAACTTAAAAAACATTATTTAACGATAAAAAGTAAAAAGTGAATTGTGAGATGATGTGTGCAACTGTAGTTTGATCGGGCTCGATCACATTGGCCCGTCTATTCTTGCAGTTTTTGTCTGTCTGACTCGTTTGGGACTCCGTCATCATCAAATTTGCAAGAAAAAGAAAAAAAAGGCAAAATCAGCGAGAATGGGCGGACCAAAGAGGCCGTGCTATGTACAAGATAAAAATTGTCCAGTTAGACAGAATTAACGCAAATTTTATTATTAGTGGATTCTTCATAAAAACTATTTTTTTAATGACTAAGCGTAAGCAAGAAAAGTTAAAGATTTATTTGTTTATTTTGTTTTACTTTTACTGTTTTAATAAATAGCTTCAATCTTTAAATTTAATTAATTAATTTAAAAAATAATTAATTAAGTTTAGATAAAAATGTGTTTGTTTTTTTGTGGGGGAATTTCTTGGTCCCACCCGAAAACTAAGAGAAAAATCGGCAAAAATTTCTCTCTTCATAAAAATTAATTTTTTAATTACTAAGCTTAAGCAACAAAAATTGAAGATTTATTTATCTATTTTCTTTTACATTTACCGTTTTAATAAATAGCTTCAATCATATCATTAAATTTAGATCAAAATTTGATTTTTTGGAGGGGAATTTTTTTGGGTTTTTAAAAGAGATCAATCATGACTAATTTTTAAGTAATTAGACCATAATTACATATCTTCAAATCCATAATATGATTTATTTAAAAGAATTCATAGGGATTTTATTTTATTTGTAATCTAAAAATGACAAATGGTAAAAAGGAATTACGACTCGGTTATCAGATGGTATCGGGCAACAGCAAGAACTGAAAATAGGATTAGTCATGCATGATCCAGTTTTATACACAACTTTAAGACTTTGGTCCAAGGGACGAATTAGCCACATCGGTACAACGCTTTAATTCTTACATAACAACAGAAAAACGGATTTAGTTAAACGTATTACGTAACAAAGCATACATAGTTTTACAGATACGCTGTTCAAAAGGTTTCCGATTTACCTGTTACGATTTTAATACAGATTAAGGCCCTATACTAAGTGTAAAATTATGTATAAGAACAATATTTTATTAACATAAAACTTTTTCTGGAGTCTTCTTGAAAAAAGCGCGCTTTGAATTTTAAAAAATTTCCACAGAAATATTTCATTTAGAATTAACCGACAAACGACTTGGGCGAACTTGAAATACTTCCGATATCCGATACTCCGGGAGAAATATCGATTTCAGCCGGACTTCGAGGGCTTTCTTGACAGCCAAGGTGGTAAACAGTAAGCGCGTACGGGAAACCAGACTTTGAAAAAAAAAAAGCTCTGTTACATAATGATAAGGTCGGGGTCCATTCCTGTCTATTTCCCAACATTTTCATCAGGGTTTCTGACCAGTGTCCCTCATCACGACAAAGAGATGCAGGTAAAAAAAAAACTCTAAAAATGTTATATTAATAACAATTTTTAAATAATTATCATATTGTTCAAAATCGATGGTCATTTAATTTCAGGGATTCATCTACAATTAGAAAATAAATTTCAGATATTGTCGAAAGTTCAACGCTTATTTTATAAAATTCTCAACTATTACAGAAACAAGCATTAATGTTTTTTCTCTCTTTCAATTTGCATAGTTTATCTGATAATAGTAAATCATCCCAAAAGCAATTACAGTTCATTCAATAACTACGGTTATTTCAAGCTTCAATGCTACTTACCTTTAAATGACATACTCAACATAAATATCACATAAAAATTGAAACTGTAATTAAAGTTGCATCTATCAAATAAACTTTTTTTATGGTAATAAAATATCAATTGCATAAGAGGGAGAATTTCATTTTTAAACTAATAAACCGTTAATTAATGTTTAAACAGGCATCAGCATGAGTGCACAAGCACGCACATAAGCACACATACTTATTTATCATCACACATGTTTTCTCCTCTTTCTTTCTCACTTCCACACACTCTCTTTCTCTTCTCTTCTCTTCTTTTTTTTGTTCTCTCTCCAAATATCTCTCTCGCATGGTCATAGGATCAACTAAACTCTGCATATAAAAATAAAACTTTATTTATTCATTCCCTATCTCTAGTATAATCTATCTATCAATTTATCTAGCTCTCCTACTTATCTATGTTTATTCTCTCTCTCTCTCTGTCTCTCTCTCTCCTCTCTTCTCTCATCTCTCTCTAACCATCTCCATCTCTCATTCTCTCAATCTCACAATCTCACTCACTATAGTCTTCTCAAGCATCTTATCTCACTATCTCACTCCTTACATACATACCTTCTCATATCTCTCTTTCTCTCTCTCTCTCTCTCTTCTCTCTTCTCTCTCTCATCTCTCTCTCTAATCATCTCCATCTCTCATTCTCTCAATCTCACTCACTATAGTCTTCTCAAGCATCTTATCTCACTGTCTCACTCCTTACATACATACCTTCCCATCTCTCTCTCTCTCTCTCTCTCTCTCTCTCTCTCTCTCTCTCTCTCTCTCTCTCTCTCTCTCTCTCTCCCTCCCTCCCTCCCTCTTCCTCTTTCCTTCTTTCTCTCCTCCCTTCTTTATCACATACTATCTCTCGTTCTTCTTTTCTATGTCTCTCCATTTCCTTTAAAAAAAAATGGTTGTAATTATCATTATTTTTACAATAACTGACGTTTTTCTGAACGATTTTCTAATGGTTTTTGCAATTTTTAATCATATCAAATGGACTTGACAAATCAATAAATGAAAATGTACTTTATTATTTGAAATATAAAAATTCCATTTATATTCAATTTCTCTGTAATATATTGTTTTACTAGACTATTTTCTGACTTAAAAAATAAAGAATTGCCACGTTTTATTGTAATTTTTCTCTCTTTTCGAATTAAAAATAATTACTAAAGGTACACTTATTTGGTAAGATTTTCGATTATTCATAATTGCATGTTAATTTTTTGATTAGTATGTTTTTTGAAGCATGATGTCAGCCTAATACTGCCCCCTCTATTTTTATCTATGTGTTTACGTACTTGACGATTTTACAAATGAAAATATAGTTTATGATTCGAAAACAAAAATTTCGTTTTTTTAATTGATAAATGTAATTATTGCAATGTTTGTAAGTTTACTTATGCTAAAAAAATAGTTTTTAATTTTTTGCCTAGGTTGAGTAGTTTTTGACAAAAACCAAGGGTTACACTAGTATATTGACACCACGTAATCGTTTAAGCGTCTTGTGGCAATTAGTGGCTGCAGTGCTTTCTCTTTTCATCATTATAACCTTGAATTTTATTAGTTTCAACTGTCCTTCACAATCTGAAAGGGCTTAACGAACTTATTATATATTGAAGAAGCTTTTAAGAGACTCGTCACGTTTAGTTTTAATTTATACATAGTTTAGAACCTGTCTACAATCTTGAACGATAATAATAATCTTGCTGTTTAAATAATACTCAATCATATTATAATAAAAAAAAGAGAAAATTTGAGTCAAATTCCACAGAATGGATAATGTGTATGCATTTGTTAAAATCAGTTCTTTGTTGTTCGTAGTCGACCGGAGGGCAGAAAAAGGAGTGTCTGTTTAAAATCATCGTCATTGGAGAACTCGGCTCTGGAAAGACGTCCTTCATAAAAAGATATGTCCACCAGTTCTTCTCGCAGCACTACAGAGCAACAATCGGTGTCGACTTCGCGCTCAAAGTCATCAACTGGGACCCTAACACGACCATCCGCCTCCAACTGTGGGACATCGCAGGTGAGCATCAAACAAAACCAGACTCAGTCAACCTTTGCCTTTTTTAGCAGGGAAAACAGATTAACTATTTATAACATTAAGATCGTGATATTCGTTCGGTCGATATATATATTTAAAATATTTCCTTCTTCAGATTTCAGATAAGCGATTGACCCTTTTTATCGCGTGTAAACAAGATATCTATTTCCTAATAGATTAAGGTACTCACTTATTACACAGATCAGTATAATCAGGTTTGATTCAAGCAATAGGGAAAAAAAGAAATAATTTATTTGCTTTTATCTAATAATATAATAAATAAATAATAAATAATAATAAATATTTTAATTAATAATGTTTTTATTTTATTTATTCCATTATATTTCGTGGTCCGATTGACCAAATAACATCTTTTAATTAATCTTTATGTAAGGTATTGGTTGAAATGAAAAAACTAGTGTCACGAGCGGAATTCGAACCCGCGACCTTCGGCTAAATACGCCGCTGCTCTACCACTTGAACTATCGTGACTTCATTCCACTCGGACCACCAACTTCCCATCTCAACCTGCCTTTAGAATTTTCTCTCCTTTTTGCTATTTTATTTAATAATTTACTTACTCTTTCTGTACTAATTACTTTCATTGATTTACGTATGAAAAATCAATTCTGATAACTTTGTTTTTAAATAATTATTTGATTATAAATCAATTGACATTTTAACTTAATTTGTAAATATATGTGTGGATTCGACCATCGACCAATTGAATGATTTATACACACTTCATCTAATACGAAAAAAAAGTAATATACGTTTTGGTTTGTGATATAGATGTAGATGTAGATTCAGGTGAATTTAGCACACTGCACCCTTTGATATTTACAGCACTACGAAGCGTCCCAGTACCTCGAGGGATTTGATTATCAGGCCCGATTTTAGTTATTGTAGTCCTGTTATGCTTTATGTTATACTTCCCTAAGCATCTTTTCCTGCGGTGTGTGGTAATTGCCTGTGCGTTGGGGTCTCTTCTGCCTGTACGCAGAATCTGCGCGTGACGATTTCCCAAGTACTCCGCTTTCTTTGATGCATTCTGTAGTTTCTTTACTTTTAAAATTTTCCGGGAGATTTTTGGGTGTTTTATGTCCAGTAGTAAATTTTTCTTCTTTTCCTTTCACCATGTCTTATTTTTTAAGAAGCTAGTTGGTATTATGGTCTATAGGACTATAAGGTTCAGGACTTAACAGAAGTGTAGCCCCTTCTTGCCTCACTCTTGCCTGTTCAGAAACCTGCTAGGGTATGATTTTGTTTTTTGCCTAACCTTTCTGGTTTGCTTTTGCAGTGCAGCTATTTTTGTTTGAACTTAATGCTCTGATGGCTTCGACGATCCGACATGATAGCTCTGTTTAAATCTCTCGATTGCAGATTTCGGCGGTGTACATACCTTTGGGCTCTGAATATCCGGTTTGGGGTGAAATAATCCTGCCTCTGTACCCTGCACCTTCTTGAGCAGTTGAAAGCAGTGAACCAACAAATATACAGTATTTTGTCAATTGGTTTATTTTAAAGTGCAAAATACCTCAGACTTCATTGAATGTGGTTAAATGCTGAAATAAATCTGACAGATAAAAGCAGTTAGAATATACGAAGAATGATCGAAGAGATGATATCAACGTACCTGTTGATCAGACCTCAACATAATACAATTTTTACTTCTTGTTTCACTCAGTAACAATTCAGTTTCTTTATGGGTGGGTGCTTGGATATCCTACATGAAGCTATTGGTTTTATATCCTCTTTTTTCTATAGAGTACATTTCTCAATTGCGTGGATTTGCCTGTTGTTTTTTCTTTTCCCACTCCTTTTTGGTATTGCTACGTCCTGTCGCCCTGTATGGAATGAAAATGTGGATTGCCTAGAGGATTGTTTGCTGTTTTCCATTCTTTCTTTTGTTTGTCTTTTACATGTTTTGGACCGGCAAAATTCCCCACGAAAGATGGCGCAAAGCCAAATTGCGTTTGAGAAACATCAAAAAACGGATGGACCCAGTGTGCCAGTTCAAAATATATTCACCTACTCGCAGGCAAACATCCAACATCAACTTTTACATGTTTCTCCACTTTCCAATAAATGCGGCCCGGAAAGAGCGTACTTAGAAGAAGTATCGCTTTTTGCTTTTCATATTTCGTGTAACTTACGTCTGTTTTCTTCAGGGAAGTGTTAATGAATATCTACTCTGTCTTTTGCTAATGCTTTAGGTAGTCGGCCTACTACCTAGCTGAAGAGATCCTCAAAACCTACGAAAACTATCTCTCTTTACTCTGCGGATGATATTGTTGTTATCACTAGTAGTTTGAAGTTTTTTACTTATTGAAGACTTTAACTGATATTGGCTCTCAGTTTACAGTTCTTTGGTTTCCTTCACAAGGCAGCATTATATTCATATGCATGAATTATAGATTCTGAGAGTTCTGTAACTTCAATTTCCAGTTCATTGCAGGTTTTTAGTTTACTGTTGCAAGGTCCAGGCTTCATTACTTCTGTGAACGAGGGTTTCTGTACAGGGTTTTCTTTATAATTCTATGATCTGACGTTCTTATCAGGTGTAGAACACAGCTGCAGTTGGTTATGTCCAGCACTTGTTGTCTCACTTTATTGACATGAAGGATGTCTAATTTCTTCTTAAACAAAAATTTTAGAAGTCACATCTAGTGTTTCAATGTCCCCATGCTGCGAGATGAGCCGCACATCATTCTTTCTAAGTAGTGTGCCAGTCTTCGTAATTCCTCTGGAGGTCCTTCTCTTCTGGAAAACATGCTGTTGCAACTGAGTTGTACTTTGATGAGGCTAGATCGTTTGACATGAATTTTGTTAGACAAAATTAATTAGTGATTTTCCTAATTAGAATTCATGCAAGCGAATTTTCCTTTAGATTTCTTATTATCTGCTCTGACTTGCATACATGTTTGAATTTATAGGGGGGGGGTGGTATAAGTTGCAGGTAATTTTGTGGCTCATGCTTCAATTTTGTTAGCAATTTTTTAAAAAATTTTATCGATATTTTTTCTTTATTTCAGGACAAGAAAGATTTGGAAACATGACGAGGGTGTACTACAAAGAAGCAGTTGGCGCATTTATAGTTTTCGACGTGACAAGAGTAGGCACATTCGACGCAGTCACCAAGTGGAAGCAGGATCTGGATGCCAAAGTGCAGCTTCCCGACGGAAGCCCAATTCCTTGCATTTTATTGGCCAATAAAGTAATTTGACAAAAAAACCACACCTTTCTGATCCGATTGAATGTTATTTTTTAAATTTATAATCCGTTTTGATACTGTCCGCAGTGCGATCAAGCTAAAGAAGGACCCGTCAACATTCCTGGCAGATTGAAAGAGTTCTGCGAAGAGCACAAATTCGCCACCTACTTCGAAACGTCCGCCAAGGAGAACATCAACGTCGACGAGGCTGCCAAATTTTTAGTCGAATTGGTATGTATTTAAAATCCAACATTGCATTTTCAAATTTTTTTTTGGTATGCGGAAACTTGTTCAGAAAGGGAAAATTTACTTCATTTTTTAAGTTACGCTAAACTGGTACTGGGTCACTTTCAGGGTGCGTCTTTAGTCTCTGGTTTGTTCGTCGACCCAATAAGTGACCCAATGTTCAGAATAAGTTCAACGATTCTCAGACCAACACCCAACATCAATATTCCATAACTAGTTGATTCCTTTATGTAATAATTCATCAGCAGTATCAACCACTTTCAAGGATTTCTCTAGCTAGACTATTTTTTAGTTTCATTACATTCTTTTTCTAACAAATTAGTGCCATCAGAGACAATCCCGTGTTAATCTTTTGCTTAAGTGATTCAAGATGTTTATGACCCATCTTTTTCGTTTTCAGATTTTACGCAACGACAGGTCTAGGGACAATGGTACCGTTGAACAAGATCCAGGACGATTTCGGCTAGACAGCGCGAGGACCGCGGAAAATAAGAAAGGAGGTTGTAATACCTGCTGAGTTGACTTTGTTATTCCTAATAAAAAAAGACGAACATAGTTCAATTATAAACCTAAGATGTCGCTCAATGTTAAACGAAGATTGATTATCCGCATGAACTGGATGACGGGAGGATTTCAAAAATCCCCTCGTAGAAGGTTCGCGATAATTATTACTGATTTATATTATTTATTTTAAACTTGTTGAATTGATGTTATATATATTATTTATTATAATTTATGCGTCGAATTCACTGTAAATTTGGTTTCTTGTGTGTATAAAGCGTATAATTGGATGTTAGAAAAACGCATAGTCTTTTTTATAAATGTTAAGTAGAGAATAAGTGAGCTTTCATTGTTGTTATAGCATCAAATGGTTTTTATTGTAAATACTTGAAAAAAATTAATGAATTGTTTACATTTTACTATATTTATTTTAATAATGTTTGAAAAACAAACCATAGCTATATTGTATATGTAAAAAAAAATATTTGTAAAACGTTCACTATTTTAAATAAATTGTAATAACATTTTATATTTTTATTACTCAATTTTCACTGTTGATACCTAAACTTACGCACTAAAAAAAGGACAAAAGAAATAGCATGATGATCTGTAAATGTAAAATTTCTGGATGATAGAAACATCCCTCTAGGTATATATCTGAGGATAGACAGATAGGAATAGAACAGACAGACAGCATTTTACGAGAGTTCATCTCGAGATTGAACTATTTGTTGTCCCTATAAAAAATATAAAATAATTATCGTAATAAATTATGTAATAGGATAATAAATATAAAAAGAAACTTGACACTTCAATAAGTGTATACATCAAAATTGTGTAATGGAGTGAGTTTGAGTGGCAGCGTGAGCATGTATGCATGTCTATGAAAAGAGAAAAGAAGACAAACAGTCTGGCATTATAGGTAGATAGATTTGGAGAGAGAAAGAGAGGGTCTTCAACAAAAAGACAGAAAGTGACAGATAGGTGAACACACAGACAGACAAATATTTACAAAAAGAGATACTGAAAATTAGGTAGAGAGAGAGAGAGAGAGAGAGAAAATGAATTCATAAAATATTATTTATTGTCGAAGTAGTTCGCCTAATTTGACCACTCTTCATCCAACGAGTAGAGAAAGAGAATGAGTGAGAAAGGGTGCGGAAGAGGGATAGAGAGGAAGTGAGAGGTCATAATGGGTTACTCATTTATTTTTACATTTTCAATACTACGTATGAAATTCTAGCATATTCGTAAACCTTTTTTTATATAGAATGTGATAACTAAGTCAGCTAAATTAGAGAAAGAAAAAGTCGTAGAGAAAGTAAAGAAAGTGATAAGGAGAGAAAATGAGACTTAGAGTAAATGAGGGGAATAGACATAGAATAAAAGGGAGGGAGGGAAAAGAAGGTTAAAAGAGAGAGGAATGAAAAATGAGAGATAGAAAGAGTGACAAATAAAAAGAAAGAGAACGAATGAGTGAAAGAAAGGAAAAAAGAAGGAGAGTGTGAGATATAAAAAACTAAAAGAAAGATAGAGAGCGTAATAGAGAGAAGAATGAAAAAGAGAGAATGTAACAGGGAAGAAGAGATGGAAAGAAAAGGAAAAGGAGATAGGAATGAGAATTGAAAGGAACAAATAAGGTCAAAAAGAAAGCAAGAGAAAAAAAATGAGTGAAATAAAGGGGGAAAAATTAAGGTGTGGAGGAAGAAAGATAAATTCAGTGGTGGGAAATGAAGAAAGAATGGCCGAGCGCGAGTGATAAAAAGAGGTAGTAAGAAAGAAATACTAAGAAAAAAGAGGTAAAGAGGACAATGAGATAACATAATAGTAAGCGAGACATAGAACGAAAGTACGAAGACAGAGACATGACAGAAAGATGTGACTAACATATATCACAGATGTATACAAAGATACATATAAATAGAGATAAGAAAGGATTGCTAGAGAAAGAAAAAAGGGAGAAATAGAAAAAGAAATTGAAAGAAAGAGAGGGAGACAAACATAGATTTCTTTAGATAAAAAATAAAAAGAATGAGAGAGAGAGAGAGAGAGATAAAAGAGAAAGAAAGAGACGTACACACATAGACATAGTAAGAAGAATGAGAAATTTACGAACGAACTTGATACTTTCATTCCCTACCCTACCCTCATGATATTGCGATATTTTACTGTTGACTTTAAAGTTAAGTTCTACATATTTTACAAATAACAAAATTCACACCGATGTTGAAAAATAATAAGTTGCCCTGCCAACATCTCTCTATATCTATCATGGACAGTCATTAGTTTCGGAAAATAGTTCCAAAACGAACAGTAAGTGTAAAATGTGAGATTATTGTTTTTAGTCTCAATTTAAATGTTTTCAAATTCAGGTATATTGTTTTATGTATAATTGAGTCAAATTTAAAGTTTCGCATTTGTTAATCCTGTTTTTCCGAACTGTCGTTCATTAAATCTTGAAATTAACTAATAAATTAAGCCATCTAAGACAAATTCCAAGAAGATGAAGATGAAGGGCTTCATTATTTTAAAACGGCGACAGTTTTCATCGTCAGAAAAAATTAAAATGCTAATTTTTAACCAAATTCATTAAACAACTAATAACAAAAAAAGCAACTAAAGTTTCATAATGAACACAAATCCACTTAGTAGACGACCAGCTCGAATCTAGATCCTCATCTTTTTGAAACGGGTGTCACCCCAGGACGTTTGTTACATAACTTCCATCGGAAATATTCCAAAAGTTGAAAGACCAGGCTAGTTCCAACCGACCACCCCTTCACGTAACACCCGTTCAAGTCTCCAGGTAAACAAAAATTAAACGTACGGCAGATCAATATTAAATTCACTGCCAATCCTTGCTCAGCAGAAATTCATTAAGAATTTTGTAAGTATCAATTCCTTCAATGTTACAAAAATTGTATTTACAATTACAAAAAAGATATATTCAGTACAGTTAACTATCCACAATATTTAATAGCCGTTGAGTTGGGTTATTAATTATTTAAACTATTGGGTATTTAATTAATATTAGTTATTTTTCCACTCAAAATTCAATATAATTTAAGTTTAATCAAATCAGCAGGTGTATACGTATGAACATCAACAACATCTGAAGCAAGTACGTATAAAAATAGAGGGGTAAATCTTTATTTCGTTTATAATTGTTGACAAAATATTCGCTTATTTCAAAACCTTAATGGTTAAATGATTTCTAATTATCATTTTTTTCTAAAATTAATTACTGTATTTTTTGGTCTTTTCACAATTTGTTATAAACTAAATTTTTAAATCAAAACTTCCTTTTTTTGCCAATTAGTTTCCATATATGAAATCCTTCACCAGTGGAAAAACAAACAAAAATACCACATTATTGAACGATAGATACAGTAAAGTTGGTTGTTTTCTTATATGTATATATGAAGTATCAGCTTTTCGGTAATAACATTTTTATACACTTGAAATAGCAAGAGCGATAGATATAAAATATAAAGGACGAAAGAGAGAGAGAGAGAGAGAGAGAGAGAGAGAGAGAGAGAGAGATTGTAAGAAGATTGAGCGTGAAATTGAGAATATAATTAGAAGGAGAATGAGAGCCAGTGGGAGGGAGATAAGAGAGAGAAAGACAGATGGACCGAGAGACAGTGAGAGAGATGACATTGATGCACCACAAAAATCTAAATATCTTCTCATTGAATAATAGAATTCTCATTGAATAATTTTATGAAAAATACAGAATAAATCAAATAGAACATTTCTAAAGGAAATTATTAAAACTTGTATATACGTATATTATTGTTTATATTTGAACATGACCATTTATGGAATATAATATTCTCATTTGGCTAACTATTTTGGCAGGTATTCTTTATTAATTGTTATATAAATATTGTCACTTTGCATCGAACCGAATGATTTTGTTAATCGACGTTAGGAAAAAACTTCATTAAACAATTTTAATTTCTTGGGAAACTTTAATAAATGCAGCCGAGGGCGACCTGGTTACTGTCGTCACATCCTTGAACGCGAGAAAAGTTACTACCTATGGCTTAAATACGATATGAGGATGACCGTGTATGCCTTCCTTTAATACGTTTTATTTTATTTTTTTAATATCTATTAAGTAAGGTTCTTCTTTCGAGGCAAATATATATGACAATTTAGATCGATAATAGATAAAGATGGAGAGAGAGAAAGACAGAAGAAAAAGAGAGAGAGAGAGAGAGAGAGAGAGAAAGAGAGAGAGAGAGATTGTAAGGAGATTGAGCGTGAAAGTGAGAATATAATTAGAAGGAGAAGGAGAATGAGAGCCAGCGGGAGGGAGAGAAAGAGAGATGGACCGAGAGACAGTGGGAGGGAGATATGAGAGAGAAAGAGAGATGGACCGAGAGACAATGGGAGAGAAATAAGAAAGAGCGAGAAAGACAGGTGGACAGAGAGACGTTGGGAAGGTTATAAGAAAGAGAGAGAGAGAGAGAGAGAGAGAGAGAGAGAGAGAGAGAGATTGCAAGAAGATTGAGCGTGAAAGTGAGAATATAATTAGAAGGAGAATGAGAGCCAGTGGGAGGGAGATAAGAGAGAGAAAGACAGATGGACCGAGAGACAGTGGGAGGGAGATAAGAGAGGGAGAGAGAGAGATAGACAGAGAGACAGTGGGAGGGAGATAAGAGAGATGGACAGAAAGGGAGAGAGAAAAGAGAGAAAAAGAGAGATGGACTGAGAGACAGTGGGGGAGGGATAAGGAGAGAGAGAGATGGGCAGAGAGACAGTGGGAAGGAAATAAAAGAGGGAGAGAGAGAGACTGTAAGAAGATTGAGCGTGAGCGTGAAAGTGAGAATACAATTAGGAGATGGAGAATGAGAGCCAGTAGGAGGGAAATAAGAGAGAGAAGAAAGATGGACAGAAAGAAAGTGGGAGGGATATAACAGATGAGTAGAGAGGCAGTGGGCGGGAGAGGAGAGAGAGAGAGAGAGTGAGAGAGTGTGTGTGTGTGTGTGTGTGAAGTGGGTGAGAATTGAGAGAAAGCCGGCATGAATTTGTGCGTGTGTGCGATGTTTTGTCATTAATCTTATTATTTAATAAACTATTGTCCCTCGCTCTTGAGAAAAAAGGTATCGGTCTGTTTTACCGTTGGTTCCTTTGAAAATAAATCTATAAGTACCAGCAAATCAATTATAAAACCGTATATAGAATTATATTTTCCGAGGGGTTCAAATTTAGGCGTAATCTCGGTTCTGACGACCAGGTTCTTCTTCGGCCAAGAAGTGACACCGCTTTTTGTCTTGTCATCAAAGGCTCCAAAAGGACAACTTCATGACGAGATCATCACATAATTCCGGCCGTGTATTGTGTTTTGCCCGACATCATCGGTGTCGTTTATTTTTTTTTAAATAAATCCCGCCTATAAAAAAAACTGTTAATAGATATTTTTATTACCTGCCTTGTGAAACAGAGATTTAATAATACTCAAATTAAAACATAATGCAAACTTTTGTTCACGTTATTTAGATTTGTTGAACGATCTTTTGATTTTTACTTTGATGATTTCAGTTATAAAAATGGGTAAAGATGCTAATGAAAATAAACAGAAGAAAGGGCTTACCCTCTCCTGGCACAATTTATCCGTCTGGGTGGAGAAAAAAGACGAAGATAAAAGTAATTGGTTCAAAGTCCGATACTACGATTGTAAAATATTAAGAAAAGGTATTTATGGTATAAGAAAAACGTAAAAACCAATTTATAGCTGAAATGGATAACTTTCAGTGAGCGGGATTGCTAAACCTGGAGAGCTGATGAGCATAATGGGTCCAAGGTAAAAAGAAGTGTTAGTTAAAAGTATTTTATTTCACTTGGTGAAATCTGAGTAGAATCTGTCTCCTGTTGCTGTTTTTTTCTGTCTAATCAGACAGGCACAATTTGTAAATGGGATGAACATGCCTCTCCCTGCTTATACCCCTGACTGAAGATAATGACATACTTAAAATGTAATAATAGCCAGACAGGAAGGTAGGAGATTATCAAGCTACAGATTCATCACCTATCAGACCACACTGAACAATATTTCAGAATATTTATAAAAATAAACAAACAAAAATTGAAAACAGTATCCTATAAAAGGAAATTTTACAAATCTACTAATTATGTATATCATTTTTTCAAAAATGACTTTTTATTGTTTCAGCGGTGCTGGTAAAACAACATTATTAGCCACTATTTCACAACGTCTCATCGGTAGATTACAATCCCCATGAATTACAAGGCCTATATGAATTACATTTAAATAAAAACAATTGTACTTTCAGGTGGAGTCAAAGGGAAAATATTAGTTAATGGGAAAAAAATCGATAAAGAGTTGATGTTGAAAATATCCGGTTTTGTGGCTCAACATGATCTAGCTACTGAAATTCTTACCGTATATGAGCATCTTCAGTTTATGGTAAATATTAAATATATTATTTTAAAACTTAGCTAGTTCTGATGTAAATATGACCATATTTAATTAATTACATTGAATGTAAACCTAATGTTGATTCTATCTTCTACCACCTTCTAATTTTGCATTTTGATTGAAAATTTTCTGAATATTCTCAATGGGCTTGTCTGTCAGATGCATGTCAGCATTTTTCACACAATGAAGATCCTGAAACACGTTTAACATATCATTCCGCAAAGATAGGCAGCTCAAAATTATTGGGAACAACCAAATTTATACTGTCAATGGTTAAAATATATTATTTTTTAGGCCAGATTAAAGTTACATAGGCATTTAACAAATGAGGAAAGAACACTACGAATTTTATCAATGATTTCAGAAATGGGTCTAGTTGACATCAAGTATTCTAGACTCTCAAATATCTCAGGAGGAGAGAAAAAACGCGTTTCTATGGCAGTACAGGTATATTCTATCAAATGCTTCTATTTATTATTTATTAAAAATATTAATTGGATATTTATACTTGATTCAGCTTCTGACTGATCCATCGATTCTGTTCTGCGATGAACCTACAACAGGGTTGGACAGTTTCAGCGCTTTTTCTATAGTCGAACAATTAAGAAGAATAGCAGCCACTGGGAAAGCCATAATCTGCACCATTCACCAGCCGGCATCCGGCATGTTTGAAATGTTTGACCACATTTACTTTTTAGTCGCAGGCGGAAGAGTGTCCTTAGACTGTAATGTAACCGAAGCCGCTGAATACCTGAGAAAGTGAGCAAAAATATCTTTTCGTTTTATAAATTGTAAATTAAATCATATATTTTTCCAGCGTCGGGATTGTGTGCCCTCCAAGCTACAATTTTGCAGAATTTCTTGTCTCAAAACTAGCAATAGGTGATGATGCAGAAAGCCAAATAAGAGTCAACAAATTGTGCCGATATTACAGAGAGTCTAAAGATTATGAAAATCTTCTCAAAAACCTGGAAATCGAACAGTCATATGGGAGAGAAATAATGATAACTGAAACGCCAGTCAAATTCACTGATTCAATATGCAAAGTAAAAGTTTTACGTCAAATTAGTGATTTAAATATAATGCCTTTTTATTATTTTTAGCCTTCGAGCGATTTTGGAAAATACTTAGCAATGTATGGATTGAAAGGGTATGTTACATTTTTTATTTAAAAATCCTAACTCATTTGTCTGATAGGAAGAGGCCTAAACACAGCACTCAACTTTCATGGCTACTTTGGAGAGCGTCGTTAGAACTGATCAGAAAACCACAACAGCATATTTTACGATTTGCTTTATACCTGGTATAAAATAATTTGTTTCTGAAGAAATAAGACGCTAGATCAAATGGGAATTTATTTTTTAGCTAATGGCATTAGTTATATCGACACCTTACACAGAGATTAACGTAGACCAAGAAGGAATTCAGAATATTCAAGGATTCCTCTACCTTGTTATAGTGGAAACAACATTCACTTTTACTTACAGCGTAGTTCATACTTTTCCTGCTGAATTGGCAGTAATGATGAGAGAAGTTGGAAATGGAATTTATTCCCCTGGGCCTTATTATATATCAAAACTTATAATGCTTGTAAAATAATTGTTTATTTACTTTGTACATTATTTTACTATTAAAAATTAATTTTAATTTTTTTTTATGCTTAGCTTCCAAGGGCTGTAATTGAACCTGCATTTTTTTCAATCATTACTTTTTGCATACCGGGTTTATTCGGCGGTTTGATGGGTTTCTTCCTTTTCTGCATTCCTGTCATCATGTGCTCAATTGCTGCAACGTCATATGGTAAATGGTAATAATTAATAGCCAATGCAATGAAAAAAATTATTTTAATTATGTTTTAGGATGCTTGATATCATCAGTTTTTGACAATATTGAAAAAGGGTCAATGTTTTCAGTGCCTTACGAGCAAGTGGCACTTCTTTTCTGTGGGATATACCTTTCTCTCAGGTACAGCAGTATTAATAAAATATGGAAAACCTGTATACATATATATTTTTTTATTTATTTTTTTTTTTATTTTCAGTGATGTGCCCTTTCATTTTGCATGGGTGAAATACGTTTCAATATTTTACTATGGGATCGAAGCTTTGTCCATTCTCCAATGGTCGTTTATTTTTAACATACGTAAGTGAAATATAAAATATATAAAAATTAACCTTCTAGAAAATTACTTTTTTTTTAATTATATTTTCAGCTTGTTCTTCGACACCAGATAGGCCATGTATAAACTCAGGAAACGGAGTTTTGGAACACTTTGGCTACAGCAAGTCTAATTTCACTATGGACATGTTGGGGCTTTTGTCCATATACTGTTGTTGTCATGTTGTTGGATTCATATTTATTTGGAAAAAGTGTAAAAGAAATACTTCGTACTAAATTTTCATTTTTTTCATTTCAGCATGTCTAACAAAAAATTGAAAAATAATTTTCAGGTGATAACGTCCAAATTGAAAACTTATGCAATTGTATTTTGTAAGAAAATTTTCTTTTTACTCAGTTTTTATATGTTCAATAAGCAAATGTTATTGCCAGTATTATGTTATTGGGGGGCCACAATAAGGGATAGTAATTAATAAAATAATATAAAAATGCTTTGAAATTTATAACATTCTAGTAAAATTTTTTTTAAAAAACTGGATGCAGTGCTTTTAAAGTTGATTTATTATTTATTTTTTCATCTCTTTTGTTATAAAAATAAAATTTGAAAATATAATAACTAAATGAGAAAAAGCTGCCACATAATAAAGCAAGACAAGTACAAAAAAATTAAACCTCAAATTCAAAATTTCTCTTTTTTTATGAATTATTGTTATTTGACACAATTTCATTTTCTGATTTCACTGATTTTTTTATTTGTTGATAAAATAGGTTTCTTGAAATATTCCCATTTTTCTAACCATACTATCTTTTATAGGTTGATCGTCTTCAATCATTCTGTCTTCCATTGTCAGCCATTGCTTTTGTCTGTTAGACTTGTTTCAGCATTGTAAGTAGTTTGCCCTTACAATATTTGATGTAGTGTAGATTTAGAGGAATTTAGTATACTTCAACCTTGAGAACAATTGCTCTCTTGTTCAGTACTTACAGGTTCCAGTGAGTCCCAATCCATCAAGGAATTTGATTTTAGTCCCAATTTTAGTGATGGCATTTCTTCCACGGTTTTGTTATTTGTCCCAAAGTATCTCCTGCAGATAAGTATAGCACCGCAATTTGTCAATAAGTCCATTGGAGTCTCTTTTGCTTCTTCGCAGAATCTGCACTACTATGTTGGTTAAGGCAAATCTTCTTCACAAGCCCCGTTAAGAATCCTATTAGGATTCAGAGTCATATCTTGCTTCCTTTGATGCATTCTGTGGTTTCTTCCTTTCAAATCTTGTCAGGAGGATTTTGGTTTGTTTTATGTTGAGTGAATGGCATCCTCACTTGCACCATGTATTATTTTTCCCAAGATGGTCGATCCCTATAACACAAAAGGGTTCGGGACCTATCAGCAGAGTAGCAGACCGTTTCCTAGTAAGTGCCTCAGCTTCTTTGCTCCTCTACTGTTGCCTATCCTGGGACTCACTAGAGTTTGATTTTGTATTTTCACCTAACCTGTCTAATTTGGTTTTGCAAAGCATCTGATGTTTGAGCTTAATGCTCTGATTGCTCTTGACTGAACATGATAGCTTTGTTTTTGCTTTTAAATTTAATTAATTACATCTCTCAATTGCATGGATTTTGGCTTGAAAGACACTGGTGTACTTGCCCATGGACTCTGAATATTTGGTTTTGCGACCAAATACTCCTGCTCTTTTTTTTTTTTTTTTTTCATCTTGCTACCTAGATCCTCAATATACGTTATTTTGTCAATTGTGTCTTTTTATAAAGAACAACATACCTCAGTCTAACCAATGAATGTGGTTAAATGCTGAACTAAGTCTGAGATAAAAACCGTGAGAATAAGTACAGGATGGATGATCAGAGATCTACTTGTTCAATAGGCCTCAATATAATACTTTATAATATACAATCTTTACTACTTACTTCATGACATTCCACATTTAACTACTTCAATCATAGCTGCACCCACACAACTATGCTTTTTTACTAAAGAACTAACTCACAAAACACGTGAACAAAAAAGGGAAAATTTAACACTGACAACTTATTGTTATTTTTTCTGAAAATTCGAAGTGCAATGTAAAAATGTTTTAGGCCAAGGAGCATGGTGCTTTCATTGACCAAAAACTATATTAAGATTTTTAAGTCAATAAATAATTTTTTAAATTGTTAATTTAAGCAAAATCATTATTTTATATATTTCATGTTCTTCAAAATGCACATGCATTCAAAATTGGTTAGTTTTGTTAATGTTAAATACATGGTGCTTTAATAGATTCGTTAAGATTTGTCTCATGTATGAAAATTTTGTACTTAATAAAATTTCATTTCTTGATTATGCCAAATTTTATAACCTAATTTCCATTGATTCCATTAGCGCCGCACAGGACAAGGTGTTACCTATCCATGAGTCCCACAGAAATTCTGAAATACAGCAGTGATCGCAGCGAGAAATTGTTTGGATATCTAAAGAATAAATGCATATGGTCAATATGAAATGCTCTTTCATGCATCGTTATCCCTTATTGAGTGAATGTATTTATTAGCATGACTGTTTTAAGTATGTGTGGGTGGTAGTACTCTCCAGACCTGGCCCCATCTGACTTTCACCTTTTCCTAGCAATGAACAACTGTACACTCGATCAGGAGTGTGATAATCGCCAACATTGGGAAAATGAGCTGAACGTATTTTTAAAATCCTGAGACCCTAAACTTGAATAAAAAGGGCGTAACACATTGGGAGAAGGTTGCTGATGAAGTCTATTTCACTGAATAAAATTTGAAACTATTTTAACTGAGGCAATTATAAAACCCTTTAACCTGGATGAACATTTCTTATTGTCTGATATTAGTATGAATGTGTTCTAAATGTGTTGTTTGAGCTTTATCACCATATGTGGAGGGGTGAAATATTTTATGTGAAAAACCATCCCACAATATTCATGGGAAATAAAAGATCACAAAGCACTCCTATAAGAGCACCGATTGAGCGCTGTCACTAAGTGGAAAAGACATGAGGAGCTGGCAATGGGCAAGTTACTTAGCAAGCTGGTGTATTAAAAACTTGACCTCTGGGTTGTCTAGGAAATCTTGGAAAGTGTATGGATGCTGACACTTTTTATATTAAATTTAAATTTATGTTAAAATATTCTTATGTAATAAAAAATCACATAAAACTAGCCTTTCTATTCTGATGAAACTTTTTTTTTTCAATATATGCATTTATATTAGCTGTTTCTTACAAGGTAAACAAGTTAAAAGAGCAAATTAAAAAATTTACAGGAAGGATGTAATATAAAAACACTTTATTTTACAGGATAATTTTATTTAACACTTTTTTTTTACATACATCTAATTGGTGTTCAAATAAATTGTAACACATTATGGTCCCTGTTCCCGCTAAAAATGAAAATCCCCCTCAGAAAGTGAATAAGGCTTTGTTTGTTTCCCCAATTAAAATAACACACATCGTTCATATTAGCACGGTATTAATGACAGGAATAGATTGTCTTAACAAATATAAATCTAAGAGACTTCAGTCTTACATTAGGATGTCATGAAAATTTGTCTTTTAAACAATTTTCCAACACAAACATATATGCTTGTAATCCCGTTTCATTAATTTAAATTTCTGATATGTGCACACAAGCTATTTTGCTTCTTTTCAGTAGATACATATAAAAAGTAAATGTGCATTTTAAAATATTTTGTATACTAATCACAGGTAGTTCTCAGCTTGAAAATTTAAAGAAACGACATAATTTTGTGGCAATTTCTATCAAATCTAAAATTCCAGCAGTAATAATTCTTTAATTTGACAACATTATAAGCCATGTTTTCAAAATTTTCCTACAACATTGAAACTGCCTAATTCACAACATAGATCTCAGTGATAAAATAATTTTAAAATGATAATGAATATTTTTTTCCTCTCCAATGACTCTGACTAGTTTCATATCTATTACACAGCAAGCCATTAACAATCAATACAATTTTAACTGAGAATCTCAATTACTAAAGATCATGGAATTGCAAAGTGATCAATTTATAGAAAAACTGACGAATAGCTAAAAGTAAATTTTTACCTAAAAATAAAATCAAATGATTGCACTGTTTTTGGAAAACTTTTAAGATTTTTTTTAAATTTACAATAACAACACTCTATAAACTTACCTTCCAACAAAATTGATGAACTATTTGGCACAATTAACCTTACTTTTAACTTTTATTAAAATAAATACTTTTATTTATCCAACAGGTGGTTTTTCTTTACTATTTTTTATACAAAAATAAGTATTACAAAGAAAATAAGCCTTGGCTGTTTATGGATTTATATACCTTTTTTAAAACAATGTTCAATATATTTACAGATCAAGAGAGAAATTTTAACCTCGAAAACAAAAATATCGCCCAGCGTCGTAGTTCATGTCTTGAAGATACCTGAAATAAATTTGATAATTTAATAAAACAAAATACCAATTTTTAAATAAATTCACAAACCTTTCTGCTAATTGTGTAAAAGCTATGGGCCCACAGACACAAACGAAATAAGGCTGAAGAGCTTCTTTTGAGAAGTCCGGAATGAAAATCTGCATCATTTGCAAAGTTAAGTATCCTTGTTTTCCAGACCAGGTGGGATCAGGCTGAGACAATATGTGTTCAACTGTAAACCTAAGCAAAAATATTTTCAAAACAATTAAAAAATCCAAGTTTCATGTAAAAAAAAAATACCTAGTATCGACTCTTGTCAATGTGTTAAACTCTTCTCTCCAGACAATGTCCCTTTCGCTCCGATTGAAAAACAACAGTTTTACATTAATGCTAACAAGAAAAGAAAAAAAATCAGTTTCTCATGGATTATTTTAATTGAACATGCTCTCACATTTTTTTAAGTTGTAAAGCCCACTGGATAAGTCGTACCATTGGAGTGAGGCCTGTACCAGCGGCAAATAAAACTAAGTGGGTTACGTCAGTAAGAAGCTGTGGAGAAAAACTGCCGATTGGCATTGAACTGGTTACAACATCGTTAATCTGAAAAATATATTTTGTATTTCAAAACTTATTTTTGAATAGCTGAATTTATACCTTTAGTGATGTAAACCAACTGGAGAATGCACCCTCAGGATATGATTTTACCATAAGAGTAACATCAAAAGGAAATTCGGTCAACAAATTGGATATAGGAGTATACTGTCTTTCTACTTCTGTATCTATAAAAAAAACTAAATTATTTTTCATAAAAAAATAAATTGTTCTTTTATTTTACAAAACAATGCACTGATAAGATTTAAGAGCTGTAAATCATATTTTTATATACATTGTCTATCTTCCATTCCAGTTTTTTTAAGACTACCAAAATTTTCATCAAAATCAAACATTTTATTTCAAGGAATTGGGCCATTGCTCAGCAAAAATGATAGAAAGAGCATGATCAGGATTGAGGTGGGTGTTATAGAAAGGTCAAAAGGTCAATTCTCTGATCAGTATCTAGTTTCCTTATCCAATTTTGATTCTAAATGTATGAAATGATTCTTTAAGGGAGTGCTTAGAAGAAGTGTTAGTCAGAATGTCATATCTGATGCCATGAAAGGACATCCAAATATTTTTTTATAAAAATCACACAGAGAGCAAAAATTGCCATTGGCAGATGTAAACGCCGTAGTAGGAAAAGTTGGGGAATAAACGCAAAATGTCCTTATGGCTATAAACACAAGTTGTTAAGCCTATGATAGCCTAAAGGTTTGGTGGAGAAAGATATTGCATCTAAGGGCAGTCAGGATCCTTGGTACTGCTCAGACTGGCGTGCTTGAGTAACACTGGGGTACTGAGAATGACCCCCCACTGCTGTCTTGGAAGCCCTGAATCTACCACCACTACAGATTTCTAGAGAGAGGCCAGAGCCACAATTCATAGGCTAATGCAGGGACGCACCCAATACCCTGCCTGCATAGCAAGGAGCAACTAAAGCATTGGAAGAAGTTTCAGGCAGGTAGGGTTTTGGGGATGTTGATTGTATGATCCCCCTAAATTCAGCTTTGACAAAAAAAATTAAAATTAAAATACCTTGTATATATCTGATATGCAGATGGCTCAAAAACAGTGTGTGCGAAGAGCTGGTAGCTGTTTTTTTTTATGGAAATAAACCAAGGGACTATAATTCATACAAACCTTGGACAATACATCACTGCTTTTGCAGACTGTGGCTATTGAACACTGTAACAAGGCGATTAAAAGGCAAGGCTGGTACAGCCCTGCAACATTGAGAGCAATTATTGCAGCAGCAGTAAAGTCCAGAGTCATTTGACTGCCCTAGGGGATTGATCAGCCATTAGGTAAAACAACAAAATTAGCTTTTTCTGGGTACCAGGGCACACGCGGCAGAGGGACATGTCCTTAAGGCCGGGAACACACCCGATGCAACACTATGCAACGTCAAACACACGCAAAGTACAGTCACAACATCACAAATCAGTATCGCAATTGCAACACCTCTTTTGTTCTTAATGCATTATTTTGAGCAAAACCATGTAATAAATTATTAGTTAAATTTTATGAGAACAACCATGTAATAAATTTGGTTAAACTTAATTGTTTTAAATAAAGTTATTCCGGTGTTTTGATAAATTTTCTTCCTAACCATCATAACTAAATAATTTGTATAAATACATTTTTGATCTCATTTAATTTGGTTTACATTAAAAAAGAAATGTAATTAATATAACGACAAAATTACATATACTTATTTGAAATAAACTACAAAAAATATGAGTGTCCTGTTCTGATGCTACTCGACGAAAATGGTGTAATTTTATGGGCAAAACTATGAAATAAATTGTTAGTTACATTTTATGAGCAAAATGTGTAATAAATTGTTAGTTAAATTCATTATATCAAAAAATGGGATTCCTATTCCGTGTTTTGATCAATTTTCTACCAAACCTTTTTTTTTTCTGAATTTCTGATCTCGGTTAATTTGGTTTATATTAAAAAAAGTATATTGTAATTAATATAATGACAATAATACATGTAGTTTGAATAAAAATATGAGTGTCCGATTCTTTTGTCTTTGACTGTACTCGTTGCTACCCGACGGAAATCTGGACATTGGGGATCGCAAAGCGTAGAGTAGGGTAGCATTGCATAGTATCGGGCAGGTGTGCACAGGGGTAATACAATCTTATGGAAAATTGGAATTTAGATTTGTGTCGAGTATGTTCACAGCTTAAGGGCAGATATTAGTACTCCTTAAGAGGAAAAGCACAAGCCTAAATGATACTGAAGGCAGTCCTTGAAAAAACTTTAGTATCTGGTAAAAAGCCTTTTATGCTTAATGAGGCGCTCTAGACAACAATGGAAATGCACAATTGACCAATCCATCATAAAATAGAGGGTTATGTCCGCAAAATGATTATCCAATCCAATGAATTAAAATTATGCCAATACAAATAATTATATTAATCCATATATGTTTAGCAGTCATAATTGACCTATTTAATTATTTCAATTGACTATACTTTTTATCTAAAGTCTTCGTTGAGATGAAGACGTTAGTGTCACGAGCAGGATTTGAACCCATGACCTTCGGCTCAATAACCGCTGCTCTAACCGCAAATAATATTGGAAGTCAGACAGAAATAAACTCAACACAAAGGTGAAAAATGTAAAAGCATCATTTTTTAACCTGCTCTTATAACTTTTAATTACAATTAATTTCTTTCAATTAATTAAGTTTTTAGTTGAGATTAAAAAGTCAGTGCCATTAGCGGGATTCGAACCCACGACCTTCGGCTTGATACGCCGCTACTCTACCACTTGAGCTATCGTGACTTCGATCCACTCAGACACCAACTTCCCATCTCAACCCCACCTTTTGAATTTTCCCTCTGATTCGCACCTTGAATTCTGAAAGATTGAGAAAAAGAAATTTGCCATTTTTGACTTTTTTATCTCAACTAAAAACCTTAATTAATTGAAAGATATTAATTGGTCAAGCGGACCACGAAAACTAGTGAATTACAATTAATGTTAAATATTAACTTACCTTTAATATTTGCTGAGAGAGATATATGAAAGCCTAATGGAATATAATTGAAGACAGAATTGACATAGGTTAGCCCAATAATATAAACGTTATGATTGATAGGATTAATTTCAACTATTTTTAATTGTGCTTTGCTAGGCGGTGGCGGTTTTTCACCAGGGCTGAGAGTCACAAGGCGTCCCCAACTGTCCAAAATATCCTTCCGGAATTTTATTTCTAGAGAAAGATCTGCCTTTACGAGCACTAGGGTGACTGAAGGTGGCCACTCCACTTTTGACAAAAGTTTCCATCCGAGCCATATTTCCTCGAAGTAAACCCAGAGCTCTCCATCAGTTTTATTATTCAAATGAAGCTGTTAAAAATTGTAAACATTATTTTAAATGTTATTTCTTTATATATTTGTAAAACTCACTTTTCTGACAGGTTGATTCAAATGAAAAACAAATACAACGCCATTAATCTTCTGATACCAATCGAATTTTGTGACGGAGGAGGGAAACGTTTGTTTTTCATTGTTTGTATTATTTTTAAATGAGGTGCTCGGGGCAGGGGTTTGAAAAATTTGACTATCAACAACTCCTGACACTAAAGTTCCAACAAGGCATTTTTTCAGTAAGGAGTCATAATTGACCCAAGAATGCACCTAAAAACAAAAAGTCTTTTGGAAAAATAATTTTTAAAAGATCATTTTTAAATGAAAAGAGCATTCTAGAGAAGAAAAAAACGGTAAAATATAATTTTCAGCACATTGCAAGAAGCAACAAAATTTTGTTTCGTAAATCAAAAAAATTATAAATTTATTCTTTATTATCATGCTATAAGAGCCCTGATTAGACCTAGAAGCTAGCTCAAATGGTTTTTAACGGTTCAAAAAAAACCTAAAAACTGGAAACTTACTGAATCAAACAAAGAGGTAGCATCAATCCCTGCCCCTTTCATTAATTCAACAACTCCTCCAGGATGGAATTCCAAATATCTTGTTACATTGTATACTTTACCTAATATAAATTATTAGTGAGCGATATAATTTGTAATTATAGCAAAAATGAATACCTCTGATACAAATCCATGCGTCATCTTTGGTATTATGCTTGGCAAGTTCTTCCTTTGTCACTTTGATGATTTTCCCTTCAGTTCCACTCATGTCAATTCCGCTATTGCCAAGCCTAATCCAATCCATCAGCGACCTTCCAGGCCCCAGGGCCACTTTATTTCTGGGATTCCCTGCAAAAACGATAAAGTAATATTTTAAAATGTTTTAATATGAATGAATGAGTTAAAAAATGTTTTTAAACTTTGACAAAATCAAAATTTACCAACCGTCTCTAACAAACAACTAATCTCTAGGAAAAGCTGTTGAGGTCAATAATAAAAATAAAATTACCCTACTTCTGTCAAACCATCTGTGTATACTGAGTTATATACAGTTTGTTCCAAAAGGGCATTTCATCAGCTCTGAGCAAAAAGGCTTTTTTTTTTACACTTAATTGCGATTTTAATGTTTAGGCCTTTGGTACAAACTCAATTTTTATACAAAGTTTTTTTTATTCCCATTAATTCTTTTTTTCTAAGTTTTTGGTTGAGATGAAAAATTAGTGTCACGAGCGGGATTCGAACCATGTCCTTTGGCCGAAGGTTGACACTATTTTTCATCTCAACCAAAAACCTTAAATAAAAAGAATAATTAAATGGAATAATTAATAGGGTCAATTGTGACCACTAAGCAAATATGGATTTTTTTTATTGTGCTCTTCCTTCATCAAATTCAATGTAGTTGTCATAGCAAAGGATTTTTTACATTTTCTTAATAATTAATTATTATATCTTTGCTTTTTGGTACTTATCCAGTTATGCACCGACATTTTCTAGTTTTTAACAAACAAAGAATTCGAGGAAATAGTGGAATTCACTCACTGGGCACAAACATCCCAAGAGCCTTGTAGCAAGTTTTGGAAGTTAAAAAAATGCAATAAAGGAAGCAGGTAAAACTTCTAATCCTAACAGAATTCTTAACAGGATACTGCAGACTAAATGGGCATTTAAAGAAGGTTGGTTGGTGTGTCGGTGGCCGCAACAATTAGGCACAGCGCACATCATTGCAAGGTAAAGGTACCACGTTGGAATCCCCTGCATTCCAACCCAACATACAAATGTACTTTCTTTCTTTTTTTTCCCTCAAAATCACTAAGGATTCATATAACATCATAGATGAAAAACCCTTTCTTTAAAAAAAAATTTTTTTTGTATAATCCAACACATCATGATTCTGCAAAGAAGCAGAGGAAACACCAGTAAAATTAAAATATATTAAATTACAATTCTTGTAAAATGATACAATTCTCTTTATTAATTTAATTACACTTTCTTCTTCAATTGTAAAAATACTTATATTTGTATGTGTTAGTATAACTATTAAATATCATATATTAGTACTTGTATTTAACTTATTAATTATAAAATTTAATTAATTTGTGATATGTAAGCATTATTGTCAAGTTATTTAATACTAATATATAATTAATTCTTAGTAAATTATAAAATATCGGACATATTTATATTAGATGAGCTGAAAAAGTTAGATAAAGTTGCATAATACCCTTTGCTTCGGTATATTGCAGTTTTTAAGTTATTCATCAATTTGGCAAAGAAATTGTTGTTACAGAACTAGTAGTAAAAAATGACTGAGTTTGATTAAAAAAATCATGTCTCGTGCCTTGTTACTGGCACAGAAAAGAAGATTTACTACCTCACCTAATCCGAATTTGGGATGCGTGATTGTTCGGTTCGAACAAACCGTGGCACATTTTGCCCAGGTATGGAATGTACTATGAAACCCTACAAAAAATTCAACCACTGAAACCAGACCTACTAACCAATTTGACGAAGTAGGACTCATCAGTGTGTCATAGGTACAAAACAGGGGGTACAATACTCTCAAAGGGCGCAGTACATTACAAAGCCCGAATATTACTTGCATGTCCTCAGGATTCCTGAACCCCTCAGAAAAAAACCCGCTTTGTAAATTAAGTCTTACAAATTATTCCAGAAGATGAAGCAAGACCAAGAAACTCACAGGATTTGAGTGTTTTCTTGCAATTATTGCCCTGAGCCTATTTAACAACTTGTTCAGTTTTTTCATGAAAATGCTTCTGAACTTGTACTTTTTCCAGAATGTTTGTTTGATTTTTAATTTGTTCCTTTCCAACAACGAGAAATCTTACTATTTACTTAAGTGGGCATAGCTTATTTATGATTTTCTATTAGAAAGCAAGTATTAGGGCTGATATTTGACAATTTTGCATCCTTAAAAAATGTATCAAAAGTTTGTTTTAAAGACTTCTGCATGTGATTCTACATTCTGAAAACAAATCTTAAAAAAAACGAAACATTCTTTGCGAATTTTTGCCAGAGAAAATTTTTAGCGGAAATGTTGCTAGTGAGAATGACCGCACCTGTCGCGCTTCCTTGCTGCATGGCCGGTCCGTCGCCCGTGGCTTCTGGCACTTTGTGTTTGTGATGAAACGGCCGCCGAGTGCCCTATCGAATGGGATTCTCTCTTGAAATTTGCATTTTCCCACCCCTCCCCTGAACACAACGTATCACCAAATTTCCTCTCGACATTTTCACAGGGAAGACCGATTTATTCTCATCGCAAATTCGACGGATCGACACCCGTCCTCATCGTGACAGATGATTACAACCGACTTCCAGTTTGCCCTTTACAGTTGTCACCCTGTTGTCAGCCTCCTTCTGGGCGAAGAGTCGAAACCCGGTGAGGTTACGCGGCTCACACCAACCCAACTTAAATAATTAAATTTAAGACCCCTGCAGACCTTCCAAATTGTATAACAATCCCAAATATGTTCAGAATAAAAAAAGTGTATTTAAGCTTTATCAATGTTTTAATATTAAACATTACATAATAAAAAATCAATAATTCTTCAACATTAAAAGATTTATAACTAATGATTAATACATTTATTGAGTTAACATTTTTCGAGCAAAATAAATTAAAATTAATATAACGTTATCTTTCCCACCAATCCAAAACCTCGTGGCCGGTGTAACAAGGAAATAACCTTATCTCGAATCCGTATCTTTTCGAACCGTTTGCTTTTTTTCAAAAAGAAGTTAGAAATATCATAAAATGGCTTTGTCGGTCGAAAGCCCAAAACCGCCCCAGCAAGGCGAGAAGAAGCTGAAGCCGTGCTGTGCCTGCCCAGAGACGAAAAGAGCTCGAGATGCATGGTAAATTATTCAATAATGCAGCGTAATAATTTATTTTAACATAACTTTTGTACATTAACAACTCTTTTCATCCGTTGTTTAAAATATTATTTGCATGTCGTGGAAGGAAGTTATCAAAATATTGTCAAGTTTTTCAAGGTCACTTAAGTGTATTAAAAAGCTAAGAATAATAAGGCGTAGAAAAACTGTTGTTGCCTGATATTGTGCAATTAGACGGTCCAATATTTCATGGAGGACCACACTGGCCAATTGGTTAGAACATCTGACTTGTACTTGACTTGCCAGCAGTCCTGGGTTTGAATCCCGATTCGACCCTTGGAATTTTCAAACCTGAACAATAGACGAAGATATAACAATAACAATAGAAGCAAGTATAAGTGTATTAGGGTACAAGTTGCCCTACGACTTTGGGAAAGAACGCTTCATGAGTCGTAAAATTTCTTCATCAGGCTTGTAGTGTGATGACTGTATTTTGGTCTTTTCTGATCATTTTGGACTGCTTATCCTTCTTAGTTTGGTCTATCAGATGCGTTTCAACTTATCGCCATCTTGGTCATTGTTCTTGTGATTGTATAAACAGACGGTCCAATAGTATGAGTTTAGAAATTTCATCAGGTCTGCGTAGTGATGAGCTTGTAATATGGTAATTTATGAACATTTTGGACTACCTATTCTCTAATTTGATCCTTACTAATCATCTTGGTGTATCCATCTTCACTGCATTGGTCTGTCAGACATGTTTTAGCATTTCACCATCTTCACTGTGTTTAGGGGTAACTTGAATTTGCTCAGAAAGGAGAGGCATGAGCCAACAATAAACTACTAATTTATAGTGTTTATTAAACATTGCTTTATGCAAATGTAATCCTAGCATGGAATTTTACCTGTAAAACAAATCTCAATAAATTACTGGTAATCTGAAATAAATTTCTGCGGCTGGCCACTGCCTCTCCCACATATTACAGATTGACAGGCCTACACGAACGAACTAACAAAAAATGTATAGAGGAGGAAATATACGATGTCAGCAAATCTTTTAATCTTTAGGCGAGTGTCTCCTCAAATCCCATTTGCAGATCCATTGGTGCATATCCAACAAATGCAAATTGGAAACATAACAATGTACCTGGTTTATAAACTTGTCATAGTTATAAGAATATTTATATATTTATTTATGTATTTAATTATTTATTTAATTTTTTATTTATTTACTTCCTATTGTGGTATAGCATTTGACTACTTCCCATCTACTCTTTATTTGCATTTATTTAATTCTATATAAACTTCATCCCTCTGAACGTAGTTTTTTTAACTTAAATTTTTTCCCACAAATTATTATGGAATTTTTCTTACCTTTTTGTATATTTTTGTATTTAGTATATTATATATATTTTGTTTTGTATATTAGTTGTAAATAGTAGGAAGCTATAGTGAAATGTCACTCCCTACATTCTAAAATTATTGTATATATTGTATTGCACACATGTAAATAAAAACTTATTCTCTTCTATTGAGTGCTTTGTGTAAAAAAATTTCTAATAGCCTTATGAACTTGGCAATTTGGCCGAGGAACGTCATTGATCATATGCGATGCATATTCATTGTGGAGAGAATGGTTGTGTGAAAAAAAAGGTCAGGGGAGACAGAGGGAATCAAACCTACCACCATGGGTTCTACAAGCCAAGAGTCTATTACGCTGACCACTTGGCTACCGCGATCCCCCTAATTTATTAATAATGCTTAAAAGCCATTTAATTTAATGTTAACTTAGTTTTCAACTACTACTCATCTTTATAATTTAAAGCGTTTGATTAATAAGAGAATAACAATATATTTTTCATTAGTTGGACATTTTCAATAATCTAGTTCCACCTATCAGATTATAAAATATTGTTTTAAAAGATGCATTGGTCATACAGGATTATAAGCAAGAGGAAAATAACTTTTTGACAAAAGAATTAAGTACCTTGCCTCGCCCTGATAAGACAGGCCAAGATGATCAGTAAGCATCAAATTACACGTTCATCACTCTTCAGACCACAGGAGGAAATTGGCAAACCTCACTAGGTCTGTCAGGCGCATTTTAACGTATCACCATCTTTTGTGTTTTTGGTCTGGCAATTTTTGACTAGTCCAACATTTCATGAATTGTGAGATTTCTTTATCAGGTCTGCATGGTGAGGAGCCTGCGGTTTAGTCATTTTCTGTCTTATCGGACTTCCTACTCTCACTGGTTTCAGCTTATTGCCATGTTTAGTGCTAGGTCTCGCAATCTACTTATAATAATAAAAATATCGACCACTTAAGATTTTAAAAATTCAAAATGCATCTGACAGATCAAAACAGTGATGAGGCAAATCAAAACCATCAAAAACGACCTTGCTACTTATCTTCCAATTTTTAGTTTTGTACTTGTCTTCTATTAGTGTTTGTTTTATATCTATCCTGCAGAAGTCTTTCAAATCTTGAGCAGTGTGATATTCCTTTCTTTGAAAAGATGCTAATTCATTTCCCTTAATTTGCACCCTGGAAATCATAAGTGGGAGATTATTGATGCATTCTTGTTTGGATTTTCCACTTTATCTTCTACGTTTTTCTGTTCCACAAAATAGTTTGTCTTGCAGTAATGTGGTAGCTTTTCTTTAATTGCCCTTCATTCCTCTATCCTGGAACTTAAACCTTTTATTGTAAGTTGACTACTTGTCCCGTACCCATTGAATGAACTTTTAAATTCAACGCTCTGATGGCAGTTTGGCTATCTGGCAAAAGGCCCTTTGTCCAGTAGTTAATGAACTTTAGCTCAAAAGTGTCTTTTAGTAAAAAAAGAAAAGTAATCCGACATCAGGAGGATTTAACATCCAACTGCCACCAGTTAGGTGTCTTAGACAAGGGGTCAAACAATGTAACAATACTTTTTTTCATAAATTTTCAATTTATTAGAACTATTAACATGACACATTAGAACTATTAACTGACAAATACATGTCAGATGCCCTAACCATTCGGCCACCACGGTCCCCTGAATATTTCATATGGCATATTCTTAGACAAATTAGAATATTTTCTCCATGGATACTCTAAATTTTATTCATTACCAAATCATGATTATTTCATTTCATTTACATTTAAGAAGCTTTTTTCATGTTTGTTCAACCAGACCTAATGGGATAAATTTTGAAAAATAATTTTGATCATACAATTAATTTAATTAATTATACTTTTATTCTATGCTTTTGGTTGAGATGAAAAAGCCCAAAGGTTAGAGCATCGTCGTATTGAGCTGAAAGTTGTGGGTTCGAATCCCACTCAATTACTCCAGCTTTTTCATCTCAATCAAGACCTTAAATAAATAGTATAATTAATTTAAAAAATTAATACAGTTAATAATGACTACTAAATACAAATATGGATTCTTATAATTTGTTTCAGCATTGTGGAAAACGGAGAAGCCAACTGCCAGAGCTACATCGAAGCCCACAAAGAATGCATGAGGCAAATGGGATTCAATATTTGAATAACTTTACACCCTGTATTTAATTGTTATCTAGTCATTATGTCTCTAAAAACTTTTCAGTTATTGAAACAATGTGTAAAAGTTGTTTAAATAAAGAATAGTTAACAAAAAATTATTATTTTCTTAGATTTTTTTTTTTATAATAAATCATTTCCACCTCCTTGAATAATAACTAATACTTGGCCAATAGCAGAATATGTATTCATTTTATTTTTTAAATGTAAATTCTTACTAGGTGATGTGCCAGTTTTATATGTTAATCGAGCATAGCTAATAAAACTGTTAGAACCATGTGAAAAAAAAAAGGGGGTTCAACTGGAACGATACAAATAATCAAATAATAATTTAATGCATATAATATTTCAATATTTGAAGATGTTAAATAAAAAGTTTAAAAAAGTAGCAGTTTTGAACATTCTTTTGCACATTTCCACTCCTATATTTCTGAAATTTGCCTACGAATAAATTAGACAATTTGTGTTGTAATGATATATTTGTATTGTTAAATGGATGAGGTGGTGTTAAGAAGATTCCAATTATATTTTAAGTACGTTTATTGCTTTCTCTAGATCTTATTGAAAGCTGCGATATCTACACTTTGGACCTGAAACAAAGAAAAATGAAACATTATCTCTTGTGAAAGGAACAAACCGTGATTAAAAACGCTTACATAGTCTTCCAGCTGTTCAATGGTTTCTTGCAGCCAATCTACAGAAACTTTGTCATCTTCCACGACGCTTGAAATCTGCAGTTTGTGAATTCCATATGCCAGAGGTACAAGTTTAGCTAACAAAAATAATTTTAATATAAAAACCAAAACAAAGCTGATGAATTTGAAAAACTTAAGTAATAAACAAGGCAAATTAAAAAACAGCCAAATACTAGGAGATAAAAATCACTGCTGTGATGGCCAGAATGTCAGAAAATAAATTAACTAGTCGTGAAGAGTGAAAGCCTAATCAGACTTTTAATTAATCAGGACCACCACGTTACCAATCAATCAACAAGTAGTTAGAAAATCCTTAATACTGCATAAGTACTTAAGTTCGACATCGAAGGAGAGGTCTATGTAGAGACTTTAGCAGCAAAAAACAGTTCGTCATGAGTAGAGGGACACGGTTGAGATAAACAGGAGGAAGGATTGCTCACCGTAATGTTTAGTTAATGTACTGGCACTTATTTTCATTTACTTTTACCTTCCGATTCTTTAGCCATGGCTCAAGTTTAGTAAGGTTAGACTATAGGGAACAAACAGAAAGGGTAATTCTGAATTGACAGGTTTGCAGGTGTGAACAGGAAAGGTTGGAATATCAGCAGTACATGTAAGTATAGGACTGGACCAAGAACAGTACCTTCAGGGACTCCGGCTCAGACAGGATGGATGAGCGAATGGGAAGAACCATAAGTAATGGTGACCGATGTAGGAATTTAAGATAAGGTAGTGGGAAGGATGCCTTTGAGTTTACACAGCATGCCAGACCCGCTGGAACGCTCATCCAACATCAAAAAAGACAGCCATGTAATTCTGATTTTTCTCAAAGGTCGAGGCGATGTCTGTTGTCTACAACATGGTGGTATTGATGAACCAATAGTTAGTTGATGTGTGAAACCGATTATCAAAGATTAAATTATGGGAATCAATTATCAGATAAAGACTGTAATTTCTTCCCCATCAAGGGAAAGAGATTTTTAGTACAATAGGATGATACTGTGCAAGCAATTGTTGGGTTTTGGGATTATAATAATTGAGACAATTTTGTGTAGGTTTGGGAAGTGGGTGGTTCTTAGGATGGAATTATACAAAGATAAGAAGGAAGGAAAACAAGGGCACGAAGAATTATATATTAAAGATATTACTTAATTAAAAATTACATCTGTTCAGAACCCCGAGCCATTACAAGCAGGTATTGTTCTAAACTATGCCCTTTGCTTGCTATACATTAACGATATAAAAAAAAAAATTGCATTTTTGTCAACACAGTGATTGAAAACACAGAACCAAATAAACAAATCAATCCTCTGAATTCAGAGAAAACCAAACCATATGCATGTATGGTTGACATAGATCAAAATGTTTGTCAGAAAATGTTTAACCCAGATTGTAATTACAATTAAAGTCTCCCAAACCCACTAATATCAATATAATAAAAACAATATTAATTTGATACACTTACATGCTCCCCAAACAAGACCATCTGTCTTAATCTTGCGAACTTCTTCCTCCATTTTTTTCATATCAGTCTCATCATCCCATGGTTTGACATCCAGAATAATATTTGACTTTGCAATAAGTGCAGGCTCTATAAAAAAATTATAATTAATATTCATAATTTTATATTAATATTTTGACAATCTATTTACTTTTTGATTTTCGAGCAGCATATTCGGCGAGTCTTTGTTCTTTGATTTTTGCAGCTTCAGTATCTTCATCCTGAAAAGGTGTTTTTTGAGTATGGATTCAAAATAATCAAGAGGATAAATAAAATACTTCTGAATCTGAAGCAAACAAGTCTACACCATCATCAGCATCATCATCCTGAGGTTTGGCAGCAGGAGGGGCTTGTTTAGGTTGAGGTGAGTGCTGCGAAGCTTTTGTCGCTGATGTAGTCTTGCTGGCAAGTGCTTTCTCAAGTTCAGTAACTCTCTGTTCAAGTTTAACAATAAGTTGTGACATATCGCCCACCTCTGAAGAAGAAAAACAAAATTAGCATATTTAATGTTTTGATACAACAAAAAGTCTTACTTTGTTTCAACTGAGTGTGGTCCTTCTCAAGCTGTTGTAGTTTATTTGCTCCACTACCGTTAACAAGATTTGAAGTCATCGATGTCACATTGTCAATCTAAATCAAAGAATGTTTTCGTTTAAATTAATACTCGAGGAAAATTATGCCAAAGAGGCAATAATCTATATATAATAGAAGAATACATCATACAAAGGTGTACCTATTATCTAAATTTCTGCGTAAAATATGTAAAACAAAGAAGTATGACTTTTTATTTATTAACATTTAATTAAATTCATCTTCACAAGAATGAGGATAACACTTAGGTTGAAAAAATGTGCTTGCTATCCTACTTTCTATCTTGGCTACACAACAGGGTCTACCAAAATTTAAAAAAAAAAATCAAAAATATTGCCTCATTAATTATCATTTTAAAATAGAAATTTTCAATGCATCAATAAAAAGTGCATAGTTCAACAATGAACAACTTTGAATGTCATCAAATCTTAACGAAACTGTATGATTTTACTGTACACTTATTAACAAAATACAGTGGTACTTTGAGATACGAGTGTTTACGAGTTTTTTTGAGATATAAGCTATCAATAAGTCAAAATTTTCTCTTGAATTACAAACCACAATGTAAAATCCAAGCCTAGGTGATGACACAACCACTGTATTGCTCGGATTCCTACTCGCTTGTTCAGTTCACATGTTTATCCCACCGCAGAACCATTTCGTGTGGGTTTAGTTGTGATAGTTTTTTTCTATATATATATATGTATGCTATATACATATATATGTGCTTATAGCTATTTAGCTTTTTGGTATAATATAATTTGTTATTAATTCATCTAATTAAGTTGTTGAAATGAACTGAACAAATAATTTAATTTGCACTGTGTACAAAAGACTCGCTATCCGTGCTTTCATTGTCCGTGCTTTTACTCATTCATGGTTGTCCCCTTGTTTTTTATCTTAAGTATAATTTATATTTTTAAGGCCCTAATAATCTTTTCTCATTTGTTGTGATGTCGTGCATAGGTGCATACCTAATGTATGTATGTACACTCTTGATTTTTAGGCAAAATCCTATTTAAATAGATCTAACTAAACCTATTTGTGTTCATTTATTTATTATTCAGAATCACTCAAGGATTGCTTACAAGTAAACAATTATCTTTTATCCCATTTGAAAAGGAATTTACTCGACAGTTCTTTCCTGGTCGATTCCCCAGTTACCCAGTTTGCAACACTTAAAACACCTTTTGAATAAACTTTTTTACAAACTTTTAAACTTTAAATTTAAATGAGTAAAAGTGTGTAAAATGTATGGCATCAGTAAGAAATTGTGCAAAATGAAGCTATCAGAGGATCCTTCTCGAAGAAGTATACAAGATGCTCGGATTTCACCACACCTCTTTTGGGAGAGCCCTTTGGCAGTTCCAGGAAACTGACACCCACACTGTGAGGCAGGCCAAGGGTATCCAAGAGCCACAACTGAGAGGAATGACCGTTTTTTGCACTTCAATGCTCTAAGAATAAGGGAAGTAACAAGTTTTCAACTTATTCAAAGTGTCAAATGTAACCATTTCAGCTCCCACTGTAAGAACGCTAAGAGAATGTGGATTGAGCAGTTAATGGGTTGCTTCAGGGCCTCTTCTAACCAGAGGGTACAGAGTAGCAAGGTTGTGATTTGCCAGAGAACACCTCAATTTGAGTTATGACAGGAAAAGAATTTTGTTTTCTGATGAGGTCAGAATCACGGTTTCGGAGTTCGGTAAGAACTCCAGACGGTCGAGTTCAGACATGGAGAAAGATTTGCACAATGCTATATTATATCCTTGCCTTGCCTTTGGTGGGGGCTCAATCATGTTGCCTCCCCTGACTTTGATGGCTTGTAAATGTTTTCTCATGCTATTAACGTTTGCTTGAGGAATATTCTCCCACTCTTCCAGTAAGATTGTTAGGAGTTGGTACAAGATTTAGAATTTGTCTTTTGAGTCGATCCTATGTCAGGACTTGGAGCTGGCCAGTCAATCCTTTCAATACCCTCCTCATTTAGATATTGTTCCACAGATCTCGCCCTGTGTGGTTTCGCATTATCTTGCCTAAATAAAAATTCTTCCTCACTATCCCTAGCAAAAGGCACTACATGAGGTAGGATTTCTTCTACGTACCTTGCAGCGTTCAGAGCCCCACCCCGAACAACCGCTAACTCAGTGTAAAAACTAAAAAACTAAATACTGATGTTTTAATTTTTAATTGAAATTTCAAAATTTAATTTTCTACTTTTTTTAATAAAATTAATTTTTTCTGGTTTTGGTGTTCAATTTCTGATTTTTCTGCTCGAGTTGTTTGGTTATAATTTCCCCTATATACCTAAAAAGAAAATAACACCTGGGATTAATAAAATGGAATTTGTAGTGTAATAATGAATTGGTGTGTTAATTTTGATCAGGAATGTACATATTGTTTTTCAGCATGGAATGAACTTTATGTATGTCAATAGAAAAAAAAACCCTGAAATGTGTGTATGTAAGTTAATACGTAACACTGATGATAGGCACATGTGGTACAGAAAGTGTCTGATTGGTATGCAGATACAAGAATATTCTTTCAGCCTGAAATTCTATTTGTTTTCTATTATCTGTGGTTCTCGTTATCCATGGTGTTGCTTAGTACATATCCTCTACAAATAACAAGATTCTACTGTATAGGGCTAATCGGCTCCGCCAAATCTGTTAATTCCTTTACTTTCTGCTTCACATATACATAAAATCTCACTTCAATGAAGCAATATGATTTGAGATAAGAGCATTTTGACTTATGAGCTTGGTCTTAGATTGAATTACTCGTGTCTCGTACCTAAAACAACTCGTGCCTAAAAGTAACACTGTATGTTGCCGAGCATTCATTCTGTTGTTGTTCAATCATTATTGAATATTTGCACATTAAAAAAAAATACATTTATAATTTTCAATGTAACAATACTATAAAAGCGAGACATGGCATGCAAGCTGCAATTAGTCAAACGTATTACTTTGAAAATATAAAACTAAAAATAAGAGCTTACACATTGCATACTGTTTTTGATGTGTTCCCTTGCTTTGGCCACTTCACCAGCCAGTGTATTAACACTCTGTGGGGCACCCTTTTGAAAAAATACAATAGTTTGTTTAATGGTTTACTTAAAAATAATAATAATAGCAAGAATAAAAATAATAATAAGAGAGAAGGCAGAGTTTCAAACAGATAAATGCTCTATGGCAAATAAGTTTCCAAATCCAAAGGAGTTCCTAAAAACAAAAATTTGAAAAGATCCTAAAATAAAATAAATATATACTTTTGATACTGGAAAAAACTAATAAACTATACAATTTTTTAAATGACAATTAATTTTAATATAGTACTACTATATATTAAATATTTGGTGTTAGGCATAAACATCATCAATAAAATAAAAAAATAAGTGAATAGTAAAAATTAAATAATCAGTTTATAATCATTTATGAATATGACTTGTACATTAACTTCTCTGCATGGTTAATTTAAAAAAAAAAACTTTTTCCTATTTCAAATTATGATAAAATAGCATCCATATATTAATAATAAAAACAATAGAATCATTTTTAACTTGTTTATCTTTTTGTAAGCATTTGTCATTATTAAAAAGAGCTGTTTCTCTCCAAGATTACAGTACGGCCTTTTAATCTTTAAAAGATCTACTATGTAAGTCCGCATGAGGCACTTTTGGACAAACCAATTTATGAATCTAAACCTAAATGTTAAAATCAGCCGGCAATGAAAATGAGCATACTAAAAAAATCCTATCAGACAATTCAGAAAATAAGAAACAAAAGCTTTCAGGTGAACTTCCAAAGCATTTATGCTACAAAAAATACACATTTCATTTAAGAAGTTGTTCTTTCTAAATATGAACAACTCTTAGGTCTGTATAAAAAACACACCATTAATACTAACAGAAAGCTGTTTTCTTTTAGTCAATAAAAAATAGATGCTAGACCTAGAAACAACCAAATTTTAACTGAACATACTCTTTGCCAGGTGAATCATTTGTAATTTTGGTAATTACTACCATCTTTTTTTTAAAGTTCATGTGAGGCATTTTTGGACGAATCAATTCACAAATCTAATTGTAATGAAAGTAAGCACTAAAAAAATCCAAATCTTAACAAGTTGACTATGTCCTATGCTTGACCATTTTCATTGCCCATAACACAACCAAATTTATCACGTTAAATAGCTCTCTTGTACTTAAAAATAATATAAATATATTTTTTAAATGTTTATGTGATTCAAGTTGTATAGTACATCAGTTAAATTCCCAGTAGTGCCAAGTAAATGAAGTAGGCAACCCATAGAACATTTTTCAATTTGGGTGTGTAATTGAATAAAAATCATTTAAACTTTTCACAGTGAGGAGGGCCACACTGATTTAAGCATTGAAACGGCCTTATAAAAAATAAATAATTCTGATGAAAAGCCACCGGATGGAATATATTATGTCTCTCTGGGTATTCTGATCTCAATAAGGGGCCAAAAGGGACATCGTGGTCGTAACGGTTTAGGCGTTGAAACCGCACTCGTCACAGTAAGGTAAAGGTCCCTGGTTTGAATCCAACTATCCTTCATTCAAACCTGATATCCAACTAGGCTTCTTTTAAAAAACACCAGCACAGGAGGGTTGAAATGACCTCTGCTGTGGCAAACCCTCAAAAAAAATATAAAAAAGAACCCGCATGACAGACCGATCGTGCGGGTTTAGTATCGTCTGGTTAAACTAATTCTAATTTTGAAATAATTCTAAACGAGCCAATCCTGCTGTAGGGCCTGGCAAAACCACCGATGCAGCCCCTGCCTTGAAAAAATTATGAGAACAAGACGGAGATTCTAACTTCCTTACTATATTAATTAATTATTCATTACTATTTAATAAAGTCTAACAATAGTAAAATAACTCCTGTAATCAATTGCTTATTGAATTTATATAATTTTTATAATTAATCAATCTACAGCCTGCAAAGAAATTCTTGAAAATACAATAATTTTACATAGCAGTCATAGATTTGTTTTGGTTTGGTTGTTTGGTTTAATATACTCATTTCTACAATTACGATACGGTTAACATAACTTTACTTAATTATAGGTCAGTTGTAAGAAACAACCACCATCACATGAACATTGATTTGAGATATAAAAAAGTTCATATTCAATTCACTAGTTTCGTGGTCCGCTTGACCAATTAATTGAGTATTCAGAAATCATGAGATGCGGTCTGGTGTGATGTAGGTTTCAGAAAAACATTTTCTTTAACGTGCCAACGTTTCGAACTTTATTGAGACCATCTTCAGGGCTGTAGAAATACTTTGATTTAATATATAAAAAAAATTATTTGCATTGTACAAATTCACTTTTTTCCACATCCTACATGTTTTTGTTAAATTATTATCTTTATTGAGATCATCTTCAGGGCCTGGGATTTACAAACATACGATCTCAAACAAACTCAATAAAGATTGAAACGTTGGCACGATAAAGAAAAAGTTTTTCTGAAACCTACATCACACCAGACCGCATCTCACGATTTCTGAATAATTATCAATTAACGGTCACTAATCACCACACAATTAATTAAGGTTTTCAGTTGAGATAAAAATTGAAAAATGGCAAAAAGGAGGGAAAATTCAAAAGGTGTGGTTGAGATGGGAAGTTGGTGTCCGAGTGGATCGAGGTCACGATAGCTCAAGTGGTAGAGCAGCGGCGTATCTAGCCGAACATTGTAGGTTCGAATCCCACTCGTGCCATTGACTTTTTTATCTCAACTAAAAACATTAATTAATTGTAATAGTTCATATAATCGTCTGTTAATATGATTGCTTAATTGTTTAACACTACCAAAATTATTAACTTATAAATTCACCAGTGAGATGATACAGTAATATGAATTTCAAATAAATATAATAAACAAAAATACATACATGAAAAATATTAAACAATTGTTTTTTCTCAGTCTACATACTACCATACACCATACATAAAAATCGAGACCAGATAATTAAAAATATTATCAAAACTTCCTTTGGAACTTTGGAAAGTGGATTATATTTTAATTTTTGAATTCATATCAAATGTAAAACAACTTTATCAATCTTAAAATGTATTTTTTCAGTACAAATAATGGATACACAGTCTAAACAATGTGAATTATTGTAAAAATTACACACAAAACAACATGCTTTCTAAGGAAAAAAATAAAAATCTACAAAATAAAACTCAAAACTAATATGCAACGGAAAAGCTTTACAGTGTGTGGATACTGGCATTTCAACATCAGTCAAGAGATTTAATTACCTTTTTCGCGTTATTTGCATTGTTTTCATTGTTGACATTGTTATTGTTGACGTTATTGTTTCGTTTCCTCTCTTTTTTGGCTTTTTTTGCCTTCTTCGAGTTGCACTTGATAGTCAGCTCGAAATCGAATGCGGCAATGTGTGACTGGTTTTCTTTAGTGTCATAATCAGCAGGGGGCGGGGGATCTTCAACTTTAACAGGGACTGGAGCAAGATCCGTGACTGGGTTTGCAACCAAATCTTTATTTAATGGGGGATTGGAATCTTGTTTGTTTTTGTGTTCTTTTTTCAACGAGTTTTGTAATCCTTTTTGCAGCTTGAAAAATAATAAAGCTGTTAGAATATTAGTTATACAAAACAAACAAATGTACGACTGCTACTTGATAATAAAATATTTGAAAAAAATAAATAAATATGGATCTGGAGGGTCATGCCTGTGTTCATGTTAGTGAAAAAATGAAACATCAAGCAAATCAAAAAACCACATTAATCACAAGCTCTTGTTTTTTTTTACCTTCTCATGGCATTCTTGTGTATTTTTTAAATCCTTCGCTTGGTTTTTAACTTCAGGGACAACGGCTTGTGCAGTTTTTTTCTGTTGTTCTTGTGACTTTTTTGACCCTTTTGGGTCTGCCTTTGGCACTGCCGCTTCTGGCACTGGCTCAGGCGCTTTGTTCACAACTTTTTCTTGAGGCACCTGCTGTGCCTGGGCCTGGGTCTTGGGTTGGGAATTCTGAGCTAACTGTGAGAAAACATTTTACAATTTAGGCCCTAGATTATAATTTGGCAATTTATTGGTTTGTACCAATTAAGGTAATAATTACTTACCTCGTTTTGTCAAATTATTATTATTATAAATATATCTATTTATAAACTATACATAGCGCAAGTATTAATAAGTAATAATATCATAATTTCGAAATATTTTTCTTTTCCTGTTGCAATAACTGATCAGATTTTTTCAAAAATATTTTTTGCACATATTCATCATTAATTAAAACTTCGTAACACCATAAAATTAAAGATTATTTCAAAGATTGTGACTGTTATTGCATATTTAATTTCATATTTTGTTCTATTTTGAATAATTGCAATCTATTATCCAGGCAGATAATTATAAACTGTGAAGAAATGTTAAGTCATACTTTATACTGCATAAAACTTAAATCTGTACAATTGATTATTTAAAAAAAAAAAAAATCAAAAAAATCACATTGGTATATTACTTGTTAATATCAAAATAATTCAGACAATGAAAAAAATATTATTTTTTCTCCCTTATTTTTAATCAACAACCATATCATCTACTTCTTTGGCTTCCTCAATGATAGAAGTTCTTTCCATTTTTTCAATCATATCCTTCAATATTTGCGCATTAGGACTTACTTTGGCAAGCTTCTCATAGTATTGCTTTTCTGCGAGATCATATTTGGGTTTCTGGACCCAGACCTTTTCCTTAGCCAGCGAAGACGTGCTCAACATGATTTTTTCCTGCAATGAAATCAAGGATTTTAGACAAAAATATATTCAACTTCAAAAGAAAGAAATTATGCAAAGATAGGCTATTTTGATTTAAAAGCACAAACTTCATTGTTGTTGTTACTCATTTTCATTTTCAGTTAACTTCCACATGTTTTTTAGTATTATTAACTTTTTGTAACAAAATTATAAATTTTTCACACATATTAAACAATACAAAAATTAAAGGTTCCATAAACTATTATTTTTCATTTCTTCAGATTAGAATTTTTAAAAAATTAAAAGGAAACATTTGAAACTTCTGATTTGTAACACTAAACATCAATCAAGAAGATTAAATATTCAAAATTTATAACATTCATAGATTAAGGAAAAAATAGTTTAATGGAGATAACATGATTATCTCCTTTTTTTTAAGATTCTGGTTTCTTAAAAACGCTCCAGCAATAAATAGCACAGGCATGACAATCAAGATTCATCTCAATGCATATCATAATGTTTTTGCCTGTTGAATGATGTGTACAATATCTAACTCCCTACCCTGATCGGTCATTATCGTGGTCAGGCCTCCAAAACAGGGGCTTCCACTATTATGAAATTTGTTTGGGAAATTTTTTTGTTAAATGAGGTCTGTAGATAATTACTTCGTACTTTAGTCATCTCTCATTTTTCACTATTTTAGTTCAGCATCTTACCATCACTAGTATATTCTTGTGTAATTTTGTCCTGACTGACAAAAGCAGTGATGATAGACAAAACGCCTTAACTTTAATTTGCTGATTTGAATGGATGTTTTGTATTGCTTGAATAAGGATGAGAGTGGGGTCTGCAAGTCTGTGAAAACCTTTCAAACCGGCACTGGGTTAATTATTGGGTTCGTCTATGCTTGAGTATATAATTATTTTTTGTTTCACTAGGAAGCACCGCCCCCTGTTCGCTTCGCTTGCTCAACCTCGGGCGACTTCGCTGTTCACTTTTTTTCACTGCCCACTCATCCCCTCACAAAAAATTTAGCATGCTTGGGGCAGCCCGGGGATTGGTGAGCGGAGCCCCCGCTACTTTTATATCATCATATTTGTTTAATAAATCAGAACAAGCAACTCCAAATAAATAAGACTTTCGCACCTCTCGATTTTTTGCAGGCTCACTAGAAAAAATAACTTGTACACTACTGTGCGCCTTATCAAAAAAAATATTTTCTACATATTTTTCTTTTAATTTGCATTCTCCATCTTTGTCCTGCATCTTGACAAGGCTACATATAATTGTCTATGTGTAAATATTGTGTTTTTTGTATTTATAATCCAACCTATTTTCTCAAAACTTTGTACTTGTTACTTAATGGTCATAGCAAATTCTAGACGGACAGGGAATTGCAACCATTTCAAAATAAAGGGCATTTCAGTATCTCCTCATGAGTCTAAATATGTTCGAGGGATGTGTACAATAACTTCCTCTTTCCAGTTAAATTTCGCAGTGTAGTATTGTCCCATTGATTTTTACTATCAAACGGGTCCCATTACACAAATCATGTCTCCTGCCTGCTTTTTTTACAACTAGTAAATTTTGTGAAAGTGACCACCTGGGATACAAATTTTCCCAGCAAATACATGATCGTCATTAAAAACATCTCTAAATGTACTACTGAAACTAAGGTAAAACTAAGTAAACTATCTCTCAAAAATTCTAGGAGATGCCATAACAATTGACTGGCTGAGATTTCTAAAGAAAACTAATCTATTTTCAAAAATTTAATTTAGAAATCTAGCCATAAGAGTGATACATCATGCCAGACTTTTAAGGCGTAAATAACCCTTATTTCGGTTGACACCTTTATATATATATATATTTAAATACTATGAAAAAAAAAAAAAAGATACAGACTTACACAAAATCTTCACAATTTTAACTTAACAAAACTTTTTTTTGGGGGGGCCACGGTAGCCGAGTGGTTAAGGCATCAGACTCTCGGCTAGTGGATCCTGCGGTCATGGGTTCGATCCCCACCAAGGGAAGAAATTGACACGGCACTCATCAACGGAAGGGGTGGGATCAGATCTCAGCAACTCTGAATTTGGTCCCAACCCCTTCAAAAATGAGTTTCTTTGATGGAAGAACACCGGCACACCGGGGGCTCAAATTCACTCTTGTGTTGCGAGCCCCCAAAAAATGGAGCCAGGGATAAAGTGGTAGTTTCTTATAGTTTAAACTGAGAAAATAGTAACAGAAAAATTCTATTAAACGTTGCGTTCTCATTGTATACCATATATGTTAAAATTGGAGAGGTCTTTCTCTTACCCTTCAGCCACAACTTTTTTAATAATACAGTAATTACAGTGATTTATACTAATATTGTAGTACATAGTGATTTATAATTTTTTTTATGTAAATTGTAGTTGAGATGAAAAGTTTAGAGCCAAAGCAGGACCCAAAATACCAATGTCACGAATCCTCCATCGCAGAATGGATCCAAACGAAACAAAAGGAGAAGTGGATAAACTCTAGCGGTGCTAGACTTAATAAACAACCCTCACCAAGACTGGGAAATTATTGCTACAATTAGAGAGGGCCTAACTCAGAGGAGTGGTAGGACTACTAATCGGTCACTGGCATCTGAGAATATATCTACACAACATGGGTATACACAACAAAGACCCCATTTGCAGATTATGTAATGAGGAGGAGGAAACAGCCACCCATATCATCTTCGAATGCGAAGTTACAGCTCAATGGAGATTTAACCTAACAGACGGCAAAAACTTAGGGAATCAAATTGCAGCAGTGACAATCAATGACCTGATCCTCCTGAGGAGAAGGACTGAGTCTATTGCACTGAACTAAGGAACTAGGAAGGTACAATATGCCAAAAGGCTGCAGTGCCTGAGGAGCACAAACCCCACTTCCTGGTATCCTTTTTTTTACCATATCATACCATATCAATGTCACGATAGCTCCTGACTTGTTTAGAGCATCAGGGCAAACGGCCGGAGGTCATGGGTTCATGTCCCACATGTGCCACTTATCTTTTCATTTCAACCACACTTTACATAAAAGTTATAAATCACTGAATAATTGCTCTTGGTCAGTTAAGACCAACTAAAACATTAATATTATAGAGATTTTAATCTATTGCATTTATAAGGGTAGAAGAGGTACCATCGGAACATATTTTATATTTGCGTTCTCAATTGATTTCTGTCCTAGATCCCAGTGTATCAAACATGTTAAATCATGCATTGATGAATGATCTAGCGTTTACAATAATTCCTGCGTTAAATCATTGTTAATTTATTTATAAAATCTTTTTTTCACTAAAACGCAAACTTGAGTTATGATGGATAATGTATGGTAAAACAATTTAAAAACATAGTTTCAAGTAAATTTTGTTGTTAATTTTCAACATAACCAGTTGAAATATTGATTAAAGCTGGCGCTTAATTTCACTAAGAATATTCACTATACTGGAAAGTCAATCATGGACAGACATATCATCGCAACTATCAGGATACTGCAAGCATGTGGCCGGTCGATAAGCTGGAAGGCAAAGACTTAAATCCGAATCGGCCTGCTGAAGACTGCCTAAGGAATCAATTGTGATTTTTGTCAAAATTCACCTGTTTTTTGTATTTTTTAGAGTTTACGTCTTGGAATGCCGGATTCAACTTGGGATCTTGCCTTGCAGAAATTGCGTGCCGTGTCACCTGTGTTCAGCAACGAAGAAGAAAAGTGAAACCGACACAGCAGGTCGGACTAGCAGAGCCTCTTGCGGACGCAACATTGCAGAACAACACCTCATCTGTTGAATTTCACACTGAAGTTCTGCCAGTTGTGACGCAATTTGTCAAATATTTGTCCCGTCGTTATTTTGTTTGTCCTGGGATTTTATAAATAACGAGAAACAAAAACTAAGAAAAAGTCAAATTGCTAAAAAAGAAATACCATTGTACACTCAAACATACAGCAAATTAATATTAACAAAAAATTGATAGGCTTGTTTTTAGATTTTTTTAATTTTAAATATTTTTTTTTTTTCACTTTTTCAAACTACACTTTTACTAACATATTTGTTGTTTTCAAGTTGATCTGTGAGTGGAATTATCATTCACAAACTCTACATACTCACTCTACCTTCATCATTTCTGGGAATATTTTAATGTAGAAAACAGTAGAAGTAAATAATTATAATATTACTAGCTTTTACCCATACACACTTGAGCCTTTGTTTTAATGTACCTTTCTAATGCGATGCAGAGTACTAGTATGGCTTTCTAATATGTCTCATTTCTCAAATCCTTCTCTTCTTCAGTTCTTCGGTCTATATATGGTAAAAATAACCCCTATGATACCCTTTGGGATGGAATTTCAAGAAATCCTTTGTTATTGGCTATCCATGTCATTAAAGGAATGCACAGACAAAATTTCTGCCCTTTAGATCCAGCGGTTTGGTCTGTGCGTTATCAAATAAAACCATGTATTCCAAGGATGATGAGATTTTGGATAAGAAGACAACGATTAACTTTATCAAAATTTGATGCTTTGGCAAAATCTAAATATATTCAACTTATTGATGCACAACTTTGGTTGTGTAGTCTTGAAAAAGAAGACGATTTTGTAAGAGTATTCCCTGAATTTACTCCCGCAACTCTTATTCCTTATCTCAGCCCCACCATTAATTAAATTGACAGTTTTAAAGTGTATTTGAGTCGAGTTCTGTCTGTGACGCTCAAGTCATTACTTTTAAGCTGATGAGGCGCTCCTTCTGCAATAAGCCTAGCAGCTATCTCTGGCAGAGCGGCAGCACCATCGCATACAGCCTCAGCCTCAAAACATTTATGAGGACAAGATGGATGTCCTAACGATGAGAAACATCTTCCCGATTTGTTTATTTATAAACGCGGTTACGAATGTTATTTGAAATAGTTCAAAAACGGAGAAACAGTCGTCCACCGCGTTGAACTCAGAAGCAGGATGCCCGGGCTGATCGGCGTCAATGAGTTCGTTGACGAGACGAGGGAGGATTACAACTCCCCGACCACTTCGACTTTCGTCTCTCGTATGCCACAATGCAGGCAGACGATATCAAATTTGGAAGAGGTAAATATGAAACTTTTATGCCGGTTGGTAGATTCGCCCATTATATGCTCGACTCCCCTTGAAATGTTCACCCGACGCTCCACCCTTTAACTCTAAAATCGGCATTGTTTTGAATACTTTTTGACATTTCTGCATTTTTTTTTTCATTTTCAAATCAGACTTTGGATTTCGACCGAGACGGGCTGTCGAAAATGAGGAAGGCCATTAAATCCATACACAATTCTGGCAATTGTAAGTAATAAAATATTTACCATTAATTGACTGTTAAATTTAGTAAACATTGTGCAACAAGTTCTTTTTGAAGGATTTAATTCCAAATATCAGGTAGAAAGTTAAATTTTATGTTTCTATATATATATAAAAAAAGGCTAGTTTCTATTATTTGTCAAAGACAAATTTTATCAATTTCAACAAAGCATCTGTCCTCTAATCAATTTGATATTTTATCTCTAACCAGTTAAGATAAGATATTCCGAATCTTTTTCATTGAGTTGATATTTTCAAAAGTGCATTAATGGCTTTTAATTCTTATCAGTAACAGATTTGAATAAAGTAATTATTCCTATAATTCCTCAATGCAATGTTCTAAGTCCTTCTGCTATTTATCATACATTTATAAAAAAATCTCATACACACACTCAAACTGTCAGTTTTGCATGTATATCATAATGTCCATATGATTAACTGAACTAACTGCACAGTTCTATACTGTATTTGGTCGAAGACAGGGCTTCCCAACTGTGGCTGTCCTTCGGGGAACGCAGACCCGAACTAGGGCGTCTGTGGCGAACTTCGAGAAAAATTAATAATTTCAAAAATAAACGTAGAATGAATAAATAACGTGAAAAAACTAATAACAGTGGGAACTGAAAACGAAAGTTTTTTTATATTGCAGCAGCAGTCCTTGTACTCTCCATGGACATAATTTAGCTATGAAACAAATGCCGGCCTCTTTTAAGAAAGTTTTGGATGAGTCTGTGCAAATTATTAATTATATGAAATCGCAGCCATTGAAGTCAAGAATTTTCACAACACTATGATATGGGAAGCCTTCATCATTTTCTGCTTCACTATATAGAAGTGAGGTAACTGCCTCATGGGAAAGCACTTTCACGACTACAGGAATTATGCTCTGAAGTTTTATTTCTGTTTATGGACCACAATGTCAAATTGGCCAAAGTTTTCAATTATAAGAAATGGCAATGTATACTGTGTATTTATCAGATATTTTCATTAAAATGAATGAGATGAGTCTTTGCATGGTTGATACTATTCAGTATCACAATTCTTGATGAAAAATCTAATTTTAGGATGAATCAGTTGAGAAGTAAGAGGTGGAGTGTTTTCCTGTGTTAAATGATTTTTTCAAAGAAAACAAATTTGTTCTTGCGAACAGCTGCTAATTAATATGCTAGCGAAATAAATGAACACCTTTGAAGTTTGGAGATGCTCTTTGTGCATAAGTTCCCAACTGCTCGGATACAGTGCTGCAAGACTGGAATGGGTGGTCAAACCGTTTTCAATTTTGACAAACGAACCAAATCTTCAAGTGATTACGAGTGCTTGAAAGACACTACTTCGGGCTCCACCTTGCAATGTACTGTCGAGTTCGATACTTGCCCCTATTTTTTACTTTGCCTGACAAACAAAGAATTTCAACTGTTCATTGAAATAAAATTGCAGAATAAAACAACCTCATTTTCCCCCCAAGGGGAAGCCCTATCTCTGATCTGGTCTCTCAGTTCCCCCCTGTTAAACTGGCAGTTCTATCAGGCAGTTTATGGAAAATTTGTGATTCTGTTGAAACCAAGATCCTTCTACAAACTTCTTATTTGCTGGGAAATTCTTCTAGAAGGCTTATATTACCAGATATGATTGTATCTGCCTAATACAAATTCTATACCAAGGGTCGGCTCACCACCCCATGAATACTGTTACGCGAATTCCACGTGGTAAGATTGCAAGTAAATCGAATGGGGTTGGTTATAAATAAGGACCGGATTTATATCTGAAATGATATATAGGAAGTTTAGGGGTAGGCAAACAGCTGAGGTCATCACTGATCCTCTCCGTGTTTTTACGTTTTTTTCTGGTCTCTAGCGTATTTTTTAACCTACAGCCATTTGACCGATCTGCTAGTAACTCTCTGCTTTTATATGCAAACTTAAGTTGATATCCTAAAATGTATATTACATCTGTAAAATAGTCATTTTGGGACATATACTTATTTCCTCCAAAAGTATTAATAAGTCCTGTTTTACTGTTTCATTGTATTTTTTCTCGTTTCTTCAATTCTTGAGATGTTACAAGGAACAGTCAGAAACAATGTTATGATGAAAGACGTCAAAGCATTACATAAATGTACTAAAAAGTGTTAACCCAAATGTTTTTGTAAACTTGCTGGGTTTCTATAACCCTTAATTGCTGTTGTGATGTTTACTAAATGAACAATATATCTATTTGTTTAATGGTGTTTTGGTATTTCTTACACTGGTGTTATTAAAGATTTTTTTTTTTTGTGTTCTGCTTTATTGATGAAAACAGTTTCTTATAAGTGTTTTTCCTAGCTCATGTCGACAACGAAATGTATTTTGCGAGGATTCTCGAAAGGCTTGGAGGCAATGCCCTGTCGAAAGACCAGGAGCCGGACATTGCAGCCGCTTTTCTCAAGTTTGCCGTTGTCACCAAGGAGCTTTCTGCCCTCATGAAGACACTGGTAAATGAAGATACCATTAGTACTCAGCCTATCAATAAAAATTTTAAAAACCGTGATGCGCTTATTTTTATTAACAATGTTATTTTTTTAATTTAAATTAATCAAACTCTTATATAATTTTTTCATTATTTAATCAAGTTTATAATTAAGGTTACAAATTAGCTATGTATGTATGTAAGCGCAATGTATGTTTTAATAACATCTCTAAGTTGTGAGTTTACTACATATTTTTCTGAAAGACATATTTTTAGCAATGTCTTTATGCAAACAAAAATGGTGGAAAATTCATAAAGTAATTTTTTAAACTTAATTTGTTTAATTAGTGACTTAATGATTATACAAACAACAAAACCTTTTATATTGTTGATTTTTTTATATTAGTTTGTTCCAAAAAGTAAGTATTTACAACTGACAGTTTGAACTGAATTAAATGTGAAATTTCAAAAGGAATTCGTTTTAGATGCAAAACGTGAACAACATTGTTATGTTTCCTTTGGAGAGTCTCTTGAAGGGTGACCTGAGGGGCGTTAAAGGAGACTTGAAAAGGCCTTTCGACAGGGCCTGGAAGGAGTATGAAGCCAAGTATGCAAAAATAGAAAAAGAAAAGAAACAACAAGCTAAAGAGGCCGGGCTCATTAGGACTGAAGTGACGTCGGCAGAAATAGCAGATGATATGGAGAAAGAAAGAAGGCTCTTTCAGCTTCAGATGTGCGAGGTAATTAAAAAAATAAAATGTATGACAAAATAATATTTTGAGTAATTACTTTTAATTTTTTATTTTCTAGTACTTAATTAAAGTGAATGAAATAAAGACTAAAAAGGGTATAGAACTTCTACAACATCTTGTCGAATACTACCACGCACAAACCAAGTAAATAAAATACCTCAATCTTTCACTGCTAAATTTGTGTAAACTTTTCTTAATGATAGTATACAGTAGTAAAACCTCCGGGAGTAATAATGGGGAAAGGGGTCCATGGAAAATCTAAAACTCCGGATAATGGAATTTTTTTAAATGCGTTAATTATTAGGTGAATTAAGAAAACACTTGTACATATATTAATTTTATTAATAACATTTAATGGAAAAATTTTGATTAATTTTTTTTTCCTTCAAAAAATTATAAAAAATATTTAAGAGGTCAAACCGAAAAACGGTCTCTACAGTAATGTCAACAAAGCGAAACTAAAACTAAAGGCCTGTGGCACCAGTTCAATTTCAAAAGTACCCGCAACACTACAACAAGCTTCAATACGGAGGTTTTCTAGAAGGGATGTTTTGTTCCAAAACAATGCCCATATATGAGGAAGAATTTAGAGGATAGTTTCAGAACGATGGCCGTAATGAATGTGTTTAACGTAAACAGATCAGTGGGAGTTTTGTAGAAACAAGACAAAAAAAATGGTGTTTTTCATATCAGAAGACTTGTTGACACACAAAATATGTACTTGCATACAGGCCTGGGCCCCAGATAATGGAGGTTTTATTTTATTTGAAAAATGATTGGTGGTTGTTTTGGGAAATGCAGTCAGAACTTTAAGTTGCTACTAAAGGGGATGGCCAGGTTAATGAGTCATGGATTTGGACCAAATATTTTTTGGTGATTATACACTCCAAAATATCAGATATGTATAAGCCACTTTTTTCTGTCCTGGTTTCACAGAAAATAAGTTTTTAAGTTGAAATTTTCCATTTTTTAATATTTTTATTCTGCCTTTCTTTACTTGTTCAAATCAACTGTGTCAACATCATTTCAGCTTTTTTTAAATTAATTTATTTTTTATGTAGATTTTTATTGAAATAAAAACATAAAAGCTATCAAAGTTATCAATAACCAAAAACTTTCTAAAAACCAAATGTTTTTCAAGTAAATTAGGGCATGTTTTTTTTCTCATGAAACTAATATAAAATTTCGTTTTAGCACCTCTAGAGACCCCTAAATATAAATTTTTGTTTTAATTTAAATTTATTTATTTTTTGAGCCCTAAATTTTTCTGAATTTTGAAAAATCTTTGTTAGAATATCCGATTGAAATGGGTATAATTCAAAATCGGCTAAAAGGATTTTAACATCAAACAGACCATTTGAAAGAAAATCATTTCAGCTTTTTTTAAATTAATTTATTTTTTATGTAGATTTCAATAAAAACATAAAAGCTATCAAAGTTTATCAATAACCGAAAACTTTCTGGTTGGTTTTTGGTTTTTGAATGGTGTATGTACTATTAAAATTTAAAATCTTTCTATAAGAAAATACACAAAACAGCAAACTTATTTGTCAGAAATTTACCTCGTTTCTGGAAATAATAGTCTCATTTTAATGTTGATACAAGTATAAAATGCACAATTTCTTTAAAATGAATTAACACCCATGAAAATCAGTCCACTAGCTTTTAGAAGACAGAATCATTTTTCTCAAAACTAGCTAGTGAATTGACTTTCATGCTTGATAATTCATTTTAAAGTAAATTTCAAGTGCATTTTATAGCATCAAACATTAAAATCGGACTGTTATTTCTATTTAAAAAATGAGGTTAATATTGTAAATTGCTCTGATGTGTTTTTTTCTTGTTTTTATTATTGAACATACCCTAGTTTTAAATTAAATGAGTGTTTTTCTCTTTTATGTTGGTTCTAAATAATTTTCATTAGGTTGTAAATTTACAAGGATAATCAAAGAAAACTTGCAATAATTATGTTCACCTGAGGTATAAATAAAGTGTTTTGAGTAAGTATTGACTGCAATCCCAAAATTTACCAACATTGCACTTTTTTCTTATTTGAAACAGTAAATTTAATTTAATACCTTTGTTAAGTTACTTTCAAGATGGGTTGAAGACGATTGAGCATTTTGGAAGTTATGTCGCTGATCTTTCTGTAAAATTGCAAAAAGTACGCCAAAAGCAAGACGAGGAAAGGAGGCGCCTGTCGGAATTGAGGACCCTTCTTAGAAGTTCTCCCGGTCTTGAAAAAGAAGTAACAAAATTCAGTATAACGTTTTAATTAATTTTTTGTAAACATTGTTTTTAATTTCCAGATGGGCCAGACCCCTGAAAAAGGTGGAGGCTATTCCCTCCATCAACTTCAGGGCGATAAAGGAGCCGGTTTGACTCGGACCGGCCATCTTCTCAAGAAATCGGAGGGGAAAATGAGAAGAGTCTGGCAAAAACGGCGATGCTGCGTCCAAGCCGACGGCTACCTCGATATATGCCATGGCGATGAGACAAAGCCTCCGACTAGAGTTAACCTTTTAACCTGCCAAATAAAACTCGTACCTGATGACAAGAGATGTTTTGATCTCATCTCATGTAAGTGCATAGCAGAGCGTTGAAAAATTTCAAACAGTTGTAATAATTATTCGGTTTGATTTCAGATAACCGTACTTACCATTTTCAAGCAGAAGATGAAAATGATCAGAGGGCTTGGATGTCCGTTCTTGTCAACTGCAAGGAAGGGGCACTGCTCAGGACATTTGACGGGGGAAGCAAATCAAGTGGTGGTGTTGGGACCAACCCTAATCTTTTAGAACTACAACAAGCCATCATTAAACACGTTCAGAGGCTCCCCAGCAATGACAGATGTTGTGATTGCAATTCTCAAAATGGTAAATTAATTAAAATTTGGTTTCTATATTATAGATAATATAGAAATATAACTAATCAAGGATTTAAGACAGTTTACTTCTTTTTGGATTTTTGACATCATTGAATCCAAATTTTAAGTTAATCTTGAATCAGTTATACCAGCTATTATCGAAAAAAAAAATTTTTTTTTTTTTTAAGATACTACATGGTTGTGCATTAACTTTGGGGTAGTTGTCTGCATCGAATGTTCAGGAATCCACAGAGATTTGGGTGTCCATATTTCGAGAATCCAGTCATTAACTTTAGACCACATTGGTTCATCTCAGTTACTATTAGCTCGAAATATGACAAATCAAGGGTTCAATGACGTTATGGAAGCAACATTACATGCACATAACAAGCCGACACCTTCAAGTTCAATGTGAGTTATTACAAAAGCCTATTTTGTTAATAATATTTTTTTTTTCTTTAATTGTTGAAATTTGTATTTTATTGCAGGGAAGAACGATATGAGTTTATTCGTGCCAAATATGTTGATAAAAAATATGCTTTGCATTCATATGCCGATGAACACGAATTACTCAGTGATCTTGAGCATGCGGTGAACAATAAAAATTTGTACAATTTACTCCAGGTGTTCGCCGAAGGTGTCGACCTGTCTGCCCCCTTACCAACTTCAGTTAGTACAATAATTTTAAATATTTAACCTTCAGGCATAATATAACCATTATCACAGTGCCCATTTTATAATCTCTAAGCCCGCCCTGCACTAATAAAAACAAAGTGTGTAAGTTTCATCGAAATCAGTTCAGTAGTTTTTGTTTTTCTTATTAATATACATACAAATTTTCACTTGTATAGTTAAATTTATTTGTGATAATTACAAATAATTAAACACATTTGTAAATCGATTATTGCAAATTCATATATTTGCGTTATTTATAAAATGTTTTATTATTAAAAAAAGTGAATGTGTGGTAAAAAATTGGAATTATCTAAAAATTCATTAATTATTTCTATATTTACTACATATTAAAAATTATTTACAAAATACTTACATATTTACGAATTATTTATGAATAATAAATAAAATATACCTAGTAAAATACCATGAGGCCAAAAAGATGATCAAAAATAAAGAAATTCCTTTGATGTGCTGTCCTCAATTATACCTTCAAATAATTTTTTTTAAAAATAAGTTACCATCAACAGAAATGTATTTTATAGAGAGATGACAGAAACTTACCTATTATGAGGATTTTATTTTATTTTTTCAAAAAATTGTAACAAATCTACAAAAGGTCAAACTGAAAAACGATCTTCACAGTATCATTGACAAAGTGATATTAAACGCCTGTGAAACCCACTCGATTCAAGATTAAACACAAAATCCTACAACACACCTTGAAAAGTAGGGGTTTTCTAGAAGTGCAACATTCAGGAACATGTCTGTATATAAGGAAGAGTATTGTGTATTGTAAAAGTGGCAGGAAAAGTGTCTATTGGCATTTGGCCTCACTTACGCTTTTTTTTTTTTTTTTAATTTAACCTTGCTAAGTAGGATCAGATCGAAATACAACTTTCTTTCCAATTAACAATGGTGATGCTTTATCCCTTTCATTTTTAAGCTTTTTATGATCTAACAAATTAATACTTTTTCTATGGTGGTAGGATTGTGGTGAAACTGCTCTACATCTTGCAGTAACACGTGAAATGGGCACATCGTTGCATTTAGTAGATTTCCTCATACAGAACATGCCTGCTGGAGCAATTGACAAGCAAACCACAATTCAAGGGGACAAGTAAGGATTGTATTTACTTTAAAATAAATAACATGCGCGTACTTAAACAAAAACTTTTTACAGAGGTGGTGACAGCGCGTTACATTTGTGCGCCCTTCACGATAAGACTGAATGCATGAAACTCTTGCTGAGATCTGGTGCTGATCCGATTCTGCATAATGTTCAGGACAAGACTCCTCTCGACATCGCACAAGAAAGGGGAAACCGTGCATGTGAAGAACTTGTAAGTTTCATAATATTTAAAAATTCATTTTCACCAAGAAAAAATATAACTCAATCAAATAAGCTAAAAACCGTAGTAGTAACAGTGTATTTTATTGTAGATCCGTCACGCACTACAGAGGCAAAAGACTTTATTCGAAAATATAAATATTGATTGGAATCTTTCAAACGATGATGGTTCTACTGATTTTTCTGATGATGACACCATTATAGAAGACAGAGTGAGTGTTATAAATATTAGAACAAAATAAATTTCGAATGTATTGGTGTTGTCATTTAATAGAATGGCTGCGTGACACCGGAGAGGAAAAGTGCATCCTCAAGACCTCCGAGTTATGCCGAATCACCAGTTAATATGAGATCGAGATCTTCGACTTGCGACAGCCTCAAGTCCGGGAGTTTCAGGCAGCAGCAACAACAACAACAACAGCAAATGGGGCCTCCACCCATTCCACACAACAAAAAGCCACAGCCTACACATCAACAAAGTAATTCCATGTTTCAAACCTAAGCTTTAACCAAACTTTAAATGTGATGTCAGGGAGTAGGTTTAATTAATTAAAAATTTATTTATGTGTTAAGGTTGGTCTAGTTTTAAAGGTGCTTTTAGATATTTTTTTTATTCTTAGAAGTATGATTTAAAACTTGATGAAAATTTTTGAAATATGAAGCCTTGATGTAGATAGATAGAATGCAAAAATTTAATTGATTTAAAAAATACATATCCCACTTAATTAATGTTACATAAAAGTCTAAAATTAAAAATACCACATAAAAAATAATTGAAGTTTCATTGATTTAAAAAATACATATCCCACTTAATTAATATTACATAAAAGTTTAAAATTAAAAATACCACATAAAAAATAATTGAAGTTTCATTGCTAACAGACATGGGAACTTTGGGCAGCGTGAAAAAAAGAGCGGCTCCATTGCCTCCGCCCACCTCATCTGCGTCTACGTCACAGCAGTACAGTTATTCAACTCTTCCTTCTAGTCATAGCCGGAGCCCCTCGGATCCGAATCCTTCTTACCATACATTGAACCATCATAAAAGGTCTCCGTCAACTGATTCCTCAAGGGCAGTTCATCTCGGTAAACATTCACACTGAGTTTTATGTTTGTTCTTTATTTTTCAACACCGTTTTGTTTTGTTTTAACTTTTGATTTGATATTTGTTTTTAGCTGGTGCTAAATTAGTCATACCACCAGGTGAAATTCCTACTTTGAAGTCAACAGGAATTGATAAAACAGGTCTTTTTTTTTGTTTTTTTGTTTTTGTTTTGGGAGAGGGAATCTTAATTCTTTTAAACTTAGAAGAATCATTTAAAATTATAAGTTTAATTGGATAAATGGTTAAAATCAACATAAATTGTAAATTTACTTGCTTTTAATAAAGTATACATTAAGAAATAGAGAACCGACTAAACGCTTATTTCCAAATTAATGAATAAGTTTGCTTTATATTTTAATTAAAAATTGATTGCATGTGTAAATTAAAATTTCATCAGTTGAATTTAACTTAATTTGATACTTTAACATGTTCGTTACAGCACTGATTTGTAAAAAATTCTCCCAAGATACAGAAAATTTTTTGTTTTTTTTATGAGGTCATAAAAAATTTCTAAAAGATCAAATTGAAAAACTGTCTTTACATTAACATTGAGAAAGCGATACTAAAGGTCTGTGAGACCAATTTAAATGCAAAAGTATTACCAACACCTTACAAGCTTCAAAAGCAGAGGCTTTCTAGAAGAGGTGTGTTGTCCAGAATGATGGCCGTAACGAATGTGTTAACACTTTATAATTTCATACATGATACCTTAGTTTATTAAAATAGGGTAAAAAGCTTTGGCATTTTGGCTTCATTCAATAATTGATTTCTTATTACAAGTAACTCTAACAAGTAACTCAAAAATTAAAATATTCGGGTGAGTAAAAAGTTAAATAAATAACTCACTATTTTTCTTTTCTTACTCTTTCATGCTTGTGTGACATATTAAAGGTTAATATTTTTCCATGATTGAGAAATAAATTTAATTATAATTTTTATTTACTCACTCTGATATGCTCATAACCATTAGATCATCAGTTATTAATGACAAGCTTGATTTCATTTAGTTTAGTGGTTGACAAGTTAATTTACCAAAATATCATTTAAAGTTTAAAGTACTTTATTTGGAGATTTAATACAATTTCTGCGTTAATGTATACAAAATTAGCATAGATGAAGTATTGGGTTGATCGGAATTAAAATTACATAAGCAAAGAAATAAGATTTTTTCTGATCAACCTAAAACAAATTTATCAAATATGACAAGTATGATGGTGTGGTAAAATTTTGATCAGGTTCTTCAACCTCATAGATGGCAGTTTGCATATAACTATAGATTTCTGTAAATTACCTGTTGAATTTTCTAATTGGTTTTTTATTTTTGGGAATTAGGGAATATACAAAGACCAAGAGGCCCTCCACCTCCAGCGCCTTCACCTAGGCTTTCAAATGGCCAATCAACTGAAAGCATAACGTCAATAACATCAGATGCTGATCAAACCAACCCAGTTCCACCACCAAGAAAGGTACAACTATAAAAAATTAAATTAAAAAAAAAACAAATCCACAGTTATTTTCTTCATAAAACTTTAATTGAACAGCAGGGAATAGTTTGTTTAAACCATTGGATAAAGACAATTTTGTTATAAGATATCCTGAAGAATATGATTCTTTTTACAGAAGAAGACTGAAGGCTCATTGCTAGAGAGCTATCCAGAAGAGAGTGAGGTAAAACTTGTACCTCAAAATCAGTTTTCATCCAAGCTTGGATTTTTTTTATTTTGATATTTTGACCCCGGCTGTTTTTATTTATTATTTATTTTTATTACAATCTACCCTATTAATTTTTAGTCTAATTTTTCGCCATTAAAAAAAGAAAACCCTACAAATATGCATGGGCTGTTTGAAAATAAAATCAATATTTTAGGTTTGATTTGTAACTTTGTTTTCGTTAAAATAATTTTATTAATGGGTTGTAGGGCTAAATTTATAAACAAGAGTATAAAAAAATAAAAGTGTTAATTTCTAGGACAGTGTTAATGCTTATTGACATGATAATTTTTTATAGTGAGCCTTTGGTTTTTATAATAGATTTATCAATCACCTTTGCCTAATTAATTAAGCTTAAGATAATCCTAATAAGCTTAATGATAATCCTTTCAATATGGCTAGATAGACAAAAACTTGCAATATATAAAATTAGCATAGATTTATTGTTGTTGATCATCCTGTCCTGTCTATTCTTGCTAAATTTGTCTGACAAACACCTTGTGCCATTTTGCTCTCTTAAGGTGTATTGTTTTGATATTCATGTCTTTTTATGAATTATACGTTATACATGTATTTTATAAGAATAATACATACATAATGTACTTTAAAATATAAGGTTAAGGTTAGAGTAGGATTCGGCATATTTACAATCTGCTCACTGCAACCAGTATTGGTCTGTTGAACCTTTCCATTGTTGTCTAGATCTCTTCTTTAAGCTTAAGACTTTTACCAGTTACCAAAGCTTATTCAAGGACTCTCGTGTGTACCCTTCTGGTCCAGGTTTTTCTTCTCCCATGGGTAGGGAGAGAGAGCAAAGCCTTCGCACCAACAGGGGACATGTTCCGCTGTCTCTTCTTTCTTCCTGGCAATACCTACACAGGCTTGTTTTCGCTACCTCTGGAGTCTGGAGTGACCAGTTAGCAGTACAACTATCCTAATATGTCCTAGATTTAATAGTTCTGCCATTAGTTTCTGCAACGGTCCTTTGATAAACTGTTTTTGCATACCTCTTGACTACCTTCCCATTGAACAGAGGACTTATTTTTAATCCATTGTCTGAAGGATCCGTGCTTTTAGCAGTTTGGTATGCCACTAAAGGGTTCGGTCCAATAGGTGTACTGATCGAACCTTCGTTGGCCAATTTATCAACCTCTTTACTCCTGTATGTTCTGTTGGCCCTCGTACCCAGATAAGGGTAAATGTGTTGTTTTCCTCAATGTCTAACAGGGCCCTAATGAAGCCCCAAACTATTCTGAACTTTACTATCGATACAGTAATTGCTGTCAGAGTAGATGGCTGTTCTTCTGTTAACAAAGCCTATCCTTTTAATTTCCTTGGCAATAGCCACAGCCTACACGAGAACATCAGGCACTTTTTTTACTATTTCCCAAGGCTTATATGAATTCTAATATTTGGTTTATTTCCATAAAGACCAGCTCCTGACTCGTACTTGATTTGGAACCATCTGTATACCTGATACGGTTGGAATTAATTTGGATCCCTTTCTCCCAGTCTGCACTACCACATAGTTTCAGTTTAATTTTTTTCCAATTAATTATTCTTTTTATCTTAGGTTTTTGGTTGAAATGAAAAATTAGTGTCATGAGCAGGATTTGAACCCACAACCTTTGGCTCAACCGCTGCTCTAAATACTTGAACTATTGTGACTAAAATCCCCTCGGACACCAATTTACCATCTCAACCTACAACTGTTCAAATTTTCCCTTTTTGCTATTTTTCAAATGTTATTTAATCAGGATTTGATTCTCAATGAGTTATGAAGTGGCCACGGGAGCTTATTAGTGAAATAATTAATTATTTTAATTATTAAATTAATCCAAATTTGTTTAGTGGCCATAATTGATCATATTAATTATTCTTGTCATCTAAGGTTTTTGGTTGAAGTAAAAAATTGAAAAAATCTTAGATGAGAAGAATAATTAATTGGAATAATTAATATTGTCAATTATGGCCAAAAAACAAATATGAATTAATTTAATAAGAGCTGCGTCATATTAAGCCGAAGGTAGTGGGCTCGAATCTCGCTCATGACACTACTTTTTCATCTCAACCAAAAACTATTGATGAAAAGGATAATTAATTGGAATAATTAATACGGTCAGTGATGGCCACTAAACAAATATGGATTGTTTTTTGTTTGTTTAAATCAAAATCTGAATTTAGGTTTCAAGAGGCATCCACGAGGTACAAAGCTTCTCCTGGGATGATGTGTAGCGGTTGTAAATTCAAAAGGACTTCTAGGGTAGCAGTGCGTTTCCTTCTCATTGCCCCCAGCAATGCTCAGTCGAGCTAGTCTGATCAGTATCAAGGATCAGTTTAAAATATAACTTATTACTTAATAGACAAAATAGCTCAAAGAATGACTAGACAAACCTAGCAAGAATGCCAGGACAATCAGGAAGCATTTTAGAAACTTTAAATTTGGTGACATTACTGACAAAGAAAGAAAAATTGTTCATCTACAAATTAAAGCACACTGCTTGTAATGACAGTTGTTGACATCAGATATCAACTTTCAAAGGAGTATTGAATTTCCAAAATTTTCAACCTGAGGAAATATTCTTTACAAGGAGAAACACTTTAATTCTTGTTACTAAAAATCATGGATAATTTTGTATTTCTAACTTTTTAAGACTAAATTGTTAAAGAGCTAGTGTAATGCATCTTTATAAAAATTAAAGTGACAAGAAATAAAAGGTATTTATTTTCAGATTGAGTTGAAATACAATTTAAAATCTCTTGACTATTTTTACAAAGAGTTCTCATAAAATAAACAATTCTATTAAACTGTGGCCCTTTAACCCATTACTCTAGCATGTAAATGTGTAGATTAATAACATCATTCAAATTAATAATTTGAAGTAATAAAAGCGATTTTTCTTTTCTAGCCTTATTTCTACTGTCCACTCGAGGAGAAACCAGTTTGCACGACAAGGCCACGATGCAGGGCACTTTATGATTGTTCTGCCGACAACGAAGATGAATTGTCCTTCAGGGAAGGGGATATAATCATTGTTACAAAAACGTCCACGGACGATGAAAATTGGGTTGAAGGCGCCTTAGAAAGAGACCCTAGTATCAAAGGAGTGTTTCCGATAAGCTTTGTCCATATGCTTCAAGAGAACTAACATTATAAAGCTTTTATTAGCTTTCTTTTTTTTTCATTAATTTTTAAAGATTTTTGTTTGTTTTTATTTAAAAAAAAGTAAATCCGCACACCATCGGGCTTGTAAATATGAAAAACGAACAGATTTTTAAGTTATACTTTTATTTAGTTATTTTTGTCTAAATGATCACAAAATAGTTACTATTGTAACTTATTAGCTAAATGATTCGTTTTTTCTAAATTTAGAAATTAAAGAATATTTCAAAATTCTTACAAAAGAAATATTTTATAATAAAATGCACTTTAGAAAGGTTTTCAACTAACCTTTAAATATTCAGGATTTAAACAATTTTTAGCATTAAAAAAAGAATTGATTTCAAAAACATATTGGAAAATCTAATAAGCAATGTTTTATTGATTTTAATAATTAATGTGAGGGGAGGATATTGCAATTTTAAAATTATTTTTAACTTTTTTTTAATTTTATTACCTTTTTAGTCTTAACTGTGAAATTGAATTTCATTTGCTTTAAGCCAAATCATATCTCAAGCTCTCTCATTATTTTCTCTTTCGCTTTAACTTAAGTATAAAAGTTGCATAGTTATTTAACGCTCTTAGCAATATTTTTGTTTAATTTTATTTTTATTTTACCTCAGCCCAAAATCAAAGTTTTATGCCAAAGAGAGTTTTAAAAGAAAGTACAGTATTTCAGCTTTTAATTAAACGCTCGATGGTGCTTGGGTGATTTGTGGTGTTGTGTTACTTTGTGTGTTTTTTTGACATATTTCTGTTTGTGTACCCAATGTAATCGCTATTCACTAAAGGGATGCCATATTTTACATTCCATGTGCTCTAGTTCAGTCATATAAAAGAAAATTGTAGTATTTTAGACTTATCCACAGTATGAACATTATTATTATTTTTGTTAATAACAATTAATAACCCAGGTTTTAAACGACAAAAAAAAGTGTAGTTGGTGCCCTAACAAAAAAATTTTTTGTTTTAAATAGATACATGATAGCATGTTAAGGTTTGTCATTGACATTGTTTTTATTTAATTCTTGTCAATTGGACTTAATTTTACTACACATGAAACTTCACGACAATGTTTATACAAACATGCTCTCTTATTTTGAACGTTCAAGTATGTAGAAAATTTGGAAATTTCCAACCGTTCGATCCATCCTAGAAGAGAGTTTTATGGAACAGTTCTATAGTTTCTAAATGGCTGTTAAATGTATTATTAAGAAGAAGAATAAATATTGTAAATAATGTAATTTAGGTTCGTTTGTTTGTTTATTGAACAAATATCGACCGCATTTACCAGTGATATATTACCAATTTAATCAGTGATACCAAAGAATTTAGGGCTCGGTGGTTATTGAAAAATATTAATTGTAAAAGTTGAATATATAGCCTGATTATTTTTCTTTATAATCTATATATAAAAAGGTAGTGCTTTGAAAAGTTTTTTCTTGGATAACAATAATAAATCAGAATGGAAATGTCAGCAAATAGTGAAGTTCTGGTTAATATTTTAAGTCGTAAAAGCAATTAGGTGGCTCTAAAAAGTTTTGCTAAAAAATTGTCAGGCATTTAATAATTAAATTGAACAATAAATGTTAGCTGTATTTTGGTTTATAATTAAATCTTTTACTATGTATTATATAAAATGGGTTTAAGATATCCTTGTAGGAATAAAGAGTTATATTAATCGTCCATTCTTTGCATTAATACAATAAATAAAAGAAATTGAAAGGTTGTATATAGATTTTGATATAAATGACAAATAAACTGTAATGAGGGAAAAAATATACTACCATAAATTTTAATATATAAATATATCAATCCAAAAAGATGAAAGGCTATTAATGCATTATAAATAAAGATGTATTGGAAACTAATTGTTAAAGATTATATTTTAGTGATGTATTAAGAATGTGTTCAAATAAATAAAATGTATCACAAAAAATGATATAATTACATAATTAAAAATAAAGCTATCGTTGAATGATATAGTATTATAAAAATAAATTTTAAAAAAACTATATAGTATTTAATATGTATAAAACTGAATAAGATAGGATGCCAAATTGTTTTATACGCCTTCAGATTTTTACTATTTCTATGTTTTTATTGAAGATATATGTGAAAATGAACTTTCATACAGACATCGTATAAATGTATATTTAAAATGTTTATTAAAGATAATGTAACAAAGGTTCATATCATTTGGCATCTTATAGTTTCCTCAGTATTAGTTCTTTGATTGATGTTCGCACAAATTTATTTTTAACAATAACGCTTTTTTATGTAATTAATGAATGTTACCTTTTAAATTCTTTCAGTATTGATACCTTTTTGCAATTCAAAAGTGCTAAGACTAAAAGAATTGAAGGATAAAAATATTGTCCCTTAGACCGATGATTATATGTATATCATTAAGAGATTAAAATCCTCAAAAAACATAATTTGTGCAATAATTAACAAGTGGTTGCTTTAACAAAATTGTATGCAAGCTTTACCTAAATATTTATTTTTTTCCAAAATAGCTTAAATTGTTATGAAATTTATCATTATGCTTTATCTTCCAGCTTTTTAGTTTGATTAAGTATACAATTTTTATTTAGTAAAAGAATTTAAAATTGCTCATCACATCTTTTATTGGTACAAAGAAAAAAAAACACTTAGTGAATTTATGTTGTTATTTCTTATTACCTACCTACCCAGAAAGTTTCCTCAGAAATCCAAACTATAAGAGATTAATGTTTTATCCATTTTTCCAAAGTTTATTGAATTTTTTTCCCAAACTTAATTACTGATTTAACCATTTGTTCACAGTGATTAAAATTGAATTTACTGATCCAGGGGCATCAGTGGTCGCAACGGTTTAGACATTGACATAAAGTAGGCGTTCATGTAAAGGCCCTGGGTTTTAATCCAGCTGCCCTGCATTTGAACCAGACATACTAACAACAAATGGGCTTTTTTAAAATAAAATAAAAACACTGGAACCATGTTCATATAATCTCAGAGGTAAAAATGTGAAATACTTTTATAAAAATATGTCTACTTCAACATTGATAAGCATGATGATGCACCATAATAATTTTGGATTAAAAAGGTTAATTTATCACTGTCAGACTGGAAATTGAGAAATGTCAAAACACTTCTGACAAGTATGCAGACCAGAGTACTATAAGATTGTCAATTTTTTTTTTCAACTTATTTATTTATTGTGGACACAAGATACCTAATTCAGGGTTGCTGAGATCTTATCCCACCTGGGACCTTCTATTGACGAGAGCCGTGTCAACTTTTATCGCAGCCACTGTTCCCCTAATGTGACAGAAAAAAAGTCCTGAGGGAATCGAACCCATGACTGCAGGATCTACTAGCCGAGAGTGACACTGTCTATTTGGCTACTGTGGTCCCCCGCTTACATTTTTAATGGATCAAATTTTAAAAACTACTGTTACAGCCGATAAAATTTATATAAATTAAAGTTAAAAATAAGAGAAAAAAGAAAATAATGGAGGAAACAAGGGGAAAAAATGATCAATAATATTTAATTAAAAAAAAAAATAAATAAATAAATAAATCAAATAAAGGGTGGGAGGGTGTATTCTGCAATTGTAATTTACTTACCCACTTTCTACTTGTACAAATTGCTGCATGAAGTGATGATGCATGATTCAACACTGAATTAATATATTTTTAAAAGAGAAGGCAGGAGCAGGGAAGAGATTCCTTTATCTTAAAACAACTTAATCCTCTAGTAAAGTACAAGTAAACAACTAAAATTAGTAATTACAGTCTTATCGAAGATTTTCTTTGAAAAGTGAACACATTCTTCTTTCCAGCCAGAACTACAGTTAATAAATGAATATTTTATTTTTCTTTCTAAAATATAAAAAAGTAGCATTGTGTGTGTTTAATTTTTACAGTCATATTTTTAAATTTTTAAAGGCCTCATAAATTATGATGAGTTTGATTCTGGTTTGGTTTCTACGATAATTTGAATTACGAAAAACCCAATAGAATATGCTTACATAACAACCAAAAACTGAAGGTCAAAAAATACTCCTGAAATATTTAACTTTACTATTTAAAAAAATGAAATAGATTTTTTTGTAAATTGTAATTGCTCATGGAAATTTATTTGTTTGTATTATTGCTGAATAAGAGTGTGCATTTCTGACGTGGAATTGAAAATTTTGATTAAATCATCACAATGCTATTTGTTATGTAAGCATGCTTTTAAGTTGATCCAAAAATAAACAGTCATTTATTACGGGAAATTGAGGTAACACTCCTTTGCTAGACACACTTTCATGTCAAGAAAATTTAAAATTGGCTGTACTGACTTTTTTTCCAACATAATGGTCGACGAGTTATTCTTTAATAAATTCTTGGTAGAAAATCCTGAAATCGGGTTGATATGTAAAATCATAAATCATACACCTGTGGCACATTATGTAATTCATATCATATAAAAATAACAGATCTTTTGTAAAATTGTACAATATTCATCTGCTTAATATTCAATAAATTTTCAACGAGTTTTCAAATAAACCTGTCAAATCTTCTTCGGTCTGCGGTCTTGGAGCAAGTTTCAAGATACGGTCCTGAAATAAAATTGTGTTAATAAAAACCTATTTATTTGTTTCTAAAAAAAAAAAAAATGTAAAATGTATTTATATTTTTACTTGTGGCAAGGTTCCCTTAACCAATGCTGGAATGTCATCTTTGGTGTAACCGAGTTCACCAAGGCCATTTTCAACCTTCATAGTGTCCATGTACTTCCTTACTACATCAGCAAGTATCCGGCCTGGGAGGTATAAATTGTATTTTAAAATAAATAAAAATAAGAAATTCAATGTAAAAAATAATAATTTACCTGCATCGCTTTTTTTAGCATTTGACACGTCAGCGCCCAGAAGACCTGCTGCTTCAATATGCCTTTCTGGGCAGAAATCTCCTGTGAAGTTGAATATTGTTGGCGCACAAATAACAACCGAGAGCCCATGTGGAATTATAGGATGGTCTTTGCTGAAATAATTTGCAAAATGAACTACTATACTTAATTTTTTATATTATTTAGTACAAGAAAAATTGTTAAATTTAAAGAGTTTATGTTTCAATGTGTACTATATACCTATAGCCTTCAGGCTGGTATGTTTTAACATTCCCAGAGATTGCATAGGAAAGTCCGTGACAGAGATGAACTCCAGCATTTCCAAAACCGACTCCTGCCATAGTTGACGCCAGGTGCATGTTGGACCTCGCTTCTAAATCTTCTTGGTCATAAACTGCCCTGTTATTTCAAATATTGAATATAATTCAAGTAAAACAAAAATATAATTAAAATTTAACTCACCTTTTAAAATATTTGTTCAATGTTTGAAGAGCGTATCTGGCCCAGACATCAGATACTGGGTTTGAACCCTGGTATGCCGGTCGGAGGAGAGGGTTTGGTGGACAAGGCTTTCTCTTGTTGAAAGGAATAGCTGTGAACGACTCCAGGGCATGACAAAATACATCAAATCTAGAGAAATTTAATTTTATTTAATATCTTCCTAATGAGTATATTTTAATTTGTATACCCGCTGTAAGCTACAACTCTTTCTGGCAGTGAGAGCGTATGGTGTGGATCAACCATACCCAAAGTAGGTCTCAGTGCTCTATTTGCAATTCCAGTTTTCGCATGTAGTGGCTCGTAATCAAATATACTGACTCCTGTAGTTTCACTCCCAGTTCCAGATGTTGTTGGGACTGTTTTTAACACAAAAATGGATATTTTCTTGAAATTCTTCTTAAATAGCAAGTTTATTTTGCTTGTTTTATGTCACTTACTGTTTTAACCAAAAGCTGCTTGGATATAATTTTCTTGTTAACATTACATTAAATTAAGAACTTAAATATTCTTCTTACCGGCTATTAATGGCTTTAATGGGACCGTGACAGGTTTCCCTTTACCAATGGGTGCATTGACATAATCGAGAAAGTCAGCATCAGGGTCGCTGGTGTAAAGATTGGCTGCTTTACATGTATCCATGACCGAACCGCCACCAACGGCAAGAAAACAATCAAAATTAGAAGACTTTGCAAATTTAGTCGCGTCTTCAAAGCTATAGAGAAAAACTCAGATTAATAACAATAATTAGAACTAATGTTTAAAAATACCTTTTATCTGTCGGTTCTACTCTCACTTTGTCATACACGCTAAATTTGACATTATGCTTTGTGAGTGAGTCAATCACTGTTTTAACCGGCTGAAGCTTTGAAAGGTGTGGGTCTGTCATGACACAGACGTTCTTCACTTTCATATTCATCATATCCATTCCAATTTCCCTCGTAACACCTGGCCCATATCGAATAGTTGAACATGCCATCTAAAATTGTAAAAAATACTTGATGGGATTTCTTTAATTTTTAAACGTTTAATATAATTTTATATACCTAACAAAAATTTCACATTTATATAATTTTTAAATATTTAATGCAATTAAATATACCTAAGATAACTTATATACCTAGGGGAGTGCGATGGCTGAGTGGTTAGAGCGTTCAACTCTTATTTGTCATGCAATCTTCGGTTCGAATCCAGGATAGCCCACTGCCATTTTTCAAATGTCGTGTATACACACATACGTATTTTACACGACATTTGAAAAATGGGAAAAAAAAGGGAAAATTCAAAAGGTGCGGTAGAGATGGGAAGTTGGTGTCTGAGTGGATTGAGGTCACGATAGCTCAAGTGGTAGAGCAGCGGCGTATCAAGCTGAAAATCGTGGGTTCAAATCCCACTCGTGCCATTGACTTTTTTATCTCAACTAAAAACCTTAATTAATTGTAATATATTAATTGGTCAAGCAAACTACGAAATTAGTGAAGTTATTATTAGTTTTAGTTCTTTTTTATTCTTATGTGTATATTTATTTCCCTTCTTATTGTTATTCTGGTTTATCCTTATTTCTTCTTCTTTATATATTTTTTATTGTATTTAACTAATTCATTATATTAGTTTATTATTATTATATTAGTTATTTACTTTATTTCAAGAAAATTTATACTTTTGTTAACAGTTTACAATCATTTATAAGGGGTGCCGGTGGCAGCAAGGTTTAGTCTTTGACACGGCACTCATCACTGTAAAGGTCCTGGGTTCGAATCCATGGCCCTGCATTCGAACCCAACATACTTACAAGTGGGCTTTTTTTCAAAAACACCGGCACCCTGAGGGTTTATAATATGTATGACCTCTGCTGTTGCGAACCCTCGTTAAAAAAAATAAATAATAATAATAATTTATAATCAGAGAGGTTTATATTATTTCACAATGTATATAATTATTTATTTTACTTTATTCTGTTAATATTATCATCTGTGTAGTATTTAATGACTGTTCATTAATGATTATTTGGAGATCATTAGATGCGGTCTTGGGTGATGTAGGTTTAGAAAAGCATTTTCTTTATCTTGCCAACATTTCTTTCTTTATTGAGACCATCTTCAGGGCCTGGGATTTTTATTGTGTAAATTATACAAATACATGTAAATATTATTTTACTGCATTTTATTCTCTTTAAATAAGCCAAAATAATAAATGAGCATCTTGTGCATATGAGTGATAAATTTTTATTACCTCAAATGATTGGAAAAAATATAGATTTAGGTGCAATAAAATTTAAAACACACCCAGGACCAATAATGGTTTGAAAGACTCCATTAAATTTTTGTTTAATAAAATGGGAGGGGCATTGGTGGTCACAATTGTTAAGGCGTTGAGTCGGCGTGCACCCTACTTACAATTTTTTTTCACAAACAACACCACGGGGTTTAGTATGTCCTTTGCTGTTACAAACCCCCGTTAAAAAATAAATAAAACTAAATAAAAATTGTGTGATCAAAGAAAATTGAATGCACTCTTAAGAATAATTTTGAATTAGTAATTTTATGCTGGGTAATGGGTATGAGACCATATCCAAAGATCTTAATATGTTTTAACTTCTCAAATATAATAAATATACTGGTTTGAAAATTAAAAGAAAAAAAAATCATGTCATAAATGAGGACTGTATGTCCAACTACTTGTAAGTAACCCATTGGGTGTCACAGACAAACAGTCACATCACTTTACAATACGTTTTTCATATTTCATGGGCCCTGCCAGGATTTGAACCCAGAACCACTAGAACGGCAAATATAGGTCGGAATCCCTAACCACTCTACCAACAGGTTTGAATCTTCTTTGTGTATCACTGTAATAGACATCAGTGGCATACAAACTACTCAGGGGGTCAGGCACTTTGCAATACTTTTTTCTACAAATAATTCTACTTATGTAGAAAATTTGAAAACCTTGATTCAGCCAATGTCACTCTACCAATTGTTGCATTAAAAAAATGTATTTTATTTGTTTAAAAGCTGTTTCAAATAAAAAAATTCAATGAATACTTTTTTTAAGTAAGTATTCTGATAAGCTTTTCTGTTTTTTTATCAAGGTGTTGATTAATTTAAGGCTGCATTAATCAAGATCATGGCTGTCAGACAACAAAAGGGCGCATTTTGTTAATAAAACATGCAATTAATTAATTTAAATATACTGAACAATAGGAAATAAAATAAGTCATTACATACTGAATGATCTTATTTAGGATTTTTACACATTTAAATTTTTAAAAATAATTATAGCATAAATTATCCATATATATATTCGATTTTCCACTTAATTGGGCTATTAAGGGATATAGATAAATTAATATAAAATAATTATTGAGCCAAGTTCAACAATGGATTAATCCATTTAAGAAGGCATATATTAATGGTAGTACCCTATCTATTAGGTAATTACTTAGTTCTTTTATCTTCTTTTTTTATAGATAGATATAGAATTGGATTATTGTTACGTAAGGTCAGTTGTGAGTTATTCAACCGATATAAGAAAGGAACATCACCCCATTCTTCCCTTGACCTTGGTAGATCGGTGTTACTTTTTAACCATGGTTGACCAAAATTATACCTCAAAAGCATAGTCAGTCTCCGGGAGAGGTACGGCTGTGGTCCCATTTCTGAAACGAACCGGCACCTGCTGTGAATGAGCCGGGCATTTACACCTGTTGAACGAGACTCATTGAAAGCCAAATAATTAAAAAACAAAAAGTTTAAATTAAAAAGCTTACGAGGCTGAAGTCACTGTCTGTATCAAGTCCAAAACCCTCTTTCTTTGGAGCATTTTGTGCTTATGAACGAGATTGTGGAAAATCGGACAGCAGGATGTACTATCCAACTCAAAGTGAACCTTATCACCTAATTTATTCACTTCTAAACGTTTTAGAGGTCACCTCGATCCCCCACCACAAGATAAGATTTTAATTTTCACCAATAAAGTTATCGAGATACTTGTTCTCTATTTTTTTTAAATAATTTTTGTCCACACTTTTTGTAACTATGATTTAATTTTTCGTATTAAAAAAACTTACAAAATAATAACTAAAAAATCATTTTATTTGATCAAACAAATAAGATTGCATAGAGATAATCTTCCATGCTTTTGAATGATTCTTCATTCTTCACTTGGTACTCTCTTGAATAATGGATATCGTTTTGATAAAAAGACAATATATTGAACTTGTGTTTACAATTACTTCAAATTTATATTGGCAAATAATTTGTCTCTTCTTGATTTTTACTTTTTATTTTAACAATTATGGATTTTATGGCATAAATGATTCAAGTGGCGTAAAAATGATTAAATCTGACGTTTGTTTGAACCTCAATTTAATCAATTGACTTTAGGGTTAAGTTCCTTTTGTTGAAACGAAACTAGTCGTGTACTTTTAATTTTGGAGAAATTATATTTGCCAATCAGTGGCGAGCAATACACGCATTCTTGAAAATCTACAGTTGTTGAGGATACAAAAACGAATTATCACGAGATACATAATTGACTTTAAAAGCTTAACAGCACGGTTTAACAACAGAGAAGCTTTTTTAAGTCTTAAAAAATAATTTTTCCCCCCCGAGAGACGTGACAACTGGGCCGGCCGTTTGTCCGTCTCTGGGTCGATCAATACGATCAGCGTAGTGAAGCCGAGCCGTAGTGTCAAGTGGAAATGGAGAAGGCGAACTTTTTCTTCCCACAGGACAACGTCTGCCGGCTTTGCTGCCTTGTCCATGACAAACTTCTGCCCATTTTCGACAACTCGGGGAGCAGGGTCGAGGAAAAGATCAAAGACTGTCTCCCTTCGTTAGACGTGAGTCCTGCCCTTTTTAATAATTTAGTCGTTTTCTGTTCAATCACTTTGCTTATTTATTTGTTAAATTATTTATTTACTAAATCGCAGGAAACAACACGGCGACCAGTTTTATTTTCAGGTCTTACAATGAAGAGAATGCCAGGTTTAACCGGACGATACTAAACCCGCATGATCGATCTGTCGTGCGGGTTCTTTCTTTTACAAGGTATTTTAACTACGGGGTTATATGAACCATGGGGTGCCGGTGTTTTTGAAAAAAAAAGCTCGTTTGTATGTCCGGTTAGAATGCTGGGCCGCTGGGTTCGAACTCGGGACCTTTACCTTACAGCGATGAGCGTCAACCAACATATAAACCGTTGCGGCCACCGACGCACCTGCTTCTCTCTTTTTAAATTAAAATAATTCATCAGTGACAAAATAAGTCTGGCAATAAATTATTCTTCACATTTTATTAATAATTTAAGACACTTCATGATAGAAATATGAAGATTAAAATAGAAAGAAGAAGATGAGAAAGAGCATTGTTTAGTTTAGATATTACAGATAACCAAAATTTTATTCTTCAGACTTTATTAAAAAAACTCAATTTTTTGCTTAATAACACATAAAAATACTTCATGTTTTAACTTCAATATATTGGTTTTGAAAATTTGGATTCTGCAGATAGGCAAATTTTATTCTTCAGACATAATAAAATTTGTTTCCATTTCATGTTTTCAATTTCACTATATTGTTTTCTAGTGGTTTCCTTATTTCCAAGTACTAGTCTCTGAAAATAGTAAAAAGTAGTTTTGTAGAATTTAATTCTGCAGAGAGCCAAATTTTATTTTTCAAATTTCATAAAAATTCCAGTTCTGGTTTAATAAAACATGTTTCAACTTCAACATATTGTTTTCTATATAGTTTCCTTATTTCTAAATACTATACTAGAAAATAGTGAAGGGTAGTTTTGGAGATTTTAGATTCTTCAAATAGTCAAAATTTTATTCTTCAGACTTAATAAAAACTCCATTTCTTGTTTAATTATAAAATACTTAAAATACTTCATGTTTTAACATCAATATATTGTTTTCTATATGGTTCCCAAGTTTGAAGTACTATTCTCAGTTAAAAATAGTAAAGATTAGTTTTGTGGAATCTACATTATGCAGATAATCAATATTTTATTATTCAGACTTCAAAAAAACTCCATTTCATGCTTTCAAATTTTCAAATCAATATATTGTTTTCTATGAGGCTTGATTATTTCCAAGTACTATTCTCTGAAAGTAGTAAAGAGTAGTTTTGTGGAATTTAGATTCTACAGATAGCCAAAATATTATTCTTCAGACTTCATACAAACTCCATTTCATGTTTTAATTTCAATATATTGTTTTCTATATGGTTCCCAAGTTTGAAATACTATTCTCAGTTAAAAATAGTAAAGATTAGTTTTGTGGAAATTAGATTCTAGATAGATAGTATTTTATTATTCAGACTTTATAAAAAGTCCATTTCATGCTTTCAAATTTTCAAATCAATTTATTGTTTTTTATGGGGCTTCCTTATTTCCAAGTACTATTCTCTGAAAGTAGTAAAGAGTAGTTTTGTGGAATTTAGATTCTAAAGTCAGCCAAAATATTATTCTCCAAACTTCATAAAAACTCCATTTCTTTTTTAATAATTTCCAGATGTCTAGAAAAATGTCTGAGATTGTTCCCATCTTTAAATCAGGCGACAAATCTCTAGTATCTAATTACCGCCTTATTTCAAAACATTCACATATAGGCAAACTGTTCGTGTCATTAATATATGATAGTCTCAACCCTTAATTACAACACCTCATCATTGATTAGCAACATTGTGACCCTTAAATATACAACATCAAATCTCCTCACTGTCCAATCTGCAATAAATAATTCATTTAAAAGTAATTACCAAATGGACATAATCTATACTGATCTATCTTAAGTATTTGACAGAGTCAACCATGAACTACTTATAAATATGTTGGACTCCATAGACTTTACTACTCCGTCACTAAACGGGTTCAAATCTTATCTTTCTAATCAGAAACAAGTAGTGAAAATAAACAAATTCTTTTCAAAAGAATTTGATGCTATGTCAGGAGTGCCACAAGGAGGACATCTCTCACCATAACTATTTAATCTCTATAGTAAAGACGTGAAATATTACATTAAATTAGCAATTTCTGTCTTTATGCTGATGATTTGAAGCTTTATAAACTCATCGAAACCCTTCAGGATAGTCTTGATCTCTAGTCTGACCCGAACTCTACTCATGAATGTTGTCAATGGAACTCAATGACGCTGAATATTGAGGAACGTAATATTGTCACTTACACTTGTAAAATCAACCCCATTAATTAAAGTATAGATATTGGCTACTTTGGCAAAACTTTCTGAAATCAAGGATCTTGGTGTCATTTTTGATAGTAAGCTGAATTTCAATTCTCACATCACCCATATCATAATTACATCCTGTCAAGCTCTCAGGAACTCATCAAACTAACCAGCAAATTCTCAGACTCAAAATTCTTTCCTGTACTCTCTAGTAGATCTTTGTTAGATTGGATTTTTCCATTTTATAAATCTTAAAGAATAAAAAATAAAAAACCTACAAAAGTGATATTGTTTTCAGATTAAACAAGGTGATGGCAAGCCCCAGCTAATTTGCTTGGACTGTATGACTAAATTAAATATGTTTTATGAATTTCTTCATCAGTGCATTCAAGCTGAAAAAAAGCTCGATTCATATGCTGACAAGTGTCATCCACAAGAAGTAAATATTCAACAAATTATTTTTATTTGAATTTATACTTAAAAAATATTTTTCAATTAGGAGACTATATTAAAAAATATAAATCACCATGATGTTAATAGCTGCATATGGGTCAGCGATCAAAGTTCTAAGACACAAGAGCCCTTGAACGTAGGCCTTGAAAATGAAGGTGTTATTGTATTGAGCAAACTGGACTCAACTCTAAATGATTCCTCGGTTCAGGATCTTGTCGTGATGGTTGAACTCAAGTATAAAGACAACCTGTCGTCAAATGGGACAAGCATTCTTGAGCTGTCGCCGATGAAATCAATCTCAAACCCAGCAGAGGGACCAAGTTATGAGACTTTATTAGACCTTGATACAATTAAAGAAAATAACATTATAAACTACATGGGGGACCAGAATCATTTGAGCATCGGTGAAAAGATAAATGAACAGAAAAAAGAATCCAATCAGTAAGTTCAAATGCTAATTTATTTCAGGTTTTATTACTTACAACTGATTGTTTCAGACCTGCTAAAGATAAAGTTTTATATGAATGTACTTATTGTGAGAGAAAATTCAACAGAAGGACAAGATTGAATTACCATCTGGCCAGTCATACAGCCATAAGGCCACATAAATGCGATCAATGTGATAAAACATTTGCAATGAGGTAAAACACATAAACTTTTATTACAGTACTTTCAAAATTATGTGTATCTTCTTAATTTTAAAAGGTGGGATTTAAACCTACACCAGAAAGTCCATACAAGAACTTTTGCATGCGAATTATGTGACAAAGTATTTATAACTAAGTCCAAACTTGATCGTCATGCCAGAGTACACACAGGAGAAAAACCGTACCCGTGCAGCCATTGCGGTAAGTCTTTCGGCGAGAAACGGAACCTTGATAATCACATCAGAACGCACACTGGTATTAGGCCATTTGTCTGTGCGATATGTGAAAAGACATTTGCGATCCGATCGCATATGGTGGAACACTTAAATATTCACAAAAAGACACCACCTTTCAGGTAACAAACATTATTTTACACATGGTCACAGTAATGTAATGGATAATTTTCTACAGGTGTCCTGTCTGCAGTAAAACTTTTAAGTGGAGGACGAATTACAAAAGGCACCTTAGGCTACATCAAGGATACAACTGTAAATAGAAAAATTAATGCAAATTAAACTGCATTCCAAATGTTTTAATTTTTATATAATTTATTAAAGAAATTAGATTTTTTATGTTGTTTTAATGTTTAAAGATAGATATTTAGCTTAGATAATATATTTCCATTACTATCTAGTGCCAAATCTTTAATATTATATTTTGGGACCATAATTTTTTTTTAAATTAGTATTTATAATGTAGCACAATTAATCGGTGCTTTTTGATGTTTTTGTTGATTTTGGAAACTTTTTATCTATTACAGTCATAAAAGACCAAATGTTTGTTCTTATATGTAATAAAATATTTATTGATGTGATAATAGAAAAGTAAATATTTTTGGGGTTACCATTAAATTTATCTAATGGTTTCCAATAAATTTCTATGTATTTACATACTTTACAGTTAAATCGGCTGAGAAGAGACCTGAACAAGAAAGCCTGACTTAACTTAGGGACCGTATCTCATCTCAGATTTAACATTTCCATTTATAATCACTCATTATCATGTATTATAATAATTGAATATCAAATGTTTAAAATAAACTGTCTTTCATCTCTATAGAATTTGACTTAAGAATGAAATGTACATTTAAGATCGAGGCTAATTATCTATGAAGTTATAGAACCAGGTTTGAAAGGTATTGATTTGCAAATAGTAGATTAAAATTTATTTAAAAAAATTAAAAATTAGAATATTATATTGTTATATACATTTTTAAAGTGAGAAAACAATTTTCATTTTGTTGAAAGTACTTTATATCAAATAAATTCTTTGTTATATATTAAAAATTAAATAAACATAGTTATTCAATTAAAGTTATAAATTTGTTAGTCAATGTTTTCCTTAATCAAAATATACATACAAAGTATCTATTATAAACAAGTGTACAGAATTTGTCTTTAAATAGGTAATTCTACTGCAGTTTCTACTTATATTGGCTCATGAGGTGCTGTTGACTAACTGATGAAAGTTACATTGAAGCTTATGACAAAATAAAGCCAACAAGAATAAGTAGACCAGGATAACCTTTAAACCTAGAAAGACAAAGGACTCGATATTCCTCTATTACCCATTATATAATTAATGTAATGGAGGGTCAATGGGGTACTCAAAACTAACAAAGCCCTCTCACATTACACATTCATGCTAATAAATACATTCACTCTAATGTATTTAGAGTTCACAAAATAAGATATCTAGCAATACTGTATACAATAAAACATGTTTTCTCCAAAAATTAGAACAGGGGTCCCAAATACTTTCTTTACTGTTCTAACAGAATTTTCATATTGGATAACATTCCTACAGGCTATCTATATGGAGCCATGAAATGTCACTCTTCAATTAAGTGAGATCAGTCGAGCATTTCTACATGCCAGATACTTATGAAGGTTTTGGCACAAAAGTAAGTGGCCATGTGTCAACCTCGCATGGCCTATTACCAAGTGAGTATGATCACATTTGTTTCTTTCCGATCCAATCCACCAACCCATTTCCTTTACACTATGACAAAGCCATTTCATAAAAGCCGCCAAAGCGACATAAACAATCGAGAACAAGAGTTCAAACGATTGAGGAGGCAGACGAGAGGACGGCGGCAGGACTAAGGTAGAGCCACACTGGATTTGGAGTTACTCGGTCGCTTGCAACTTTAGAAAGAAGATGAAGTAAAAATAAAACTGTATGACCTTATCAAGACAAAAAAACTGCTAGTGAAAAATTCTTGTGGAGTTCGTAATACTATACAACCTGTCCAGAGAAAAGGAAACCAAAAAATAACTTTACACTTAATTACATTCTATCATAAGAAAATATTCCCTTTTCCTTACTTAATTAGTTGTAACCATTTATAAAATATATTCGATTCATTAATTTGTTATTAATATAAGGATCTTTCATGTTTAACGGGTACAGACTTATTTTATTTTTTATAACCATCATATTAATCCCACAACGTTATAAATACACGCTCCCACAACGTTATAAGATACATTTTTTGTTGCATTTTTATTTTTTCGCATGAGAGGGCTGGATCAGATTGGTGGTCAGACTCGGAAGTTGGGATTTCCTAGCCTTAGCCATATTGTTCATCTTTATAAGGTACGGCCTAGGGATGCAGACAATTTTGCCTAAACGCAGTTCAGAGTATTTCTCAAACAAGATCATGAAGAGAGGGTCCACAGAGCACTTATCACACACAGCACTAAAGAATGTAGATGAATGAGGTAAGCAGAGTCGCCATCTTTTTGAATCCCCCAAGCCTGTGCAAAATTGCATACAATTCCATTGTGTAAACAATACAGTGTGACTGAAGTTACCATGAAGTATGTGAAGATAAGGCAAAAACTGGCATACCTCTATATATATGAACCACTTAGCTCGATAACAGTATTGTGGAGTGGATGACAGCTACACGGTGAGTTTGTCCTTGCTGAGTATTTTGTTTTATTTTGTCAAGAGAGAAATATTTTTGTGTAATGTTTTTTTAATTATCATAATTATTTTTCAACTTTGTTTTACAACTTGATGATTTTTAGCGAGTAAAATGCATGTATTTAAAGTTGATTTTTATTACATCAGTTATTGCTGCAATTAAATGGTTATATTAAAAAACTATGCACTCGTCTTTATTTTATTATACAGGCTTCCAAGTTTTGTACACATTGTTACTTATTTGCATAAATTACATATTTTAAATTCAAATCGACATACACAGAGGGTTTTCTAACAATAAAAAAAAAATTAATATTTTAACATGTCCATACCACGGGCAGCCTCTTGATAACAATACAAAGCTCCTTCAGTCCTTTTTTTCTGTGGAGGAAAAACAAACTAAAATAAACTTGCAAATGTATATTTTTTAAATGATAATAATACTAAGTTAAAACTCTTACCTTTCCTCCATTTCTCTGCCGATACAAATTCAGTCATTCCTTTACCACTCACACCACATGTTCCAATGCCGACTCTTCCATTTACGTTATCGGGTGAGGCGAATATACTCTTTTTAACAACACCTTTCTTTGTTGACTGCAATATATTAAGAATATTAATAATTTTTTATTTATATTTAATAACCAATATTTTTTTAAATATAAAACAGAAATTTATTTATCCAGACTTCATGCAATGCAGCACATCACAATTACTGCTCTTACTTCCATACTGTGTGATAACTTTAGTTACATTCCTACTTTGATTGCATCATAATAATTATTAGTTGTGTTTTTTGCTTTATTTTATTGTTTTTAAAATTTAGATTATCTTTTGTATTTTAATTTTTAATATTATCACTTGCTTTTTAATGAATTAATTTTTATACTCAGTCCAATCGCACACTGATCTCTTATCTTACAAAATAAGAAAAAAATAATAAATACACATATGAGTGGTAACTTTAAATTACTGGCCTAATATCTAGTTTGCAAATGAAATAAATACATTAATTACATTACAATGATACAAGTAATATGCAGTCGAACTGCCATAAGCAGGCAACACTTGAAAATGGGATTTTGTCCGCTAATTAAAAGGATCCACATATAGAAAAATTATGAGGTACACTAGATGAAAGTTAAAAAAAAAAATAATTTAACCGTTTGGGAGTGATTTTAGAATGCCCTGCCTCAGTCGCTATGTGATTCCCTCCAGGCTGATTTATTATTTATTATGTATTGAATTTCAAAGTGTTCACTTTAAATCACTCTTACTCCTTTTGAGGTGCTCCAATTACATTCAGGAGTTAACAGCACATTCCTTAAATATTATAGTTTTCAAAACAAGTAAGTAAATGATAAAGAAACACAAAGTTGTATTTACTTGGAAATTTATTTTCCAAAAAGAAAAGTCATTATGTATTTTAAAACTTAAAAAAAATCTGAAAGGGAGATAGGTAGGGAGTAGTATTAATACTTTTCATAGTAAAGTAAATGGAATAATGCGATTGGGGAAGTTCAACAGTATGTACACAACATTGATTTAGCAACAAAAGCTATTTCATGTGAATGACTACAGTCTTTGTATTAACATTTTTTATGTTTGAAAATATAATTAACCACTGATTATTGATAGGTGAACAAAGAAATGAGACAAATACCTTGGAAGCAAATGCAAGCCATTTGTTTTTCTCTGTTTCTCTTTCTTCTTCGAGCTGTTTAAACCTTTGCAACTTTTTCATTTTCTTCTTCTTTTGATATTCCCTAACTTTAGATAAAGGTTGTTTCCTTCAAACAAAAACAAACGGGCAAAGTTAAAAATTAGATTTAACAATTGTTAACAGAAATGTAAAATGTAATATTAATTACCTAAATCTGTGGTTTCCATCATTCGACGGCATTTCCCTGATGAAGTCTAAAGTGGTCACTTCAGCACTTTTGTTATGGTTGAATATAACTGAGACTTCATCGCCGTCGATAGTTTCTATCCTCGCTTCGTAATATCTGAAACAAGTAGTCTAGTTTTTTTGCGTTTCATTTTGAAAAGTTTCTACTTAAGGATTTGTCAAGTGTTAATTAGAAAAATACTCACTGTCCATCTTGAACTAGCAGGGCCATACAGCGTTCACCAGGTCGCCAGTCTTTCTTCGATGGTAAGGTTATAGGCACCATCGGTGTAGTGATCTCTTCTTTATCATCTTCACCATCTACACATTCAAATGAAATAATTATCTTGGCTTTTAAACCAATTAAAAATCTTATATAGTATTTGTAAACTTAATGGATAGTACAATCAAATAAAATTTGTACATATCTTTTTTTGGAGGGATTATGAGTAATTATAAATTGTAGTGCGTAAGAATGTTGCCTCATGTTTTCTCCATTTGAGCCATTGTTACACTAATTTTCTTTGGTCAGCCAAGATTAGTATCTCTTCTCTCAAACCTTACATGTACAATAACTACTTTGAAATATTTAAAAGAAGAAGTACACAAAATTGTACTGCCTTTTTATCCACCAGAATAGAATGTCTGGTTTATCCAAGTTGCTAAAGTAGTTTGGACTTTGAATTTGCCTGTAAATCCATTTTGTAGTAGTGGCATCGATTGGCACGCCTATTATGACAACTTACTGTATCTCATCCCTCCATTTCCATTCTTCATTGACATGGCCTATCCTTGCAGATGGTTGTCCATTTATCAGCCTGTGTGCCACTGTCCTTTCCCCTTTGATTTAAATATGTTGTGACGGAAGGTTTAAAAACACCCCCAATGCTGCAGATGGCGTTGAACTCACAGCTCCAGTGTCATTGAGACAAGCTTGTCCTTGAGTGCCATTTAATAGCCTGATCACCTAAGTCTGCAATGTTTTGGTCAACAACACCAGTTATCCATATGCCAACACTGGTTCTATTTCACAGCTGTACAGCCATAGGGTCATTTTGGGGTTTAATCCCCAGCTTTTAGCACAGAGCCTTCTGCAACCCCCCCCCCAGGCAATTTTGGCTCTTTAAGTGGTTTTAATTAGATGTGGATTTTATGTGAGCCGCTGGTCTAGAGTGTGGTCCCTAGATGTTTGGCTTCCTTGGAGAATGGAATCAGTTTAGGCTTGAGATATTTAGGCTTTCTATTGTCCTCTTCTTTGTAACTGGAATCATTACGGTTTTGTGGGGATTAATAGATAGCTCCTCCCATTTGGTGTCTAGCGGGTTGAAAGCTTGTACATGGTCCATCACATCTGCATGGTGACCTTTTAGCACTACAAGGCCATCCACATAGACTAGACAGTAGAATCTTCTTGTTACTGTATTCATCTACCAGTGTTGTTCACAGTAGGAGTGAAAGACCCATCCCCGCATATTGGCCTGGGGCGGTTATGTGCCCCAGGCGGACACCCATTGGCAAACCGTTTTTTAAAACTACCCTGTTTTTAACTGCATTATATATAGGCTGTAGTTGCATTGTAAACTGCTCCCTCTATATCCATGAGTGTCACTGTTATGTCATTTATGGACTTGGTCATATAAGAAGCATGATATGAGAACAATATAAATAACACTTAGAAATTTGAAATGTTCTTTAGACTCACTTTCCAATACAAAAAGATTAAAGTAATAAGTTGATGAACAACATATTTGTTGTTCAAAAGCAGTGTTCAAGAGAGATCAACCATCAACACAAAAACACAACAATCACAAAAGAAAACTGAACCTACCTGTCTTTTCATCTTGCATCTGAGCCTTGATCAGATCCTTAGTGAGATTGATAACTTCTTCCAGGTCATTTTTGAGCTTGAGAAGTTCATCGTTCTCAGGATTTGTCGTCAAAGCTGCTTCCACCTGAGAAAAGACCAAAAACATAAGCGGCTAATATTGGAAAAATCTCCGGTCCCGAAAATACCTGCTGAAGTTGAAGCCTGTAGTTGGCCAGATTTGTCTCCAATTCGTCCATCTCCTTATTCTAATATCGCTCGTGGTCAATAATCAAACGGTCAGTTGAATATTAAATCGGACAGAGAGGCAGGATTGACAACATTTCTTAAAAAGAAACTCGGAGGTAAACAAGTAAACAGAAAACACAATAGAGAAGGACAACGCAGTGTTTCCTATACACAAAATTATAAGATTCCCCACGTTTAAATACTAAATATCCCTTGTCCCACCAAATCGATGACCATAAGTCACAAAACAAAGTTTATTCTATAATAATCTTCTAACTTTTAAGCTTTGAACATAAAATATTAAAAATAATATATAATTATTATGACTAACAATTTTCAAGTAGTTTATTAAATTATATCCAAAACTGCTAAGTCTCATTATATTCCCCTTTAAAAAACTTTCATAAAGGACAATATACAAAATATAATAAAACAATATAAAAAATAAACTAATGATTAATAATATATTAATATAACATTGACATTACATAGTTATTTTACAAATACAGCAAAGTTACAAATATAACTTATGTTTGCATATAACACGACCTGCGAAGGAGAGGTTACCATGTGACACAGGACGTTGTTTACTTCTTTTTTATTGACAAGTTTTCCGTTTATTAATTTGTATGTACGCTAGAACTTAAGAAATATGAGTCTGGTCAAAGAAATCGAGAAGCATCTAAAGCAGAAAAGCAATAATGTGGAAGCAGTCGAAGATATTTTGATTCAGGGTAATTGTAATGACTATTAACTTGATTTAAGGTAGTCAGTATGTTTTGTTGCATAATTTATTGTATTTACGACCAATGTATGTTACAAAATGGTCCTTATGCTATTACATAATGCTTCAATGTAACAAATGTATTTAGTATGGTGCAGTGCGACACTATGAGATCCTATCAATAAAAAGCACTCAACTGTCAAACAACCTAAACTGCTCAAAAATGAATAGGAATATTTGTAATTTATTCTTTGCCTAATAATTTTAATTAAATTAGCCAATATAGTCTTGTTAGTTGGGTAAAACAAAATAGAAAATAAAAACCAAAGACAAACAAATTGTTAATCCTCATTTTTAATAAAGTATTTACTTAAGAATAGTGAACATGAAGATTACTCATTTTGTAAACAAACAACTTTTCTCCATTTTAATCCAGTTGTATTATCTTTAACCATGGAAAGACATCATATTGAATCAGAAGTATACAATATTATTGTGAGAATGAGTCATCGAGGTCACGGGCAAGTGGGTAGTGCAGAGGCAGTTGGCATTCCTCAGAGCGTAGTCTCCCAGACTTTAGCCTGATTCCGAGAGACCGGAGGCGTGGTAGTGGAAAGATAGAACCTGTTCCATAGTGCCCGTGAGATCCTAATCCTAAATGAAGTACAAGATGTTTTGGCAAGGCCTTTATCAACACAAACAATTCATAATTGAGACGACCTGCAGCAACAGCCTGTCACCAGCAACTCAGAAGGTTATGGTGCAGTGAGCAACCGCCTAGAAGAGAACACCAATTGAAATACTGTTACGTTTACTGAGGAGTCGTGTTTCTGTGTTAGCAGGCGCTGAAGAGTCTACCAAGAACAGGGGATGCGTACAATGCCCCAGTTCATGCTCCTTTCAGTGCAATTCGGAGGATATGGTGTAATGGTCTGGGCTGGGATTTACACTGGAGAACGAACTGAACTCCATTCTGTTAAAGGCAACCCACTGCATTCCATTATGTCCAAGAAATCATGGAAGTCAAAGAAAAAGAAGGAGCACATCCCTCAAACCAGGGATCTTATTGGCAGGGATTTTCGACTTCTGGATGACAATGCCAAACCTAATAGAGGCAGAGTTCATTAATGTTGAGAAAACCTGTGAATTTCCCATCTGCCCCTTCTCCCATTATCTCTAAATCTCAATCTCACTGATCACATGTGGGATGCATTGCAGAATAGGCTTTTCGATCACCATCCGCAGCCAGTTGACCTGCAACAACTGAGTGTAGCGTTGCAAAATTTATGGAGTGAAATGCCTTATGAAATTAGTGACAACTTTATTAACAGTATGCCTAACAGGTGCACGGATGTTTTACCTAACAGAGGACATTATACACCGTATTAATTGTTCAAAAAATTCTGTACAATAAACAGAATTATGGAAGTAAAACCTTTTATTTTGCTATTTTTCAAAATGTATTAATTAAATTTTCCTTCATTAAAAAACATAATAATTTCTAATAAATTTTAAAGCAATGTATAATAAAAATAAAATGAAAATGCTAGGGAAAGTAAATACTACAAAATACACCTGAATACATATTGTATGAATGTATTTATTAGATTGAATGTTTATGTATGTGTGGGTGGGTCTGTGGCAGAATTTATAGTACCCCACAGACCCACCAACCTACGTAAGTTGTATAGTTTTAGAGTGATTGTGTGCGAGGCACCGACGTAAAACACCGGTGTCCTCAATTTTTTTATTTGACATATGGTACAAAAAATTTTTAATTAGGGTGAATTTATTTATTAGCAGGTCCTTAGTGGAATATCAGTACCCTGGCCAAACTAAGGTTAGACCACAATGTATGTGTGTACATGAGTTGCAGACTATTTAGTATTCACATTTAGAAGGGCCAATTAAAAATTATAAAAGAGTCCCAAGTTCCATAAAAAATTAAAGATCGCCAGGCCCTCCTAATGAAGAGCCAAATTTTGTCACTCAAAAACCCAAGGTGGAGAAAATAAGCAGTAGCCTTTTTAAAAGAGTAGTTCCTACTCACAGTAAGTTGTTTTGCTACCATCCGGATTTCGAGCCCTTAGCTCATCATCAGGTTGTAGAAATCCTTCAATCTGTTGATGAGCTAAGGGCTTGAAATCCAGATCATTGCAAGACAACTTATGTGAGTAGGAACTATCTTTAAAAAGGATAACACCGCACTCGCTCCATCATTCATCATTTGTAGCAATAGCCTTTTCTTACAGGCCAGAAAAAAGGCACTAATAAGCAAATCTTTCCAAAATTGAGGAATCGAGTACCTAGATTACCTACCTGACCTGGCACTTTAAACTATCACTGCTGTCAAAAAATTTCACATTATATTAATATCCAATTACATCTGTCACCACAGAATGTGATGAGCTATATTTCCTTGACTGCAAATAATTTGTTGAAAAGTTAAAATAAGTTTAATTTTTTTCTTGATCCATATTTTATATATTTTTGTTTTTACTCACTTTAACACATTTGCTATAATATTCAGCATACATACTGCGACTGGATTGTTTTGTTTTACTTTATATAAAAATGAACATTCCGATGGTGATTGCAGATTCTGTACTTGATCACAGCGAAGTCCCAGACTTTAATGAATATGAGGACACAACTCCTGGCGAGATTAGAAAAAAGGCTCCAATTGATTTGGGTAGCGAGTACAGTGGAAAGCCCATATCTAGGCAGGCTTTTTCCACGAGCAAACTCCAGGCTGATTCCGACTTTAAAAACGCACTGAAAGTATTGCTCAGTGATGATGAGGAGGATCGACATTCCACAGAAATAGAAGAAGAGAATGAACAAAGTAATCTGGAAAATTTGGATTTGGAAAATGAACAAAGTGAAACTGATTTAGACGATCAAGTTGATGAAGAAGAAGATGAAAGTCAAGGTGAAGAAGAGGCTAGTCAAAATGAAGAAGAATCAGAAGATAATGAAAGGTTAATTTTACTTATAAAAATAAGTTATAAAAATAATTGATAATAATAATCAATGCAAATTTTTGTCCTTTGTTTTTAGTGATGGATATGATGATGATGTTAATTTAGCTGATTATGAAAATCAAAAGCAGCCTGTGGAAAAAGACAAAATTGAAATATTCTCAGCTAAGGCAAAAGATGTGGGATCAGATGTTACTAAAGGAAATGCTATTAGAAACCAATTAAGTATGTTTTATTACACTTGATTTTAATTTATCACTATTAAATTGAATCAAGCTTTACCTCAAAAATTTTCTCAATAGCACATACTCAATTTTTAATTACATTGTTACTAAACTCTAAATTCTTATCGTATATATATGTATATATTTTCTTTAATTTTAGGCATATGGGAGACACTTTTAGAATGCAGGATAAAGATGCAACCATGTATAATCGCAGGAAATCAACTGTATCAAAAAGACAAATTTGAAAAATTTAAGTCTGAGTTGACGAAAGTTGATGAAGCAGTCATTGATAAGACTTACGCTTCTCTGAGTAACATGATGAAAACACTTTTGGATGTTCAGGTTTGTTATACAAAAATTGTTGGGTGTAGTTTCTGCTAGTTCAGTTTTGTCTTTCTCTCTCTATAATATCGTCAATTTTTTCTTAGGAATCTTTAAGTTTGGTTTCTTCAGAGTACCAGAATTTTCTGTAAGTTGAATTCTTAATCTATTAATTGATATTGATGTATTGTTATACCTTGTAGCAAAAATAATTATTTCTCTTGTAGGAAAAACCAGGAGAGCTCAAAAAATAACATTAATGATAATCACAGTGATACTGAAATGAATGTTGATGATGATGATGATGAAAGTATAGAATCTTCTTTAGCATCAGGTGAAGATCAAGAAAAGGAAAATGAAAGTGAAAATGTGTCGAGTGAAGACGAGGATATTGAAGAAGCCCCAAAAGCGAAAAAAGCTAAAGTCACAGATTCTAAAAACTTCATCAAGGATACTTATGAACAATTTAAGCCATTTGGAGAATCAAGTATACGCAAATGGTATGAAAGAACAAAGGTGGCCAGTGGCAAGGCAAGCAGCAGTGACTTCTCTGCGTTCGACCAATCACCGCTCAAGCAGATAGAGCACATCCTGTACGATAAGGAAAGGCTAATAAAGAAGACACAGTTATTGCGCTCCGACTATGGAATACTCGGCAAGCAGATAGAAGTAGAAAAACCAATCGATGAAGTTGAAGCTTTGACATCTAAGAGCAAAGTTCAGAATGAATATGATGAAGAAATCTTTGACGATAATGACTTTTATCACAAACTCCTTAGAGATTTTATCGAAAGAAAATCTACCGATGTCACAGATCCACTCAAACATGGAAGGTTGCTATTTATTTATTTTTCAATTATTATTTTTTAAAATTTGATTTCATGTTTTTGATTGTTAAATTGTTTTTCCAAACTGCTTCCTCAAATTATTTTTAATTACTAAATTATAGCACACCTACTTTCGCTGATATGTAAAAAATGTTTTAGGCAATGGCTGGAATTACAAAAAATGAGAAGTAAACTGAAGAGAAAAGTCGATACAAAAGCATCAAAAGGCCGTAAACTTAGATATACAGTACATAACAAGCTAGTCAGTTTTATGGCTCCAATACCAAATAACCAGTGGACTCCTGAAGCCGAAGAGAAATTGTTCAGTTCACTGTTTGGAAAAGCTACTGTAAAATAATTTCTATCTTTGTATATATACTGTATATATTTAAAAGAAATATATATTATTATTAATTTTTTACTAGTTTAATTTTATTCTTGTTTAACAATTTATAACATTAGAAATAATTGTCACAAATGGACTTTTAACTGTTTTATGCCCCTCCAATCAGTGATTTCCTGTCAGGCCAGAATGTGACACAAAATTAAAGTCATCTAAAAGAGAAAATGTGACCATTTTCAGAGGGTTTAGATCAAACATAAATTTTGGTGTAGTTAGAGATGGATGTCTACTCATTGGAGATTAAATAATTTTAATTTTAATAATTATATGTTTTATTATTATTATTTTAATTAATTATACTTTTAAACTAAGGTCTTGGTTGATATGAAAAAAGCAAGTGTCATGAGTGGAATTCGAACCAATGATCATGGGGGACCGTATTAGCCAAATGGTCAGCATGATAGATAACATCATCATCCCTGGCCCTTTTTTATCCTTCCCCAAAACTACATCGAAACAGTCAACTACTCAACTATGTACTCAAAAGGCTAATATTCATAAGGCCATTAAACAAAATTAAATTAAATTCAAAAATAAAATAAATTAAAAACCTTTGACCTTCGGCTTTGTGGGTTCGAACTCCACTCTTGACACTTCCTTTTCACCTTAACCAAGACCTTAGATTAAACGTATAATTAATAAAAATAGTTAATTTGGTCAATTGTGACTACTAAATACGTATATGGATTATTCTAATTGTCTTTATTATTATTATATTATTACCTTTAATGGCTAAGGTCATTTCATGCCCTAACTGTTACATTTAAAACATTTATCTTAAGTTAGCCACATCCCTTCTGAATGCTATTAAGCTCATAATCTAATTTATCCTATTGCTATCCAAAGTTTTAATATATCCTTTTAAAATACATAATTTGGAAGACCAAATGTATGCAAAAATAATTAAAACAAAATTTATTCCTCTTCTTTAATTAGAATTACATATTTTTGTTCCATACTTTAAATATTTCCCATAGGCTTGAATGGCCAAAAATAATAATAATAATAAAAGTTGGGAAATGGCCTAAATCTCATTATAAATTCCAATAAATTTAAGAAAACTGAAAAGTGCTCTACCTAGTGACCTAGTAACTACTTTAAATCACTCAAAAGGTTCAGCCTTTGCCTAAAGGGTTGCAAAGTGCGACAGTTGACTATTATTCTTATTCACTATTTTTCGTGGTCCGCTTGACCAATTAATAACATTCAATTAATTAAGGTTTTTAAGTTGAGATAAAAAAAATCAGTGTCACGAGCGGGATTCGAACCCACGACCTTCAGCTTGATACGCCGCTACTCTACTACTTGAGCTATCGTGACTTCGATCCCTCCTGGGTTCGAATCCCGCTCGTGACACTGATTTTTTTATCTCAACTTAAAAACCTTAATTAATTGAATATTATTCTTATTATTGCTATTATTATTATTTTACTATGTTTATAAAACTAAATTTATTTCTAATATATGTACATGTAGGGAGGGCTTAAAGCCCTATTTGTACCTTTAAAATAAATGAAATAAAATAAAAATAAATGAGCACAATAAAGTGAAAAATATTATTAAACATTTTTGACGTATTTATAAGTAACTTTATTTATTTCTAATAGTTTTTTGCTTTCACTCGTTGGTTTAAAATAGTTTAGTGAAAATCAACAATTTTCAAAAAAATTTGACTTTTTTAGAACAAGAATCGATTTTGTTCAAAATAAATCGACATAGTCACTTTTGTCAATCGATAATGTAAGAAATTGCAAATACAACCTGGCGTTTCAAAAACTCGCTTTTTCCAAAGTTGAAAAGAGATGTAAACAAAGAAAAGCTCCTCTATTCGAATTTATAGGAGAGCTTTTAAAACACTTTTTTTCCCCAATAATTTTTGTTTGTAGTAAAGTGAAAAATGTCAGCTTTGCCCGGCCTATCAGTCAGACTCGGCAATTTACGTCTGAGCTGTCTGTACGCCTCAAGGCGCATGTGAGACAATGTGTTTTTGGGAGTGTTTTAGAATTTTAAACTTTTTTTTTTCAGAATTTCATCGTCATGCGTCCCAAATATGGCGAAGGTGACCCTAGAAGAGAAGCTGGGCATCGTGCCGAAGCCGAAAAAACCTCTGTCGCCCTTTTTCCAATATGCCATCTCAACCAGGCCAGAAATCGCCAAAGAGAACCCAAACATGCATCTCATAGGTATATTGGATAACTGGACATGTTTAATATTTATTTATATCTCAGTGTTGGAAAAACCAATTTCTTACTCTTCAACACTGGATTAAAGTATAGTCTTGAAAAAAAGAAAAGAAAAGAAAAAATATTTAGTTGTTACTGCTAAGCTTTTGATCAGATTTTAAGGTCATCATAAGGGCAAAACAATCTTAAATATGTCTGTCTATGTATTGACATACTTAGGTTTTTTTTTATAGTCGATCTCAAATTTCTTTGAAGACCAGCCAAGTCCTAATAGTGCCAGTATACTCTACTTATGTCCCATAAATGTGGGTCTAATGCGAATTGCAATGCTGAAATTTACACTTTCTATGGTGAATACAGTAGCCTCAACAAAGCAACTGGTGTAAAGTACACCAAATTGTCTTTTAATTAATTCTTTGAATTCTAAATTGAATAAACAAGTGAGGACCTGCCTGGGCGGACAAGTTGACTGCATGTGAAGGGGTTTGAGTGGTTCCCATTCATTTGCTATATAGCTACACTCTGTTCAACTAGTATTCAATCACTAATCCATTATTAACCCATTAGTGATGTGGATCTACTTACAAAGTTACTCAAAAAAGGTTAAATCTAGGGACATCATCTTTGTCTTTGTTCATTGAAAGTGTTGATTCAAGCGATGAAGCTGCCATATTACCATACTATCACCACTACTGAAAAGATGGTTTTTTTTATTCCTTCTTACCTATAAAGAAATTCCTATCACCGTTTATGTGTCGTCGCTAAAGGACTCCAAGTTTTTAGCAACTACATTTTTAGCTTTATATCTTACATTTGAAGAAAGTAATTTGAATTTGAAACAACTAAATTGGAAACTGATGCAAATACAAAGTCGTAACAAAAACAAAACACTACTTTTGTTCAAGAAGCACTTCCTTGTCAGTATATGATGTGATAGTGAGAATCCAGAAAAGTTTCCGTCCGTTGAGAATTTCAACAGTTTGAGTTTTTCCAATTTCATGTCCAAGCCTTTTCAGTGTTGTCTTGTGTTTCAGTGTTCCTCCAGGAAGCATAGAGATGTATAAAACCGGTTGTTTTTCAACTTCTTATGTTTAACTGTTGATCATCCATCTTGAAAATCACCTGAAACTGAGCAACTTAAGTCACTAGTGACTCAAAAGTCAATACACCTTAGTATTAGTAGCGGTGTTCCATTCAGTCACATTATATTTAACTCTTTGCAGACTGGTTAAGATAAAATTAAATGACTGAAAAATGTTACATACTTATTCTACAAGCCAATAAGTAACAAAAAAGAAAGTTGTGGGAGTCTGTAGGTCAGTGGGTTGGTGGTATGGTCCCATATCCAGCCTCTTTCTGCCAAAATAGGCCTCAGCTCGGCAGTTCAGTTGTTATATTGGAAGGTGAGTTTGATTGGCAGTGTAAGCACTTAAGCAGGGAACACACCCAACACAACACAATGCGTCATGACCCAATGCCTTGTTGGCATGTTGGTAGGGTGTGCACATCTGTTCGATATCAAGTGCATGCCACGGACAGTCACACAGCGTGATCACAAACGCATCACCTCTTTTGCTCTCAATGCATTATTATGAGCAAAACCAGGTAATAAATTGTTAGTTAAATTCATTCTATAAATAAACGGTATTTAATGATTTATGTTTTAAAAGTGTTTATCCACACAGAGCTTAGGACGGGAGTGTATTTCTGCTCTCTCCAGTCTTGGGAACCCTCACCTTGTTTCTTTATCAATGGTTTATCTACACAAACTAACTGTGACTCAAAAAATGCAATGATAACCATAGTTGTTTTTTGCTGTAGAGAGAAGTTTTATACTTCTGTTTTTATGTGTACCAGTGCTTGCTTTGTGGTCACTATCACCACACTGTACTATTTACACGGCAGAATTGTATGCAATTTGCCACATGCTTGTGATTTGAGAAAATGGTGGCTCTGCCTACCTTGTCTGCAATCCTTGGCTGCATGCCTCAGCGTGGTTTCAGCTTTTGGTTCTCAGACAATATTATCGTGGTGCTCCAGACGGAAAGATACCACGAACTGGAGCATCTTCGCAAAACTGGAGGTTTTCTGTGTCCCCAGACACATAGGGTAATGAAAAGGCGGACGAAATGGCTAAGGGCAGGACATGACCACCATAATCCAGCCCTCTGTTGCTAAAAATGTAATAAAGAACATGATTAAAAGAAAGTGGCATTATCAATGTGCCTGAACAGTCGACAAGTTCTCATATCAAGAGCAATGTGGATAGATAGCCCTTGGAGATCATCCTTACTCGAATAAGAATAGGCCAGGCAAGGTTGACACACAGAGACTTACATTTTTGCTAAATCCCGCATATATATCAAGCACGAGAAAGGTTGCTCAATATGTCACACTTAATTGAAGAGTACCAATCCTTGGCTCCATATGGAGAGCACATAGGAACATCACTCGATACGAGAATTGTGCTTGAGCAAGGCAGCGTGTATTTGGGTCTCTGTTGCAATTCTTAGATGCAACAGGGTTGTTTTATTGCAGGTTGATAGTTTTGTGTCTTCTAGTGAGTGTTGAGGGTGAATGTATTTATCAATGTGAGCGTGTAATGTGCGAGGGGCGGTGGCAGCATATTGAGGTTAGTTATATAATAGGTATAAAGGGTGATGGAGGAATACAAGTACTCCACCATGCTAACTGAGTGAATGAATCCATGTAAATATATTTAAGAGTGAGTGAGAGCATGAATGGGTGTGAATTTAGGAAGTGATTGTGATGGGGGCTGAAATGATTTGTTGATAAACCCTAGATCCCAACATTGGTGGCTAGACAGATAAGACTAGCCCCAGGCTGTCAAATCCCGGGATGATTGATTCTCTAGGCCTGGCATTAATTTATTGTAAATTTCAAAAGCCAGAATTGCTGGTGGACTGCAAGAAATGGTAGGCTCAACTCAACATGTGTATGTGTACATGTTTGAGCTTGCATAAATCAGTAATCATGTAAATAATTTTGTGTTTGTTTGAAGTTTTAATATCATTCATTTCTTTTGTTTCAGAAATGACAAAATTAATCTCTGAAAAATGGAAGTTGATCGACGAGGCGACAAAAAGCAAGCTGATGGATAAGTACAAATTAGAGTTGGAAAAATACCAAAGCTTGTGTAAAGAGTATGATGAGAAATTGAGCACAAGTGATAAAGAAAAATTACTACAGGCCAAACTAGATATTAAAATTGCAAAACATAAAAAGCTTCTCAGAAAGGTAATGAATGTGCAGATAAATAGCTAGAAGGTTTTTAATTTTATTTATTTTTTAATTAAATTAATTTCTACGTATAGAAAAGGAATGATTTGGGTTGTCCAAAGAAGCCAGTTCCACCCTATTTCATATTCTCATTAGAGAAAGCATCAGAAAGAGGATCTTTACCATCTGCGGTAATATTAATAAAATAAATAACTCAGAATCTTATAATTTTTCAAAAGACAAAAATAAACCTGATCAGCTTTAATAAGTTTTAAAATAAATATTATGTAATATTTTTTAAAGGAATGGCAAAAACGACTAGGAAAAATGTGGGAAGAACTTCCAGATTCTGCGAAAAAGAAATACACCGATAAGTACAAATCTGATTGGGAGATGTACAAGAAAAAACTTAATCAGTGGGAGCAACAGATGATAAAAGAAGGAAACACGGATGTGGTGCGGATTACACCTTAATGTACTGAAGTTGCTTTCAAACAATTGTATTGTTTCCTAATATTTAGTTTTTTATTGTTAGTTTTACACAATTTTTTGATTCTTACTAACCATTCTCTATAGCCCGCTTGTTTTACCTAACACTACAGTTAATTATTTGATCTCAAGGATTTTTGATTCTGTTAAATTTTTGATAATTTATTAATCCTACCCTACTTCCGTTATATATATTTTTTGTTTTCAAATATTTGTAAGCAATAGAATATATGCCATTTTGCATACACAAGTTACAATTTACAAAATAAGTATGTTTAATAATTTAAATTTTTAAAATCCAACTACTACTGATTTGTACTGTTTTTTTTTGCATGTAAAACTTGTATTTAAGTATAACTACTTGGTATGTACATAAAGTTCTATAAGCCATTATATTTTTGAAATATGTAGGGTGTTTGTATTTTGTACTAAAATTTGAAGAGAAAATAAATTGATAAATGATGTTTTTGTATAGTATTCTTGACTTTTCAAACAAAAAGGAAGAAAGCTTGTGGGTATTAGTCGCATGAATGCATGAAATAAAACTATACTTTGCCGGTTTAATATTAATAGCAAACAATAAATAATAGTAATAACGTTTTTCAATTAATTAATCTTTATATAAGGTATTGGTTGAGATAAAGAAATCAGTGTTACGAGCGGGATTCGAACCCACGACCCTCGGCTAAATAAGCTGCTGCTCTACCACTTGAGCTATCGTGACTTCGATCCACTCGGACACGAACTTCCCGCTCGTGACTGACTTTTTTTTATCTCAACCAAAATTAATTGAAAAACGTTATTCAGTCAATTGGACCACGAACTCTAATGAATTTTTTAGTAATAACATTATTTGCTCTCACTTTGAATCTGCACTTTGGTGTATACAAGACATAAATTCCTGTAGACTATCCTCACCGTCAAATATGGCAAAATGGCATGAGATCTCCCTCAGCTCAAATCTTGGGTGTGCCACGCTTCTACCGTCCACTATAGTCTATGGCATTTTCGTCTCAGTCGAAAAGAAGGTATTGGTCGACCACAATGTACGACGGCTTTTTTATTGCTCTTATCTACAGAACCGTCATTTATTAGCTTCCTTGATATAGTCAACTCCAAATGGTCCATAGTGTAATAAGCTATAAAATAGTCATCAGAAGGTTTTGTGAGAATAGCCTAGTATTTTGATGTCCCATATCAGATTCTCTAATAGTGGAAAGGCATGAGTAGAAAGGCACCTATTCACAAATTGGCATCTCGCTTGGACACTTAAACAATGGGTGTTCTCTTAACAGACGAGTGCAGGTTTGGTAGCTGACAAGGAATGTGTGTAGAGATGTGGAGAACGCTTTGCTTTATGTGCCATGCTTGAGTCACAGACAGTCAGATATGGTATGCGTAGAATCAAAGTGAATGCCCACACAACTGATTATCAAACAGAATGGATCTTAACCTAAATGGACCGCATTTAGGTACATTTGAGGAAGTTTTTCTGGTGCTGTGGTCCCGTTCGCTCCATTTATTTGGTACAACTTTGTGTTAATGCTTGACCGCATGTAGCCCCCGTTGTTACCCATTTCTTGGATAATGTAGGGATTAACACCCACAATGAATTGGCCCAGAACGTTCTGGCACGATAAAGAGATTGGCTAGCCATTGTTTGCCGCCTCCAACAAGCGTTGAACAGCTTTATAGCTCTTGCTGAAGAATAGGGTTTCACAAGACGAAATCAGATTGTTTATTTACTCAACACCTAGAAGACTTAAAGTCCTTTCCTGGTTAGTTAAATTTTTAATCTCTCACTAAATGATTTTCCAATGTTTTGGTGAATTTTCTTTCAAACCATCATAATTAAATAATTTAATTCCCTAACCATCCCTAAATAATTTTTTAAAATTAAAACTTGAATTTCTGATCTCATTAAAATAAGTATATTGCAATTAATATGATACAGATACATATAAATTGAAATACACAACAAAATATTAGCGTCCAGTTGTTTTGTATTTGTGTGCATGTGCATGTGCTGCTCAAGTGAGAGGGGGTCAGAGGAGATTTTAAAAAGAGATCATTCCTTTTTTATTAAAAAATTATATCTATTGCCTTCTTTTACACTTTATATTCTTCTTTCATAGATAATATAATAGAATCAACATATTTTTATTTTGTGTGGTGTTTAGTGACCATTAGTTAATGATTATTTGAAGATGGTGAGGTGCGGTCTGGTGTGACATAGGTTTGGAAAAACATTTTTTTGTAAATGTGTCATTATTGTGGGTCGTGTTGAGAGTGCCCAGGGCACTGTACTGTTGGGCACTCTCAACACGACACACAATAATGACACATCTACACAGAAAACAAACACTTTGAGCCCTGAAGATGATCTCAATAAAGACCGAAACGTTGGCACGATAAAGAAAATGTTTTTCTAAACCTACATCACACTAGACTGCATTTCACAATCTCCAAATAATCATTATTTTTATTACCTAGCATAATTTCAGTAGAAATCAAGTTTAGTCTTTGTTTCTTTATTTTATTCTCTTTTACCTAATTTTATTTTATTTTGTCTTATATGTGATTATGTTGGGTTGTGTGCTTGTTTTGGCTACTCAAGCCTTGTATGTGAACCGTTGGCATACTAACATAGGTATTAATAGTAGTGTTGATCTAAAAGCAGCCATGTTTGTGACAGGTGCGCTTTCTTCATAGTTAGTACTTTTGTTGTAATTACTATCGAGTGGATTGTATAAAGCTGGATTCATAGAAACCTTTGTTTTTCTTTTGTCACATCCAATCAATTTTTTCTTTCTCGAGGGTTCACAACACTTGGTCTTTAAATCTCAGGGTGTCGGTGTTTTTGATAAAAAGAACACGGGACGTTTACCATACTGTGACGAGAGCTGTGGCAACAGCTCACCGCCTTAATCATTGCAGCCACCGCACTCCCTATTAGAACAATAGACCTTTCTTTTTGATCAGTTAGATGGCTTGACCATGCCCCCGTTAAAGATAACAATGTTATTATTAATATAATATAATCTCTCACAATTTAACCAAGAACAAGTAGTGAATAATAGAATTTCTAAAATGGTGTTAAATATTAAAATATAAAAAACAAAACAATAATGACGTAAAAATCCCATATATATTTTTCATAATTATTAGACATTAAGTATTGTAAAATAAATAAAAATTAAACATGCATTACAATAATTTACAATGCAACAAATCACAATAGCATTCGAAGGCTTGATAAGCACGATTGATAAATATTTTGTACTTAAATTACACTACACATTTGGGTAAACTGTTTCTAACAGCCTTTATAAAAATATTTTACTTTTCAGTCCATATAAATTCTAAAATGTTGATTAAATGTTAATATAAAATAATATTTTCAATAGTTATTACAATATTTATGAATAAATATAATTATTTTCTAGAAAAAGCCTAAGACGGACAGTAAGGAAGTAGATATTCCACAAGAAGTCGTTGATGAAAGAAAAGAGGCCGAGAAAGAAGATAGAAGAATATTAAAAGATAACAATTTTTCTAAGACAATTAAAATAATATCAGTTTGTTTATTTACAACTTTTGTTTTATATTTCGTTTGCATTCAATTTATATTTTAATAGTGTTAAGAACCAATAAATAAGTGTATAAGAAAATTAAAAAAAAAATTTATACTTATAAAAGCACCAATTTTATATTGAGCTGTTTATATCACATTTTTTTTAAATTATAAAAATAAATGTGATTCATTGTTTCGATTATTGCTTCAAAAAGCGATTAATTTCGGATTCCACGAGGCAATGTGTAACAATAAAAGTGAATATGTAGAGGGAGAAAAATTTGAAGAGTGTCCTGCAGAAGGCAAAGGCAGAGAATGTCGTCATGATTAGCCTATGTGATGCACCGCCCAATGTAAGAACCGTCTGAAGTATGCCGCCTAAAGAATCTTGATACCATGGCGAGCAAAATATCCTTGGGATCGCTATCGAGAAAAAAGGTATGTACATAGGCTGAAAAATGAAAAGGTTTATTAGAAACAATTGTTAAAATTTAATAAACCAAAAATAAATATATACCATTGGGATTTGGCCGGGAATATATTCAAAAGTGATCCTTATCATGACTCCTAGAGTCATAAAAATTATGCAGTCTACGAAATAGTTTTTTGTCGTTTCAACCTTCCTTTCCATTCCTGGTGCTCTTCCAGACACATCAGCCTCTCCGACTATATTCCCTTCGGAAGGATTGGCCAATCTCGAGATAATTTCTCTGTTTTCATCTGAGGTAGAACGGTAATGCAAGTTTTCAAACTTGCATGCGCCATTCGATTCACCATTACAACCTTTATGCTCATTGCTCTCAAAATCGACATCTAAAAGCATATAACTTTTAAACAAGGGTTTTTCCATTCAATAAAAAAAAAATTGTATGGAATCACAAATTATATATTCTATTCATAATCTTAAGACTATGTTCTTGTTCTGAAATAAGCATAAAAGTTTTTGTTTTATATTTTTAACCTTAATAGCACATCATTATAATATATTACGTGTAATATCCGTGATATAACAAAAATAAGCTAATTGTTAAAATCTTAAAAGTCCCATTAACAAACATAGGAAGGTAGTTAATACAAAAATGATAAAACATTTTAAATATAATATGCATAGTAAATCCAGCAATTATGGAATGGCCCCAAACATTACTCCTTTCTCAACACTCGGATGGTTGAGGCGATCATGAATATTTCCTCTTCCAAGTGATTGTATTTGATATACACATTTATATATTTCTAATGAAGACTTATTATTATTATATTATTATGCCTTTCTTATATAAAAGCCATAATCCTTTACTATTTTTTACAATTTCCCAAGGTTTCTATATGAGTGTTGATACTTTATATAATTGCTATAAAAGTCGCAATTTAGCCTTATTATAAAAAAAAGTTAATTGTATTAATATAGTACGTTCTTCAGATGTACTTGCTTTTTGGAAGGGTACATAGTCAAACATTTTCTGGAAAATTTGGAGTGAACTATACATTTATTGTATTAAATTCAAACAGCCTTTACGACAAGTTCTTACCTCCAGAAGCAGATATTTATTAAGCTGAAGTACAAATTAGTGAACCTGAATTATAAATCAAGTAAGGAACCTACAAAGCTGCTAGTTTGGTAAGTTTTGCAAGAATAGCCTAAACTGCAGTTGCTGAATTTTCGTACAAGTAAATAATATAAATTCAAGGAAAACTCCAGTAAGGAAATCTGATGATAGTCGGACCGAAATGATTGGAAAAGATCAAAGTACACGATCATCACACTTCAGATCCCATGAAGGAATTACACAATACATATTTACATTATCATAAATTAGTATATTCAATGAAAGCCATATATAAAATTTTAACTTAATTTCTCTGAACATTCATTATTTGTTGTACTGTAACATAGAATATAGTATGTACAAATATGAAAATGCATTTTTTCCCAGTCACAGCACTGGCACTATGGCCAGCATTGCACCCGGAGGACACAATTATGAGAAACCAGCTTGCTCTTAATATGAGGGATTAAGAAACGAGAGGTCTCAAGGCATCATTGTTTAAGGTGACAGAACAGGCTAGATAGAAAGCTTGGTGTGGAACTTTTGGAGGCAGGATTGGATAGTTCATTGACAAAAGGAATGTTGAGATTGTTGTGGATATTGGGGTTGGTGACATAGTAAGGAGCTTGGACAATTTACCTGAGGACTTTTTATTAAAAACATTGAATGAGCTGGGAATTGGACGACAGAACCGTACAGTTCACTCCTTACGTTCTTAGTGGTCATAGGTCTTTTATAAAGTAAGTTGAATTTTGATGGTCTAATTCTGTTAACTTGTCTCAAGTCTTGTGTGGGGATTTGATGTCAGTCAGCTGCCTAGGTATAGTATATAAGTGGACTTGTGAGGAAGCTCCTTGTTGTTAATGCAAAGGGGAGGGCACAGTCTTCTCCAGTTTTTTCACAAGTCTTTGATAAACTCAAGACGTTGTTGGATGTTGGAATGTTGGATCCAAGAATTTAGGATTTGGTTTAGAAACCCAATTTTCAGTAACATTTGCGTAGGAAGGATGCTGTTGGGGTGTCAGTAGTATAAATTAGGATAAGACCAAGAAAGAAATGTTCCCTTTGGGATGCTGGCTCGAATTGGTCTGAAAACTTAGTGTTCACTGCTGCATTAGACTCTGAAGCAGCAGTCAGTTAAATAGGATTTTGGAAGAAGATGGTAATTGGTGGGTAGGAAGTGTTTAAGTTTACAAAAGATGCCTGGGTGCCAGATTCTATCAAAAGACTGGGCCACATCTAGAAACCACGCAAGTAGCTTTGTTCTCCAGAGCGAAGGAAATGTCAATGATTCTGAAATCTTGCTTGATCGTATAATGTTGGGGCCAAATTGGTGAGAAGGAATGATTCCATATGGGTATTAAACATTTTAAAATGGGGCTTTCAAGGATTTTCAACATTATGAAAAGAAGGCTAATGGGTCTGTAGGAGGAAATGTGGCTGGGAGGGTTTGCCTTGATAAGCTATACGCAACATCTTACTAGATTAGAAGTCGGTAACTCCTTGATGATTTACAGCGGAACTCAAAGATTGTTTTTTCAATGTAAATGAATTTCAGTCTTGTCCTTAACTTTTTGCATAAGTCTTAAACATTTTTCTTGGATGTTGGAGGTTAGAAGACATTATTCTGTCATCCGCTTAGGTGGTAATGATGGTGTTGGGATGGGTACAAATCAATTAATTAAATTTTATTTTTTATACTGTTTGTTTCTTTAAACCAGTTGTTTGGTCTGTCAGACATCTTTTGGGTTCTTCCCATCTTGCCTCTGGTACCGTAACAACTAGGACTAGATTAGTCTACAGTAGGATAGGCCTCATTACAACCTGTGTACTGCGACTAGTATTAATCTATTGTGCACCTTCATTGTAATCTAGAGCTCCTCATTAAACTCAAGGCTTTTTATCAGATCCACCCCCACAAAAAAAACTTATTCAAGAACTCCTGTGTGTACTTTTTAGGCCTGGGCTTTTCCTCTCCCAGAAGTAGAAATTGCAGCCTACATAACCTTTGCTCAAACAGAGGACAAGTTCTGTTGACTCTTTTTCTTCCTGGCAATATCTGCACAGACTTTTTTCTGCCACTCTGAATCTATACATACGTTTCTGGAGTATGCAGTGTCCGGTTAACAGTCTAGCTAGAATTCTAGTCCTAACAAGTTCAGTCCATTTTGCACTTACGGCATCAGATTGCATTAATGACAATCTATAAGTATCTATAATCCTGGTTATTTTCGTTCCACAAAAACACACAATCAGTATGTCTACACAACAACCATACGTCACAGAGATGATCCCAGACATCATCCCCCAGACCAAAAAAGCATTTGTGATGTTTTATCTACATTTCATCTGAGAGCCAGTGAAGTATAGAAAAATCAATCAGCTTACTAACTGTATAGTATATTTATATTTAAAATCATGGTTGATCTTATCTATTATTCTTATCTTAACTTTTATCACATCTCTTATCTTTTCTTGGGTACTTCGAAGCCTTATTTTGTTTGGGTTCAACATACTTCAAATGTCGCCTCAAAGCAGAAAACACTCTCTTTTGGTACATTTTACCGTGCAACATTAATATTTGAATATAATCGTGGTAGAAAATAAACAGTCGAACCTTTTATTTCCACGGGCCGTCCCGTTATCCTCTCCAGCCTGGATCCTGCATTGGCGAGTATTTTCCTCCTCCGTGCCTCCATCTGAGCTCGCCGGTCCATCTCGATTCGAAGCAATTTCCAACTTTTGGGCACATTCAATTGTATTTTCTTAAAATGGGCGCCGAGATCAAAACTATTGTGAAAAATTGATTCAAAAACACGTGAATTTCCGCTTGTGGACAAAGCAAGTGTCACTTCCTTTTAAAATCACCTGTTTACCTTTTATCGATAACCTGGCTTTTCTGACCCAAGCAGCCTCGATATGACGTCGTATACAAATTAATTCACCAACTTTAACATAACATTGGCATAACATATAAAATTAAACTAAAAAAAATCATGCACTTCAACATAGTACATTTTTTCATTAGACCCTTTTTGCCTCAAGCTTGAATATTACAGTATTTGATAGTTTTTTTAATACGTTTTTTCATATTCCAAAATATACTTTTTATATTTTTGGTAAATGACCTCTCTTTGCAAAATAAACATTTAAAGAATAAATTAAAACGTTTCCTGATGGAGACTGCAGGGTGATTAAACCGTAGTTTTATCACTTTGGTCTGTCAGATACAGTTTGACTTCTCAGCATCTTCAGAAGTCAATCTGGGCTGACTACAGACCATTCTGGGCTAGGTTTTTTATGGCCTTATGAACATGTCTGCCAAGGAGACTTGTATAAATGTGTATGCATATGCACATTTTTTTTAGAGAAAGTGACCCTGGAAAAAAGGGCCAGGGGCGCAGTGGGAACTGAACCCATGATTGATGTCATCGACAAATAATGATCTTTTTGGCCTGCAGGGTGGCGACTTCGGTAATCTGTTTTATTAATGGTGTCAGGATTCCATCTGTAACCAGTAAATTTTTACCTGATTTTAAATGCTTTAAAGCTTCATAAAAACCAAATGGTTGGTTTGTCATGTCACACCTCTTTCTTAAGTTTAACTTTACCTATGAGGTCCAGAAGCCAAGAGTATATCAGGCCATTGTGTCTTATTAGGTCGTTCCAGGTTAAACCCGATCACAATGATAAATGAACAAATATGATTAAAAACAAATAATTGATGATTTGCTATACTGTCTTTTTTATTTTCACCATTTAGCGCTTCACATCGGTGTTCCACCAGACCGCTAGAACGTTAACCACTTGGCTACTGGGGGGTCCCCTAACTAGAAGTTGAAACATGTCTTGATAGATCAAACTACACAGATGTAATGACTGGAGCTGGATTAAGTAATGCTTAAGCAATGTTACTCGCTATTTTGTTATTACTGCTGTTTCCATTACTACTACTACACTGCTAAAAGAACTACAGTGGCAGAATCATCAGCATGTCTTATTCTCATTTAGGTCAATAGTACATCTGCCTTTTGTCTCGGCTTTGCCCTAGGAATTTCATTAGGAAAAAAAAATTGTTAAGTGTGTGTGTAAGACCCCTTGTACACGACACGTAATGAATTATTATTCATTTTCCTTTATGAAGGAAGTTTAATTTCCACTAACAATTCCATAAAGGTGTTGGTCATCAATAAAATGGTAGACCCTTGCGCATGACATGCAAGTAGTTCGATGTTAAATCTGCCAGTCTGACAGGAATTGATTAGGCTAATTTCCCTAGTCTTTGTCCCCCAGCTGTCCACAAAACTAGATTTACAATAATTTGCCCAGCAGTAAAAATGACAAAGCTGGTACATGTCTCAGCAGACCAAAATGATCAGAAATAACTAAACAAGCTGTGTTTAATGGCTGTTAAACATTATGCTTAATTACTACATCACTTGCTATTTTGTTATTACTGCTGGTTCCACTACTATTGGACTGCTAAAGAACCTCAGTGACAGTCATCAGGGTGTCGGAACAAATATTAGTTTTGCCATTTAAATCTCACCTTTGCCCTAGAAAATGATCAGAAATGACCAAACTAGCTAGTAAAAAATATTAATTACTACTTAGGTAATATCATTTGCTATTTAAGTGGCAAGTTAGTGGTTCTGCTCTCCAAATCTTGGCATTGCACAAGGAATTCCATATGGATATTATTGGAATTAAATATAGTAAGGGGTAGGACGTCTTGTACCCAACATCCAAGTGGGATAAATATGTTTTGATTAGAAAAACAAGAATTATTTATGTTTTTGATTTATTTAAAAAAAAACCTCAATCCTCCAATTTCTTGAAGGGTTTAAAAATTAAAAAAAAAATATTCGATATTATCACTTTCGGTTTTTAAATTTTTTATTTTATATAAGAATTACATAAAAATTATACAGGGTCCCTAGCGAATTGGCATGGACACCTGCCAAACTCTGATCAAGTTGTCAGAATAGCCGGCGAAGAGGGTCTGCCCATCTGTTGACCAAGCAAGTGAGAGGCACTGTGGGTCCGTCTTTGAAGCTTGTGATACAACTTCAGGCTTAAGTTCTTCGACCATGTCTTTGCTCTCAAGATCCTGGAATTGAAAAATAAAAACCGTAAGCGTCTGACGGAAAAATTAATATTGTTTATAATTAAATAAATTTTAATGCACAGGTACAGATTTATCCATTTAAAACAAAATTCATTCAATGTTAATGAAAGGAAACATTTTGAAATTTTAAAAAAATACTAAATGGAACAATTGTCAGACCCATATCCGCAGCAAAAGCTCATAGAATTTCACTTTGCAATGTGTTCATCATTTATTGCTACATTCTAGTTATCAATTTCAGTACAATGAGTGCAAGGGCTTGATGTAAAATATCTAAATTTCAAATTTAAATAGGCAAACTGAAAAAATGAAAATAGACGATTTGTAAATAGAGTTATATAAAATAATTATTCTACTGTTGCCATAATAAATAATATTTGTCAAATGAGTTCAAAACTCTAAACTGCAACCAAAAATAATGTTCACCAATTAATAAATTATCTTCAAATAAATTTTTAACAGATTAATATCAATGGGGCAGGTGCAGATTTATTAATTGAAAACATTTATCTTTAACGATTTGAAACAAAGTTTTTAAATATTTTAAAAATTGAATGTAACAATTGTCAGACCCATATCCGCAGCAAAAGCTCATAGAATCTCGCTTTGCTATGTGATCATCATTTATTGCTGCTACATTCTAGTTATCAATTTCAATATAAATGCCTTTAAGACGATATAAAAAATATAAATTTCATATAGACAAACTGACAAAATGAAAATACAATTTGTAAATACATTTATAAATAATTATTCTAGTATTGCCATAATAAATAAATATTTGTCAAACAAGTTCTAACTCTAAACTGCGACAAACAATAATGTTCATATATTAATAAATTGTGGTTTAAATAATTTTTAAACACATCAATTTTAATGTGCAAATGCAGTTTTATCATTTAAAACATAATTCATCAAAGGTTAATGAATTGAAAATTTTGAAAACTTTCTAAAATGATGAATGTAACAATTGTCAGACCCATATCCGCAGCAAAAGCACATAGAATTTCACTTTGCAATGTGTTCATCATTTATTGCTACATTCTAGTTATCAATTTCAGTACAAATGAGTGCAAGGGCTTGATGTAAAATATCTAAATTTCAAATTTAAATAGACAAATTGAAAAAATGAAAATAGACGATTTGTAAATAGATTTATATAAAATAATTATTCTACAGTTGCCATAATAAATAATATTTCTCAAATGAATTTAAAACTCTAAACTGCAACCAAAAAAAGTGTTCACAAATTAATAAATTATCTTCAAATAAATTTTTAACAGATTAATATCAATGGGCAGGTGCAGATTTATTAATTGAAAACATTTATCTTTAATGATTTGAAACAGTTTTTAAATATTTTAAAAATTGAATGTAACAATTGTCAGACCCATATCCGCAGCAAAAGCTCATAGAATTTCACTTTGCTGTGTGATCATCATTTATTGCTGCTACATTCTAGTTATCAATTTCAATATAAATGACTGTAAGACGATGTAAAAAACATAAATTTCATACAGACAAACTGAAAATAGACAATTTGTAAATAGATTTATAAATGATTATTCTAGTGTTGCCATAATAAATAAATATCTGTCAAACAAGTTCTAACTCTAAACTGTGACCAAAAATAATGTTCACATATTAATAAATTATGGTTTAAATAATTTTTAAACACATCAATTTTAATGTGCAAATGCAGTTTTATCATTTAAAACATAATTCGTCAAAGGTGAATGATTTGAAAACTTTCTAAAATATTGAATGTAACAATTGTCAGACCCATATCCGCAGCAAAAGCTCATAGAATCTCGCTTTGCAATGTGATCATCATTTATTGAAACATTCTTATTATCAATTTCAGTAGAAATGACTGCAAGATTTGATGTAAAATATTTAAATTGAAATTTAAGTAAACAATGAGCATACTGTAGCAACGAAAATAGGCTATTTGTAAACACACTTGTATATAAAATAATTATTCTAATGGTGTCATAAATATATTTGTCGAGGAAGCGCTAAACTATAGAGCGACAAACAATCATAGAAATAGTTAAAATGGAGTGAGGATATTAATTATTGAATTTAATTAAAACTATTTTTTGAATTCCCCAGATTTTGAGCTATTAAATGCTCATCATCAGACTGAATTAAATTCCATCAAATAACCAATCATAGAAATAAATAGTTCAGATTAACTAGTGAGGATATTAATTGAAAACTATAGTTCTACTTGCAAATTGTTTTTCGCAGTTATACCAAGTTCAAGCTTTTAAATGCTCCCTGTCACGAGTGAATCTAGACATCTAGGCAACCACAAAAACATTTTCCAAAGTAAATTGATATTTATTTTTGATGATGAGCATTTAAAGGCATGAAATCCAAGTAATTGTGAAGAACAGTTTGTGAATAGAACAAAATTATCTTTTTCATCATTTTTAACCAAATCAATTTTAATATGCAGGTGCAAATTTATCAAAACATTCACTTCGGATTACTGAGTGAAGACTTTAAAACTTTTTAAATTTTGTAAATATTGAATGTAACATTGTCAGACCCATATCCGCAGCAAAAGCTCATAGAATCTCGCTTTGCATTTGATTGATCATCATTTATTGCTACATTCTAGTTATCAACTTCAGAATAATAGACTGCAAGACTTCATGTAAAATATCTAAATTTCCATTTAAATAGACAATGACAGCAGACTGTAAAAATGAAAATAGGCGTAATATATGTATATAAAATATTTATTATAGTGATGTAATAATCTAATAAGTCAAGGGAGATTTAAAGTCTAGAGAGCCACAAGCAATCATAGAAATAGTTAACAAAGAGTGAGGATATTAACTGAAAATGATAGTTCTACTGGCAAACTGTCTTTCACTTTTATACTGAGTTTGAGCTGTTAAACTGCTCACTGTCAGGAGTGAATAGAAAACATTATTCATCAAAGATTAATAATTTACAACATAAAACTCCTTAAATCTTTAAAATGAAGAAGGGAACAATTTTCAGCCCAATATCCGCAGCAAAAGCTCTTGGAATCTCTCTTTGCTATGTGATCATCATTTATTGCTGCTACATTTTAGTTATCAATTTCAATATTTGTGACAATTTGTAAATAGTTTATATAAAATATTATTCTTGTGTTGCCATATTAATAAATTATGGTTTAAATCATTTTTAACAAATTAATTTTAATATTATGGTGCAGATTTATCCATTTAAAACATAATTCATCAAAGGTAATGATTTGAAACATTTTGAAAACTTTCTAAAATGATGAATGTAACAATTGTCAGACCCATATCCGCAGCAAAAGCTCATAGAATCTCGCTTTGCTATGTGTTTCATCATTTATTGCTACATTCTAGTTATCAATTTCAGTACAAATGACTGCAAGGGCTTGATGTAAAATATCTAAATTTCAAATTTAAATAGACATACGAGTATACTGTAACAATGAAAATAGGCTATTTGTAAAGATACTTGTATATAGTGATGCCAGAAATAAATATATTTGTCAAGGAAGCCCTAAACTATAGAATGACAAATAATCATAGAAATAGTTAAAATGGAGTGAGGATATTAATGATTGAATTTAATGTTTTTTTGCAATTCTACAGATGAGCCATTAAATGCTCATTATCAGACTCAGAATTAAAATCAGTCAAATCAATCATGGAAATTAGTAATTAAAGTAAACTAGTGAAGATATTAATCGAAAACTATAGTTCTATTTGCAAATTGTTTTTCACAGTTATACCAAGAAGTTCAAGCTTCTAAATGCTCCCTGTCAGGAGTGAATCTAGGCATCAAGATAACTACAAGGACATTTTCCAGTGTAAATTGTAGATTTCTATTTATTTTTGATGATGAGCATTTAAATGCTTGATATCCAAGTAATTGTGAAGAACTGTGTGAGTAGAACTAAATTATATTTTAGATCATTTTTAACGAAATCAATTTTAATATGCAGGAGCAGATTTATCAAATTAATACATTCACTTCGGATTACTGAGTTGAGACTTTAAAACTTTTTAAATTTTGTAAATATTGAATGTAACAATTATCAGACCCATATCCGCAGCAAAAGCTCATAGAATCTCACTTTGCTATGTGATTGATCATCATTTATTGTTACATTCTAGTTATCAACTTAAGAATAATAGACTGCAAGACATCATGTAAAGTATCTAAATTTCAATTTAGACAATGACAGCAGACTAATAATGAAAATAGGCATAATATATGTATATAAAATATTTATTATAGCGATGTAATAATCAGTAAGGCAAAGGAGCATTAAACTCTAGAGAGCCACAAGCTATCTTAGAAATAGTTAAAAAAAGAGTGAGGATGTTAATTGAAAATGATTGTTCTGCTCGCAAACTGTTTTTCACTTTTATAATGAGTTTAAGCTGTTAAACGGCTCACTGTCTGGAGTGAATAGCAATCAAAAACATTCATCAAAAATTAATAATTTACAACATATAACTCTTTAAATCTTTAAAATGAAGAAGTATCAATTTTCAGCTCCTTATCTGCACAACAAAAGCTCATAGAATCTCGCTTCATTTATTGCTGCTACATTCTTGTTATCAATTTCAGTATAAACGACTGCAAGACTAAGATGTAAAAAATATAAATTTGAAAGGCCCTGATGATGATCTTAATAAAGATCAAAATGTTGGCAAGATTAAAAAAAAAAGAAAGTTTTTCTAAACCTACATCACACCAGACCCCATCTCACTATCTCCAAATAATCAGTAGATAAATAATTGAATAATCAGGTCTAACCAGGGTTCATATCAGATTAAACACTCTACGAACAAGAAAATAACAATCTTCAAATATTTTAAATATCTTATGTTCTCTTTTCAGTTTGAATAATAAGTTGCTAAGTACAAAAATCACAACTTACCCAAATTTTGATAGACGGTCCAAATGCAGCGCACAGCCAGTACCGGTTGGGACTGAAGCATAGGGCTGTAATGATGTCATTGTGATCTAAAGTGTGTAAATGCTTGCCATCGTTAAGATCCCATAACATGGCTTTGCAGTCCTAATTACAAAATCAAGTATTGATATTTTAAATTTCTTGCCTAAATATTTTTCGAAAGTAAGATATCATCAAAGAATACATACTTTACCACCAGAAGCACAAAGAGAACCATCAGGAGACACGGTGACAGTATTAAGATAACCAGTGTGCCCGGCGTGGTTGATTTTCAACTTGCAGTTTGTTAAATTCCAAACCTTTTAGGAAATAAATGTTTTAAAAAATTCTGAACGTTGGGTTGAAATTTATTTTATTTTATTTTTTACCTTAACAACTTTATCCCAACCACATGAAACAATAATAGGGTTTGAGTGGTTCGGGGAAAACCGAACACAAGAAACCCAATCGGTGTGAACATCATCCTACAAGCAAATTTTATGTAAGGAAAACAATCTTTTGAAAGGGGCAAAATTTCTGAACCTGAATGGTGTATTTACACTCAGCAAGAGTGTTCCAGAGCTTAATTGTCCTATCCCTGGATCCAGATACAATCTGACGGTTGTCTACAGAAAATGCAACACTGAGGACATCCTAAAAATAGAATATTTTCATTAGAATTGAAAACGGCTTACAACATTTTTCTTAAAATCTACATTTTATCAGAAATATCTTGTTCACCACAATAATATGGAACTTTCTGCCGGGGAAAGAAAATATTTTCATCACAATAAATCTGAGAGGGGAAAAATAAATAAAAGCAATCCCACCTTGGTGTGGTCTTCAAATTTCCTCGTAGACTTGCCAGCGGCAAGATCCCAGAGTCGAAGAGTCTTGTCCCAGGAACCAGAGAGGGCGTAGTTGCCGTCAGATGACAGAACTACATCACTCACAAAGTGAGAATGTCCGTGGAGACGTTTCTGGGGCACACCATAGTTGGTATCATCACGGTTCAGTTTCCACACAATTAAAGTCTTATCTAAAAAAACAAACGGAGCATGTACTCTTAGTACTCACAGTCACTTAAGGGGAATTTGTATTTACTTGATTAAAAATTACTGTTATTTCTTGACTTTTCGTTTTAACTCATACTTTCATTAAAATTTCAATTGTTATTTTTATATAAACAATATTTACTATTCAATTTAATATGGAATAGTTATATTAATGCTAATATCATATTATATATGTCAAAACAGAGATAATTTTTGTAAAAAATACTTTGCAAACTCAATTCAGACCCATATCCACAACTAAGCTCATTAACGAATTTTGCTTAAAAAATTGATCATCATAACGAGTTTGGGTAGTATTTTACTATTTAAGCTTATTACAAGACAATTTTTTTTAAATTATTTAACATGTCCACTTTCACAGGGAGGATAATACTAATTTTGTAACTATGGTACACAAAATTATTTATAATTTATTTATAGTATTAATACTGGATAAATATTGTTTATATAAAATATCAGTCACTCAGAATAAAATTGTGTCACCAGCTTAAATGATTGGAACATGGTCTGCCGGGGAAAGATTTTCATCACTGTGACTGACCTACTCAAAAAAGTTACTTATATATAAATGATCACCAACAGGTAATTAAAAATTCTATTATTGAACTAACTGTAAGTAGAACTAACTACTAGAATTAAGTAAGTTTCTAATATTTTAGCTTACATAAAATGTTTTCAAAAATCTAACTGCTAAGAAATTACATTCTGTATCTTCTGTATGAATAATTTAGAAAATCATTTTACTATTTTTGTATCGCTATTTTAACAAATAATAATTTAGACCAAATAAAAATATTCCCTACCTAAGTAGGTATTTCCCTTATTGGCTTTGCATGGCATTGAAAAATCCTATCTTAGGTTTTCGGGCCACTGGTATTGTCCCTGTCAGTAGAAACGTATTTATAGACATTAATTTTTGCCATGTGAAGTGACTGATCAACATCCAGACCTAGTAGAAACAGATAAGGAAATAGAACTAGATGAACGAGTTGATTACCAGTTTTTGAAGGAACTGGTAATGGACTTCCTGTAGCTGAAAGCACAGGTGACAGAAATGAATTAATGTCAACACAATTGACAGGGGTGATCAGCATGAATATCATACTCTCAAGAGATGAAGCTCTTCTGACCCCCTCCCTTCCACTCCATCAGGATTACTCTTTATGACCTATGAACCTGTTTCAGGCACTTCTCAAAATTCATCTCCAGTTTTGGTTTGTCTTCTGAAGAAATCGTATCTCTGCCAAGAATTAAAATCACGAAACTGTGAGAACTTACCCCCACCTACCCTATTAAATTCTAATAATACTGCAATTGATTTTTTTTTTATAAATACACCTATTTGAAACTAATTTGTACACAGACAAGAAATGAGCTAAAGTGATTGGAAACTAGCAACATTTTAATATACCTAGAAGTTAAAAATGCTCAGCAAATACTTGATTTAAATCTTAATAAACAGGAGGCTACAATAAACTTTTCCCTTCCAAAAATACTGGTCACTCAGAACAAACTTTAATCACCAGTCTTTAAAAATGGAACTTGGTCTGCCGGGGAAAGAATTTTCATCACTGTGACCAGATTCATCAAGATTGCTCATTCTCCAATTTAATAGGAAACAATTATTTATAAATCAAGTGCTTTTCTCATATAGTTAATGCAACCTGAAATGTCTCACGCGTAGTCAATGAAAAAAGTTCTACTATGGAGCAATCAAAACTATTATGATTTCAGATTAGCAAATAACTACAATGATGCAGAAGCAACTAATAAAAAAGTCTGATTTGTTAAAGAACAGAGTAAGTTATGTGTACTTGGAAATTTTGTCAGTTCTGAAAAAGCATAGTTTGCTCATTACTAATAATACACCGTGTACATGAAGTACTTCTGTATAACTGAAATTAAATCTGAATAGCCTATCACCAGCTTTTAGGGGGCCTAACTATTTATATAAAATAATAAATACAACTGAAGCAAACATATAAAAGAACAATTAACAATTTAACTTGAAACATTAGGTACGATCTAAATAATAACCCTTACCTTCCTTGATACAAATTTTTATTTAGGTCTAAATATTTTTTCCCTTTCTTTCTATAAATCAGTCACTCAGAACAAACTTTTATCACCAGTTCGTAGAAGTGGAACATGGTCTGCCGGGGAAAGAATTTTCATCATTGTGACCTTGTCCTTAAGGAAATAGCTTATTTATTGAGCTGACCACGATCAAATCCAGAAGAAAGTTAAAAACAGAACAAACACGCTCAGAATTAAATGTTTCACATTACAAATAAATAAATAATAATTTAATAAAATATATGCTAAACAAATTAGATATATTGTAGTTTGGCCTGCTTATTCTTGATGTTGATCCTTGGTCAGTCAGTCTGTTTCAGCTTCTTGCCATCATCAGACCCACTACTGGCAAGATTTTGTAATGCGCTTTGCAGATCAAAATGATCAGAAACGACGAAACTACTCTTCTCATATCTCTCCAAAGAACCCAAGATACATAATTTAACACTACATTACATTATCAGAGCTGTTTTAACCAGTCTAACAAATGATTACAAGTGATTAGAACAAGAAACCAGTATGTGAGAAATAAAACGATATAAGAAAAATACTTAAAAACAGGCTTAAAAAATTAAATATAGAAAAAACAATTCAATATAAATATCTTATCTTAATATTTTTAGGTTTGATTGGGCAGCCCTATTTTGAACTATTTTAATTTAATATTATGTCACTCAGAACAAACTTTTATCACCAGTGGAACATGGTCTGCCGGGGAAAGAATTTTCATCATTGTGACCTTGTCCTTAAGGAAATTGCCTATTTATTGAGCCGACTACAATCAAATTCAGAAGAAATTTAAAAACAGAACAAACACGCACAGAATTAAGCAATTTAAATATCTTATCTTAATATTTTTAGGTTTGATTGGCAACCCTATTTTGAATATGTAATTATATTTTTTATTCCAATATTATGTCACTCAGAACAAACTTTTATCACCAGTTCATAAAAGTGGAACGTGGTCTGCCGGGGAAAGAATTTTCATCACTGTGACTATATTTTCTTTGGTGATTGATAGCCTTCTCAGTTTAAATATTTTTCTTATAAAAGGTAGATTGGAGATCCTGGCCTCATCCCCAATCTACTTTTTGAAAAGAAAAATATTGTGACTATATTTCTCAACTCCTAGTTTGCCATCGCCCTTGAGGTGGCCGATAGGCTCCAGTAAAAAAAAATAAAATAAATAAATAAATAAATACAAGTGTTTATAACACAGATCGACTGAGAACAAAGGTCGTGTGAACACAGGCTACACAAACTATATTCTAGTTTTGGTTGGTGAATTATTCCTTAGGTACTAATGGTGGTTGCTGCAAAGATCCGAGTGGCATTTGAGACTTTGACTTTGGAGTCATTGTGACATAAGTTTATGTAAGTGTAAATTAAACATACTGACATGTAATCACTATTATGTCTCCCTCTCATGCTGGACTAAGTTGACAGATGCAGTAGAGGGACAGAATGCTGATCAGTTTAACATGTGTTTACCAACTCTCACCCCTACAACATACTTTTAAGTGTTCTTCTGTGGCATCTAACAGGAAGTTATTACAGGAATTTAAGTCCTCCTGTATCACAATTACTTTACCTTTTTTTAGACTCTTTAAAGGAGACTAACCATATCACTCAGCTAGTTCATCATGGTCTTTATGGGGAAGCGAGATGGCAACTGAGTTTTGGACCCACCCAAGATTTGGAAGCATGAAGCAATCCAGATTGTGCATTGAAGCATCAAAATCTTAGGATCTGGTTGTTTACATCAGTATTCCGTCAGGGAAGAAGCAATGCTATACACCAATATTTAGTTGTAAAATAGGTTTTTCATAAATTCCAATTTATCCCTCTTATTTTTTCAAGCAATGTTTACACACTCAGAAAAAGATATTTTTTTATTTGTCAGTTCAATTACATTTAAAATGAAGAGAAAATTGATGCATTTTTATCATTTAATGATATTTTATTAGTACAAAAGGAAAACGCCAGTTTAGACTGCTAGGAAAATGTGATGTGTATACTGATGATGCTTTGGGAGAAAGCACCTTCCACAAGTTGCTCAGTCCAGAAGCAGAAATTTTAATTTGGAATGGAAGATTTGGATTATGATATCTTGTTTCATTGATTTGACAAAAGTTTGAAATTAGCCATCTTTCTATCATTGATGATAACCGAATTCAAAATTGTCACAAATGTGTGGTGTTTGACCGTTAATTAATGATTATTTAGAGATCATGAGAGATACCAGAACGCATCTCACGATCTCCAAATAATCAATGCCTCAAATAACACTCAACAAAACAAGACATCGCAGACACTTAAAATATTTATCACATTTGAGAGCAGCTGGGTATGTTTGTCGGAGCAATATAGGGAGGGACTCCTCACATGTTGACTCAGAAGAATTTATTGGAATGCATCTCCATCTATAATTCCCTTCTAAAACGCAATGCAAATAACCCAATTTAATAAGATTGATATCTGAGGATGAAAGGTTTACAATGTTCAGAGAAAAATCCATAGGTAAACAAGTGACTCGGTCAAGTTGAATTATATACCAAGGAGGTAATGTTGTGTTTTGGTGGGATTGGAAGATGATTAAATGACATTCTGCCCAATCAAACTGTTAATGCTAGGGTATACTGTACAAAGTCAGCAATTGACCAAAAATGACAGGAATTGGCTAATTGCAAGGGGAAGGATTTTCACCATGAGCTGCCCCTAGTGAGCATAAATTGTTGGAGCTTGGCTGGAATGTACTACCCAACAGACAGCAATATTCACCAGACACTGCGTGATGCCATTTTTAGTTATTCCATGTTTGGCGAAACTATTAATGGGAAAAAATTTTATTTCAACTAAACTTCAATCACTCAGAAAACAGTTCTTGTTCAAAAATCTATTAAGTTTTGGGAGGATAGAATTACTCAATTTTGGAAGATGGCAACAGGTGAATAAAAAGGCTCATCCACTGTTGATTAAATAAGTTTATAAGCCCCTGAAATTTTCATTAAATATACTACAAACTATTTTACAACCCAATGCTTCAGAAAATGAGCAAAGGATCCTCATGAGAACGGGTTCCATTCAACAAAGAACGATTACATCTGCACCTTTTGACTGAGAGGAATGAACGATCGCCCGATAAAAGTTAACAACAGAGCACCAAGGTCCAAAAACTCAGGTCAATTCAGTTATTCAGTCAGTTACTGATGAAAGTGTTCAGATAGCACAACGTGAAAAACTGAAATTTAAGCAGGGGCCATTTCATGAAAAACTCGGGCCAAACACTGCAGTTACGTCACGTAAGTGTTCAGACATCACATGAAAAACTGACAGTGTGTATGGGGCCATTACGTGAACAACTCAGGCCAAATACTGCAGTTACTTCACATGAGTGTTTGGATATCACAATATGAAAAACTGACAGTTAAACTGATCATGTATGGGGACCCAACATTTAACTATTTCAGAGAAATGAAGTTTGCTACAATTAACCTATCTGGCCAATGTGCATCAAAAATAGATACGACTTTCTACATTAATCATAACCCTAATGTATTTTTAAATATACTTTACACTATACTTACAAAATAAAATAAATTACTGTATACAAACCGAGCGTATTTATTCGACACCTTTTATAACGATATTTAGTAAGTTTTTCTAATTCTGATGGGAAAAATGATGGTACGTAAGTCTTGTACAAATTATACAGCATAAATCAGAGTGAATGCTGTATACTTATAAGAAAGTATATTTTATTCTAAACTTCATATTTATATAACTATACTTAACTAACTACACTTATTCTAAAAAAAAACTGTAGTGATCAAAATAAAAATCACTTAAACCCCCACGTGACACAATTTGTAACAGCAACCATATGCAAAGGTTACACAGGATATAATTAAATTTTCTTTCATATATTCAATTTATAATAAGAATCAGCGACGAATATTACGGGGGACACTGTAATACAGGGGATAAAAATCGTTTTAAATCAATATAAAAGAGTAGTATCATGATGTAAAAAATGTTTCATTGGATTAAAGCATAAGTTCGAGTAGAGGAAGTGAAAATGTCGTGATATTTAAAAAATCCTTAAATTTTTTAACAAATAATAGGCGAACTTTAAAAACGGCCTACCTCTGGAGCATGACAAGATCATGTCAGGATACTTGGGGTTGGTGGCGATCTGGGTGACCCATCCGTTGTGTCCGCTTAGGGTCCCCCGAAGTTGGAGTGTCTCCGTCATATTTGGGCTTTATTCCTTTTCGAATCCGTACAGAAATTGGAAAACAGAATAGGATTAGGACGATAACAACGGAATCGTGGAACGCACGTCGGACACGTCCAGTGTTGGAGAAAGGAAGTCAATATGGCCGGCAAACGCCGTTTCGATCCGGCGTCTGCCTACGGGACAACCGACTCCATCCTAGCAACCAAAAATCCGTCACAAATTGAATAAAATTCAAGATTAAAAACACAATAAATTACTATTGATGATTTCCCTGGAATTCATCAGTTTGCGTTCGTCAAGATAATATTTTATAAATTTTTGACATACAAGTGCTGCTATCATTGATCACATATCTCAACCACCAACTTCAGGATTAATCCAGGCTCAAGTATCAATGAGGATTAAATTTATTTTTTAATATTTGTCAATTAAAACATAACCTTTTTACATTCATATTAAGTTAAAATTTACAAGATTTGATCTCTGTAATGTAAATAAATAGGCGTAGGGTGAAGCAGAGAAATCCTGGTCACCAGATTTATTCAGGTTGAAGGCAGAAGAGTAAAAGTTACCAGTGATGCTGTCAATCTAAGTATTTATTTATTTAGTCCCGTTTTGAGTATTTCTTATGGAATTTTTTATTTTGCCTTATTCAGTGTTGTGTCTTTACTTACACAAGGGCATGATTGATAAAATAACACACAGACCAACCACTATAGATTACGAAATGACGAACGCGTAAGGCAGACTAGCCCAGTGAAAAAACATGGACCAAAATGATCGTCCAACTTTCAAATTCGTCACTACGCGACCACTGGAGAAAATGTCACTATTTAACAAAATAATTGTATTTTGTTTCCGACTGATGTGTTAAAGGGAATATATTGCTTTTGTATAATTAGAAGGAATGATATAATAATTTGTGTAGAATGAATCACCTTTGTAAGGTCGATATCAGCGCGCCATGTAGCGTATAAGACATCTCACTCACAAAAAGGTTTCTCATTTGGAGAGAATTAAACAAAAAAAATATATTTCTTTTTCGTTAATTCTGTCCTTTCAAACTTTTTTGTTTTAATTTTATTCGAAATTAAGTAATTACGCGAGTTCGACATATGAAACGAGAAATCGGGTTAGCGGTATAAAAGGCCCGTTTTCACAGGATCTCTCCGAAGAATCATAATCTTGTTCAATTGTCCTGTGATTTTTATTAAACGGTCAAATGTGATAAACGGTCCGTTAGAGAGGGTAAACGGAGTGTGGCTTGTGGAAGAAAAAAATATTGAGAAAGAGATAGAGTGAGAGAGAGAGAGAAAAAATCACGTTCAGCCTTCACCTCCGGGAATTTATTTTTAGGTTGGCGGCTTTGGTTTTGAGTGTGGGTTCCTCGATCCGCTCTCAGTCGTCGGCCATTTTCTTTCGTGTACGCTTTTCAGTTTTCAGTTTTCGCCCGTGCATTTTTTAATAAAGCAGGAGCGAGGAGCCGAAGGGGAGCCTTTCCGAGTCAGTTTCGAGCCGGTTCCTACAGTTTTCCAGGGTCAGCCTCCGCAGAGGGAAAACGACGGGGAGATCCCGTTTCAAAATCCAGGCCCTTTTTTTGGTTTTTTGTGTTTAGTGCCTTTTTTTTTTGTTCTTTTCCTCGTTAAATCTCGACCCGGAATAATGGAGGATAAAACGTCGTTGAAGGAGCTCGACCAGTGGATCGAACAGCTAAACGAGTGCAAACAATTGACGGAAAGCCAAGTGAAAACACTCTGCGACAAGGTGAGTCTGGCTGAGGAGTCGCTTTATCTCGACGACCGGGACCTTTTCAAAAAACCACCTTCTGCTTTTTCAGGCAAAAGAAATTTTGGCCAAAGAGTCCAACGTACAGGAAGTCAAATGCCCGGTTACAGTATGCGGCGACGTCCACGGCCAGTTTCACGATTTAATGGAATTGTTCAGAATAGGAGGAAGGTCTCCGGACACGAATTACCTTTTTATGGGAGACTACGTCGACCGCGGTTACTACTCCGTCGAGACGGTCACACTTCTCGTAGCCCTTAAAGTAAGTACCATCGTAATTGTTATTTCTTATATGTCGGACGGGTCGCCCTTCCGCCCCGGGGGCTGCCTCCCGTCACATCGTAAAACCGGCGATTCATCAATTCCTCAAAAAATCAATAACTCACGCAGGTTTAGCCGTGAGGAAAACCTCCCCGGCCTTATCTTCCGATCTGTCACCCTTGCCGCCGTTTCTTTACCTCATCTCGCCCTAGGCGAACGTTGAACTTTGACGGACACCTAAAATTAATACGCCGGCCCTTTTTTAAGTTTTCATGGTCAAACGACGCCGCCTCACCTCGGCATTTGTTTATTTTGAGCTGTCCTCTAACCTTAGGCCTCTCGGATTATAATATTTTCAACGCCAGCAACAACAGAAAACAACGATTATGTTCAAAACTTGTTAACCCTTGTGCAAAGATTCTATTAGGCCGCACCTCATTTCACACAAAAAAAATTGGCAAACAAGGCGTGACAACATTGCACATACATGCAATAATGTTGCTCTTTATGTCCATGAAATAATGCTTTAACTCTTACATGTCTCTCTTTAGCTGGGATCATAGTGCTTAAATGTTTTATTTGATGTTGTCACATTGGCTTCAAGAATGATACTTTTTCCAAAAAATTTTCAATTCTTACAGCAAAAACAATGATAATTGCCTAAAATTTGGTACCAGGTATTCAGAGATTCCGTTAGGATATAATGCATTTCACGCAAAAATTAATTGGTAATCATGGTGCACCTTCTGTACATGCAGCAATGTTGCACGCTCTTTAGCAAGTGATCATAGGGCTTAAATGTTTGCACCTGATTTTGACTCATTGGCTTCAAGAATGATCATTTCTAAACATTTCTCAATTCTGACAACAAAAACAATTATTATTCTAAACATTTCTCAATTCTGACAACAAAAACAATTATCATAGTCTTGGTTTGGTACCTGATGTTCAAAGATTCCGTTAGGATATAACGCATTTCACACAAAAATTAATTTGCAAGCATGGTGTGACACACCTTCTATATAGGCAGCAATGTTATATTTTATGTCCATGATGTAATATTTTAACTCTGTTCTTTAGCCGTGATCACAGTGCTTAAATGTTTGCACCTGATTTTGACACATTGGCTTCAAGAATTATCATTTTTCTCAACATTTCGCAATTCTTACAACAAAAACAATTATCATAGTTTTAAAATTTGGTACCTGATGTATGATTGTTAGGATATAATGAATTTCACACAAAAATTAATTGGCAAACATGGTGTGACACACCTTCTGTACATGAAACAATGTTGCAGTTTATGTCCATGAAATAATACTTTAAGCCCTTGAAGACTTTCTTTAGCCGTGATCACAGGGCTTAAATGAATGTTTGCCCCTGATTTTGACACATTGGCTTCAAGAATGATAATTTTTCTAAAAATGTGTCAATTCTTAGAACAAAAAACAAGATAATTGTCTAACATTTGGTACCTGATGCTCAAGATTCCATTAGGATGTAATGCATTTCACACAAGAATGAATATATAGTCACAGACCTAAATTGAATAGATGAACATAAAACGCAACATTGCTGTATGTACAGAAGGTGTGTCACCTTGTTTGGCAATTAATTTTTGTATGAAATGCATTATATCCTAATGACACACCTTCTGTATATCTGCATTTTATGCTGCATAAATATAATAAATTTAAGACCTATGTATCTATACTATATGTAGTTGTGATTTCAGTTCTTAAATGTTTGCATCTGGCTTTGACACTTAGCATCAAGAGGGGTCAATTTTTTTTTTACATTTCTCAATGTTACAACAATCGAAAACAATAACTCTGTTTGAAATTTGTTGTAAATCAGTAATCTTGTTAGTTATTCCTTAATTCCTTTTGGATTCATTATCATTCAAAAAACAGAAACATGTATAACACACTTTTCATACATATCACACACTGTAAGGCAAGGTGCCCACTGGAATGATGAGATAGGTGATGCAACATAAAGTGATCTTTCATCGGCGCAACATTCTTGTGCCCACTGGAGCAAACTGACCAGCATTACAATACGTACCATAGTACTTTTTTACACAGTTTTAATCATGAGCTCTTCTGAGGGGGATGTCATTATTGCTTGCAGGTCCTTAAGTCAGCATAAATCAAAAACAAGAAAATATTGGGTACATCAATATAATGTTAACAATATCTTCAGCTTTTTGCTATTTTCTTCCATGCTACGCTTGCTAAATCAGTTCTTGAATAACTTTTCAAAGAACGGTTCCAAAAACATGGGTTCTATTAAACAATTTTGGCAAAAGAAATAGCAGCAGAGACGTCCTCCTGTTGACTTTAACTGATGAGCCTTGCCATTCTGTCGCTTGGAGTGATTGACAAGCTGTGCCACCCCAACTGATATGATGCCGATATCAGCATTGTGTCACGATCACGTTGGTGTACAGTAGTTTAGTTGCTTACGCAAAGAATACACATAGCAGGTGGTACATTGTCAAATTGCTTATCACACACTTGTATTGCGTATTGCATTAATATCAATGTATAATTAGTGATTGGCATATAAATCCAGGATAACAACTCAATATTAATAACAGAAAACAATAATATCCAAATCTGTTATTCATGCAAAGCTTGTAATTATTCTTCGGTTTGTTCCTCAATTCATAATTGAGCATATGAATTGGCAAAAAGTTTATCTTTCAAGGTAAAACACACATTTATTTAGAAATCGTGAGATGTGGTCTGGTGTGATGTAGGTTTCAGAAAAACATTTTCTTTATCGTGCCAACGTTTCGATCTTAATTGAGATCATCTTCAGGGCTCAAAGTGTTTGTCTTCTGTGTAATTGTGCCATTCTTGCGTGTCGTGTCGAGAGTGCCGCTTTAGAGACCGCATCTCACGATTTCTAAATAAATATCGATTAACGGTCACTAATCACACACACAGTAAAACACACATTTAATAACATGCTACAATATGGTATAATTAATTCATTATCAAATTAAAAAATTAATTGGCAAGCATTAATGTAACATTATGTGTATGAAATTGATCTAGGCCTTATGTAACTATATAGTTGTGATCTTGGAGCAGAAATGTTCGCTTCTGATTTTAATTTAGAGAGATAAATTTTTCAACAATTTTTTGATGGTAACAACAGAAAGCAACAATAACAATTTGTTATCTGATATTTGGATGTTATTAATTAATTCATTAATTAATTGTTATACATAATTTATTGTACAATTTATTGTACAACTACTTTACATGGTACAATCACGATAGGGCTTACTTGTCTCTGTATGTAGCTAAGATCTCAGTGTTTAAATGTTGGCACCTGGTTTTGACTCATTTTTTTCCATAGAGATTAAATCAAGACACCTCAATAATCAATGTTGACAACAAAAGAAAACAATAACAAAATTTATTGTTGTATTACTAAATAAACCAATAATTAATTGCAAAGTTGTGTTGCTAAAATCAAATTAGATCTCTGTATCTGAGATCTCAGTGCTTAAATGTTTGCAGTTGATTTTGACATGGGCTTTTAGGGAAAACTATTTTTCAACAATTTTCAACGATAATTCAATGACAGTAATTAATAATAACAAAATTTCTTATCTGATATCTAAATATTACCATGTGAAAATTCTTGAGGTTCATCCTTAAAAAAATAAACTGACAAAAATGTTAATTTACCTACTAGGTACTATCATCGTACATTTTCCTTTGCATATATCAACAAACAAACAGTTTCAGTCGTGTAGTGTTGGTAATGGTAATGAAATGAACCTTCCTGTACTTATTTGTTGATGTGATCTCATATCACATTGTTTCCAGTTCATTTTGATACAAATGCTTCAAGAATATATTTAAAAATAATCAGTATTAACAATAACAGAAAACAGTGATAATACTAAAAGTAATATTTTTAGATTGCTATTAGTAGATTCTTCGTATTTTATTACTAATTTATTAGCCTAACCATTAAATCAACATCACTTGCATTGTAGATTATTTTCATTGAGAAACAATCAATCATATTACCAAAATATGTTATACAATGTAGCATTATTTATTATCCATATTATTTTCATAAACGAACAGTTAATTACGAAGATGTAGTGGGATACAAATTAGCAGAAATCAGAAAAGTTAAACCATTATCTGAGGTATTTTGGTTGTAATTTAACGGATACCCTATTAAATTTTCTTAGTGGGTCTGTTTTCGGTATGTTGTCCCATTTGTTTTCATTGTTTTTGCTTCGAGTAGGCACTCTTAATAATAATCTATACTACGACAAATCTCTGAAATGTCTGAATTATTTATTGCATCAGAATCCTATTTATATATATTTGGCAACATGTAAATGATTTTCTGACCTTTAAAAATACGTAAGTTAAGTAATGTCCAATGTCCAATATCTAAAGTGTTGAAGCTGAGAAAGAAGTTTTCTTCTTTTGTTGTATATTATCAGTTTTAAATTAATTTGATTGTGATAAATATATTGAATTAAGGAATGTGAATATATAAAATGAATATGATTAAGCATAGCTTCTTATAAAACTTAATATGATATGTTCTTGATAAATAAACATTTTTAATATCAAAACTAATTTCAATATGATTTTTTGCAGTCTCTGTTTCAATAAGTGGTATCATATCTTTGTTGGGAAAATTGGTCCATTAATCAATTTTTTTGGTCACTTGTACTTACTATTGTTAGTACTATTAAAAAAAGGAAATCTAACAGGAGGTGCTAATAAAACTTCATTATCTTATCTCCCCTCCCACGGTTTTATCATCAGGCAAACAGTTTCAAAATTAAATTTGTCTGCCCACTCTTGCTTCAGCCTTACAATTGGGGAAATCCTCTGATTGGACGAAAACTAGGAAAATACACTCGATTGCTAAATTGGTGATGGCGATTAAAACAAAGGAAATTGTTTTTAATTCAACTACAAGGTCAAACCTTGCGCCTTCCTGTCTTTCCTATTGATATTGTTTTATCTAAAAGGTTTTTAGAGTTTATATCCAAAGGAATATGTTAACAATGATTATTATTATAATAACCATTATAAAAGAGCAAATTAGTTGTATTCTATTATTGATAATCCTGCTAATACTGGCTAAGAAAGCTTATACGATATATTGAGTGTGTGCATAAGTTTCATAAGTTTTTTTGGTTTTAAGCAAAAACAGTCTAAACTTTCAAAATCTGAATATATTTGATTTTTAATTATTCAGAAATCGTGAGATGCGGCGGTCTGGTTCTGATTTTTAATCCAAAATATAATTTCCTTTGGTATTTGCTTCGGTGGTACATATATTAATATTGGAAGTATACAGAACATTAGCATGGCCCCTGAACAAGGATGACATGCAAAATTGTGAAGTGCTGTACATTTTTTAGGAACTACAGTGATGAAACAAAGTCTTACATTGACTTCATCCCTCGGCCATCCACTACACTTCAATGCTTCGCGTGTTTCGAATTTCACGAACTTTAATCCTCAAAACGTATAAAATTACTTCGCTTTGTTCTTGAACAACTGTAGCGTTAAATTCGATACGCTTATATAAACTATTTCCTTTGTTTTCTATAACATACAGCCAACGCTCTGGCAGCAGAAATATCTCATTTTTTGTAAAAAGACGAGTAGAAATTTGTAAGTCTGATTGTCAGAGTTTTTTTCAATCCCTACCTTTTGAGTGCAGTCTAGGGAGTGGAAGAAAATCGGAGAGTGATTTTACTCTAAGTGAGTGCAGCTGTGTGAGGCCTGGCATTGTCATGATGAAACACGAGTTGTGCCTATTCACCAGGGCTGGACGTTTTTCCTTCAACACTGACCCAATACACTATACCTGCGCACAGTATACCTATGTCAAGGTTAGGTTGCATGAAAAATTCCCAATAAATTATTCCTCTGTTACCCCACCAAACAGACAGTAGGACCTTATGAGAGAGGCAATCCTGCTATGACATCGTTTCATTCTTCTTGCAAATGATCCTACAGCATTTTTGTAAAGAACGCACTTCTCATCCCCACTGACCAAATAGGAAATAAACCCTTCCTATTTATTCATATTCAGTGTGAAACTAAAACGTCTTTCTTGTTCCTGAGGAACAATTTCACAATGTAACCCAGAGATTGGATTCTTCTTTCTAGTGTGTGATGCACTTGACATCTCTGCTTCAGTTAATTTCCTCTCAACCTCCAATACTACATTTTAAATAGTGTTGTAGCTAAATAGTAGCTTTTAAGCTCGTTAGGCGTTTCAAAATAAGGCTAATCTTTGATTTGTTTTTCCATTACGAAAATGATGGAAATACTGTTCTTAGATATTCAGTTACTACGTACGTAACAGTAATTCCACATAAATTTTGATGGGAAACCGCTACTCTATGCATGAGATTGAACTTTTATAGCAAGCAATGCCTCAAATGAATTTTATCTGCTTCCATGTTGTACGTGTCGCAGTTTATTCTATTTTGGGATCAAATAACCCTTGCTTAACAATTTATTTGAATAAGTCTTTAAAATATTAAAATAAGAGCTTACAGGGCTAGCAGGTAATAAAGGAACATGCAATAAGAGTGAAAATTGAAATTGGAAAAACCTAAAAAACTTAAACACACCTAATAGCACTTCAGACCATTTTAACATGGGACTAGAAACCTGTCCACGAGGCTCATTGAATTATGGATACTTGGGCATTTGTTCCTGTAAAATCTTTCAAAATGTATGAAGAAAAATTTGTACTTGTATAAAATTTTGGAAAATATTACAGTGGACCTAAGGATGTTTTAATCGTTATTCATGAGCCACCTAACTGATTTATATCTTGTTGGCTTGGACGTAATCCAAGTGTTGACAACATGTAATCATCTCACCAGTCCGGCCAGTCAATTATAATAAACTATGTATTATAAAACAGTTTGTACGTATGGTGTAATATACTCATAATTTATAAATAGTAGATTTGGCGACATATTGCAAACAAAATATATTTAATTATCAAGTGGTTGAGTTAAGTATTATAATTATTTATTTTTTTATTTTACTTTTTCGAGTGAAAAGCCAAAGGTATAATTTTAAATAGGTCATACTTAGTTTTTGCTTAGTGATTCTTTTTGATTTCTCATACGATGACTCATTATGACTCATCTATGAAGTAGTACTTCAAGTGTGTTGTTTTTGTTTTTTTAAATCAAATTTTACATTTTTAATTCATATTTTTTTATCAATATTGTTTTATTTGTTATATTTTATATTTAATCATGTGATTTATGTACTTATTTCAGGTTAGGTATAGAGACAGAATAACAATTTTAAGAGGTAACCATGAATCTAGGCAAATCACACAAGTTTATGGTTTTTATGATGAATGCCTGCGCAAATATGGAAATTCGAATGTTTGGAAGTACTTCACTGACCTATTCGACTACCTTCCCCTAACTGCATTAGTAAACGGGCAGATATTCTGCCTCCACGGTGGTCTCTCTCCATCAATCGACTCCCTGGACCATATCAGGACACTAGACCGTCTACAAGAAGTCCCACACGAGGGACCTATGTGCGACCTTCTGTGGTCGGACCCTGATGACAGGGGCGGATGGGGCATCTCTCCACGTGGAGCCGGGTACACCTTCGGTCAAGACATTTCCGAGACGTTCAACCACTCGAATGGCCTTACTCTCGTCTCAAGAGCTCATCAGCTTGTTATGGAAGGATACAACTGGTAAGTACCAATGAAAATTTTACCATTATTATAAGGTGAATACTATTTCAAATAAAAATTATTCATTCTTATCACTCATATTCACTTGAGAAATATTATTATAAATTGATTTTTTAAATTTCAGGTGTCACGACCGTAATGTGGTAACAATATTCTCTGCCCCCAATTACTGCTATAGATGTGGAAATCAAGCAGCAATTATGGAATTAGACGATGCACAGAAATATTCATTGTAAGTACATAGTTTATTTATATAATTTAATACATACATTCTATATATTGGGTTGTCCGGAAAATAATGCAGGATTTTGGTATTAAACAAAAAAAAAGAAACTAGTTACTTTAAAGCAATGTTCTTTAATCAAAATAATTTCCCATACTCTCAATACATTTCTCCCAACGTGTTGGTAACTTATTAATTCCGTCTGAGTAGAATTCAGAATTTTTAGAATTGATAAAGTCAATAAATGCATTTTCCAGTTCCGTTTGATTTTTGAATATTATGTGTTGTAAGTAGTGGTCCAGGTGTCTAAAAAAATGGTAGTCAGTAGGCGAGAGGTCCGGAGAGTAGGGTGGGTGAGGCAAAGTTTCATAGCCAAGCTCCAATAATTTTTGTGACGTTACACGTGACACATGTGGTCGAGCGTTGTCATGCAACAAAATGGGCCCTTTCCGATTGACCAAAGAGGGCTTCATTACTGCCAATTTCTGATGCATGGTATTAATTTGGTTACAGTATGATTCAGCATTGATGGTTTCGCCAGGATTTAAGAAGCTGTAGTGTATTAAACCAAATGAAGCCCACCATACCGTAACCATTACCTTTTTTTGATGAGTTGGGGGCTTTGGAAAATGTATTGGAGCTTCTCCTTTGTCGAGCCACTGTCCAGAACGTCTAGTGTTATCGTAGAGAATCCACTTTTCGTCACATGTAACAATTCTGGCCAGAAATGGGTCATTTTTGTTTCGACAAAGAAGTGATGCACAAACATCAAAGCGTTGATTTTTTTGGCGATCGTTTAATGAGTGTGGAACCCAATTTTCGAGTTTTTTCACTTTTCCAATCGCCTTGAGGTGGTCAGCGACGGTCGTTTTACTGACTTTGAGTTGCTCTGCAAGTTCTCGAACAGTTGTTTTGGGGTTTTCTTCCACCACTGATCGCAGAACATCATCATTAAGAGAGGAAGGCCTTCCACGACCTTCTTCATCTTCAAGGCTGAAATCTCCCTCCCGAAATTTTTTAAACCACCTTTGCACAGTGCACTCATTAACACAACCCTCGCCCCAGACTTGGTTAATGTTTCTAGCCGTTTGGGCTCCGCTTCGGCCGAGTTTAAACTCGTAAAAGAAAATCGTACGAAATTCTCGCTTTGACATTATAAGGATGACTGAATTATTTCCAAGTAGCGGAATGCTACAGAGGTAAACAAACAATATCATTTGGAAGAGGATTAATCCTGTAAACGTAAACAGAATATTTTATATAGATTTTTTTTAATGAAAACTTAAAATCCTGCATTATTTTCCGGACAACCCGATATAATGAATATGCCAACATTTTCTATTGTCCTGAGGTTATACTTTTACCGAGTATAAGTTGGTTTTGGGGTTTTTCCTTTGCGGTTCTCCATCCCTTTCTTGATCTTTTCAGGATTGCCTCCCCTCCTTTTTTGTTTGGCTCGTTCAATTGCCATTTTATGTCCGAGCCCCTGAGATTTTCTTAGGTTTGTGTTGTATTTTTTTCCATTTCTTTTTCTGGTTTGGTTTTTTTCTTAAAGATCCCCCATCTACAGAAGGTGACACGAGGATATTGTCCTCCGTGTCTTGGTTTATGGGAGATGAAGAGGGTCGGAGCCCACTTCTTTTTTCATAAATTGGTTTGAGGTTTTTCCTTTGCGGTTCCCCTGTTTTTTTTTCTTTGTTTGGTTTATCCATGTGATTCCCACGAGAGATTTAAAGGTCTGCACCAGAGGATCCCTCTCTTCGGTGTAAGGTTGATTGCCCAAGGTGGTCACCTGGTAGGTGACACGAGGAGATTGTCCTCCATTTCTTTGTTTATGGGAGTTGAAAAGGCGGCTCTCTTCAATTTTCATAAGTTGGTTTTTGGGTCACCACCTGGTAACCTTGAGGCTCCATTAGTGGTATAGTTGTTACTCCTGTACCATTCATCCATCATCATAGGCCACAGTACCTTAGATTGGGCCTGGATTGTGAGTTAGGTTCTATAAACTTTTAGATTTTTTAATTTTTAATTTTTTTAATTTAACCAGATGAATTTTTATCTCTTACAAACTATTTGTCAAAACAAGGATCGACGGGGCTCACTATTTGATTATAATAAATCTGATTAGAACCATGAGTTTTTCAGCACTATATTTTAGGATCTATCACTTTTAGTCTTTCATGCATGAATGAGCCAAATCCCCAGACTCTACTCTAAAAGTTAGAAACCCTTTTTTGAGCACTGTAGGTCTAAACATGATGTCTAAATCACAAAATTGTCACTATGAAATAAATTGAAGTGTGTCATACATATATTTATTTAGAAATATATGCACATATATTTGAACAATTAAATTCACTAATTTCGTGGTCCTCTTGACCAATTAATACTTTACAATTAATTAAGGTTTTTAGTTGAGATGAAAAAAAGTTAATGACACGAGGGATTTGAACCCACGACCTTCAGCTAGATACGCCGCTGCTCTGTGACCTGAGCTATTGTGAACTCGATCCACTCGGACATCAACTCCCCATCTCAACCCCACCTTATGAGTTTTCCCTCCTTTTGCCATTTTTTCAAATGTCGTGTAATCATTTGAAAAAATGGCAAAAGGAGGGAAAACTCATAAGGTGGGGTTGAGATGGGGAGTTGATGTCCGAGTGGATCGAGGTCACGATAGCTCAGGTCGTAGAGCAGCGGCGTATCTAGCCGAAGGTCATGGGTTCGAATCCCTCTTGTGCCATTAACTTTTTTTCATCTCAACTAAAAACCTTAATTAATTGTAAAGTATTTGAACAATATAACTTTTTTGTATATTTGGTATAATTTTTTGTTTAATCTGTTCCAGCCTCCAGTTTGACCCAGCACCAAGGCGTGGTGAGCCTCATGTGACTCGCAAAACTCCTGACTATTTCCTTTAAGTTATCTCAACCAATACAATTTATTTTTTCCTTTGCTGGGCATCATAAGTTTTTATGGAAAACAAAATTAAATTACAAAAAAGAAAAGAGAATCATTCTAGGATACTTGAAATACTATTACTAGCCGAATAGCTAAAATGATGAAAATAATATTGTACAGACTTTTATCATTAGATAACTTCTTGTTAGTTTTTCAATTTCTGATTATCACTTATTCCTTGACTGTTTAAAACGGAAGATATGGAGGAATTTTTATAGTGTAAAATAATATGGGTTTTTATTATCCGCTAAGTGAGTATTTGAAATTGTGTGAGGGGTGCTTTTATCCACTGTATTTCACATGTCAATAATCAAGCCTTGTCTTATGTAAGTATGTCTTATGTGTACAAATTATAAAAAGAAAAGAAAATATCTTTTGTGTAATACGTAATTGATTAATCCTACTTAATACAGAAAAACAAAAAGATAGAGTGGAGTCATTAGCGTAGGAGGAGTTTGTGTGCGCCATGGAATGTGAATATTTACATTTAAATAGAAACACGATATTGTATGTAAAAACATCAAGATGACTGAATGCTCTGTTTTCCTATTTTAACTGTTTAGTGAATTTATTATTATTATTATTTTTTTTTTTTAGAATTTTGAAGATATTAATACTTGAGATACAAATTATAACATAAAAATTTGAAATTACTATTATTATAAATATACTTTTTAAGAACGAGGCACTACATTTGAGAGGGTCTTTTATATGGTTATATTATAATTATGTGTATTTAAATATAAAGGCTTTTTTAAGAAATGCAAAAATAAATTGGATAAAAAAATGTAATACAACAGTTCATCAGTATTATTTTACGATATATAATCAGTGAATTTAACTCTGGAGAAGCAGTTTGTAAATACAACATTTCCGATTTGATTTAAGTGTATATTTTTTAATATCAGAATAAATTATTATATTATTTATCAAAAACAATCGAAAAAGGTTTGTATTTTTTTTTTTTTTTAATCATGACTATCAAAAAAGAAAACATTTTGAGAAATGGTTGTTAGGATGAGCTTCTCTGTAATTTGTTGTTGTTATTTAGTTTATTTATTGTCAAGCTCACTTTCATTTTACTTTTTTTTAAGAATAAACATAAAACAAAAAATAATAATAAGAATAATATATAATAAAACCAAGAAACTTTGCCACCGAGAGAAGGTAGTCTTGTGGAGGAAAGAAAAGGAGGATTTCTTTGAACATAAAATAACAATGAGTTAAAAAAAATGAATAGAACTTTTTTTAATTTTAAAGCTTGCTGTTTGATAAGGCAAACAATTATAAATACAAAAAACTGCAATGCAAATAAATTTTTGTTGTATCATATTTAGTTTTTTTTTCTCCTTTTGTAGTTTGGATGGTATATTTGACCTTTTGTCCCTTGATGCTTTTTAGATTTTGTTCAAGCATACAGCAAATGTATTATTTATCTGACAATTGAGATAGAATAATTTATATTTAATTCTCCATTATTTATTATCAATTACTTAACTTCTGCTTGCATCTAGACAGCCATTTAGGAACTAAATGATTTTAATTTATAATTCCTTTTGAAGAATATGAACAAACTAAGGCTCAGGATTTGTTTACTAATGTAATATAGGCAGTTTACTTGCAGAAATGAAAATCCTCTTGTAATAAAGTATTTAAACAATTTTATCACCTTTTTTAATTTTTGTACAACCCCACAATTAATCACCATAACAAAATACAGCTCCAAAAGTTTCGAGTATTAAGAGTGTTTCATGATTTATTAATCTATTCCAACAATTAATCTTGGACAAATTTGACATCTTCAAATTTATTTGCAGAATGTTTTTCAAAAAGGGACGTCAAAATCATTACAAAATATTCACGTTTATACTATTATCTCCTTCAAATATCCGTTTGTTTTTAAAAAATCTATTTCCTTTTTTGAAAAACAATATTATAGGGTGTCAGTGGCCGCAAAAGATCAAATGTTGACATGGTATATATCACTGAAAGGTAAAGGGTACCGGGTTCGAATGCACGGCTGCTAGATTCGAACCTGACATACTTACAGATGGTGGGGGGAGGAGGCATTCAGCTTCAGCAGTACCGGTAGACTAGGTCTACTCACACAACAGCATTTGGATGCCCAAAAGCCTCGCACACACAGCTGAAAACGGATATATCACTCACATTGCACACTGAGAAATCGCTTATCCAATGCTTCTGAAACATCTCAAAGACTTGCAGAAACGATTCTTCATTCAGAAGATCAGCATCGGGTTCAGTGTTTACCAGAGACTATCATCAGGACTGCTTAGTTTGCAAGGGAACGCCAACTTTGGACGGAAACTGAATGGTGGAATGTCATGTTTTTAGAAGATTCCCAATTTTTCTCCAGTCACTAGAAGAACATCTTTAAATTTATCAAGCAATTATAGAGTACTATAGCCAATGTGAGTCTTTGGAGGCAAGGCACATTTTTAATTTGTCAGTTAATGCAGAAACCTATGAGACAGACATTCTTGAGTAATATGTGGTGCCATTGCCTGTTATTTGTAAGCAATTCTTGTTTATGCAAGACTACATGTTGCCACCAGTTTTATGCAGTACCTTCATGATGTCCTTGCTTTATAAGAAGGGCCATATATGTATTTAGTAGTCATGAATGATTGTATTTTCAATTTTCTTGCCAAATTTTCTTTCTCTTTCTGTCAAATTTTCTTTTTCATCTCTAGATAAAATCCATTAGATTTTGTGGTCTGATTGACCAAATAACTTATTTCAATGAATTAATCTTTATGTAAGGAGATAAATGTTGAGATAAAAAAGTCGATGTGAGCGGGATTCACAGCGCTGCTCTACCACTTGAGCTATCGTGAATTCGATCCCCACTTGGACACCAACTTCCCATCTTAACCCACCTTTTTACCATTTTTCAATAGCTGGAGGTCGTGGATTCGAATCCCAATCATGACATTGATTATTTTTATCTCAATCAATACCTTACATAAAAAATTAATCAATTTAGATAAAATGTTAATCAATTAAAGTAATAAATAATTACAATTAATTAAGATTTTTAGTTGAGATAAAAAAGTCAATGGCACGAGCGGGATTCGAACCCACGATCTTCGGCTAGATACGCCGCTGCTCTACCACTTGAGCTATTGTGACTTCGATCCTCTCGGCCACTAACTTCCCATCAACCACACCTTTTGAATTTACCCTCCTTTTTTGCCATTTTTCTTAATTGTAATGTATTAATTGGTCAAGTGGACCACGAAATTAGTGAATGTAATAAATAATTATATATATTATATATCATATGTACATTTGCAATTTTTAATTACATATTGGCAAAACACAACCTGTGATTTATTTATATTTTATTTTTTTATAAATCCAGGTTATTTCCAATGATCATGGAAAACAAGAGTAGGCAATTAATAAATTTTGCTGTAAGCTACATATTACATAATAGCTACCCTAACTTTTTTATTTTATACACTGCTATTATAATTTTGATTTTATTTCCAACTGAAACACCATTAAAAGATAATATGAGACAATATTATTATTTATTATGCAATCAGACAGTAAAACTGCACAAGTGACAACAGAATGACTTCTGAAAGCTAGATTAATGTCCATCGCTCTAGCTCGTTTTAACTATTTTTGCTTCATCATCCCAGTTGGTCTTTTTTGAACTTAATAATCTTTAACTTACAATTTTTAAAATTCCTCTGAACTATAATGAGTGGGACATTCACTTGCTGAAAAAGCTAGCATTTATTGTGGCTAAAATATTTTCCACTGGCAATAATCTATCAGTGTTAAACTGCAAGATTTCTTGTTGATGCCTGTTGGGCGATTAACATATATTGTTGTCTCTGATCATCCTGATTGCTGCCTGTCATATTCTGGCATTTTGCCATCTACAGCGGTTAGTAGTATGTGTGTTTACAGTTTTCCTTATTAAGTACATATCCAATACTTAAATATGTAAAAAGCTGTCTGACAAGACAAGACAAGACAAAAATTGTACATTGAATACATTATTCTGAAAAAAAAATTAAATCATAATATATTACTGCTATTATGTAAATTGAACAATCTGCTCTCAGTAAGTTTAACTTGTGCTTGAGAGCAGGAGTTGTAAGCTCACAAATAGTTTTATACGTTATAAAATTCCCCCCCCCACACACACAAAAGCTTAATTCTTCACAATATGCATTATAAGAATGCGTGGAAGCGTTTACTTTAGGAACAATAAATTTTACTAATGCATTTGTTCTTGTAAGACATGATTAAAAATAATTATTTGACTTTTAACATTTTAAAGTCAATGTAAAGTTGTTTTGTATTTATTTAGCAATATTTTTATTAAAGAATTTTGAACACTAATTATTGGAGAAATTTTAGATTTTGTGGTATCACCCCAAACTAAGATCCCATATGATATCAACTGTTGTGCTAATGCAAAATAAACAGGAATATTTCTAAAAATTTTAAATTTATAAAATAATTTTCCAAAATTTTTTACCAAGACATCGTTATGAAACTTAAGTTTAATTTACCATCAAAAATTATTCCTAAATATTTAACGTTTTTAGAAAAGGGTATAATTGGGCAATTAAAGTTAAATGGATTTATACGAATGTAATACTATGTTTTCATTTGAGTTGTTTTGATTTGAGGGACAAATTTAATTTTAGTTTTTCTTTTTTTCTTCATTAATATTTTTTATTATATCATCATAATTCTTGCCATAAAAAGTATAGCTTATAGATAAGTATGTATAATACTGTAAAGCATGTGGAAAAAAATTAATAACAATTTCTTCAGTTAAGTAAACAAGATAAGTAAACAAATTATTATCTTACATCGAACGTTCAGTATTAAAGTTTTTGTATAAGGGGTGGCAACAACGGCTTAAGCATTGAAACGGCATTCATCATTGTAAGGTCCCAGGTTGATCAGCCTTGGGGTCGATTGACCTTAGCTATTGCGAATCCTCTTAAAAAATGGTTGATGTTTCATTTGGTCTGTGTTATTTCTCTGAAGTTAAGCCTATTTAATTTTAAAACAGTAACAACCAAATTGTAGGTTCTTTACTCTGTAGACCACAGGGGGAAATATTGATTGTCCATGAATGAAAAAGCAAAAAGGATAATAAAAGAGAAAAGAAAGAATTTAATGTGTATGTCAGCGATGTTAATGAAATGTTATTTTATGTAATACTTTTCTCTAGCGATATTTTATTTTGATGTTGAGAGTTTTTAAAGTTAAACTTAAGGATATAAATAAAAATTTGGTTCAAACAAACAACCTTATATTATAAAAGAACATGTATTTACAGAATACAAACTTTTCCAAATGAAAAATAAAACGGAAAAGGCCTGCCTATCCATTTATTTACAACAAAATACATAAATAAATATTTTACATTTAAATATTGAAAACTTTCAGATTTTCAATAAAATGTATGCCAGTACAGCCTTTTGGTATTGTTATCTATATAATTAATACTTAGTAAATTCAATGAGAATAATATCCAATGTTCGAATGTGAAAAACAACAATAACAGCTCTTTTAACACAATCACAAATATACCTACAAGGTAGAGAGAACTTTTGAGAAACAGCTTTCTTCGTTTTCTTTTTTTGTGTGAACTAATTAGATATATGAAAGTGATTTGCGTGTTCTAATTTAAAATACAAGTGTGTACAACAACAATAAATCTGAATTTGTTGATGTCTTTTTAAAATTTTTACAGTCGTAAAAAAATTATCGTCTTTACCTCAGCCTTACAGTTTTAGGCCCGTGTCCAATCTGAGTGCTTGCTTCATGAGCTCGTAGACTGAGAACGACACGGCGACCATCGGCATCGCTCGCAGGTAGTTGATACTCATTCCTCGGTACAAACCTCGGAAGATTCCATTCTCCTTGTATATTAATAAAAGTGTCTGAACCATACCCATTCTAAGAAGCACAGAAAAAAACTTAATTAAAACCAGAATAGAAACATATTGCAAAATAAATGTCAGGAGTATATGGCAAAGAAATATAGATTTATTAGTTTAAAACATTTGAATGTTGAACTATTGTCATTATGAGGTGAACAGATTTTCTACAATTAAAAGGATTGTAACATAGTGCTCTCTCAGTAATTATTGTAGGGGGTATTTGGATTACAGAAGGTTTAAAAAAATACATTTATAAAAATATATATATACATTATAGCCCAACACTATAATCATTTCATACACAAAACCTATTAGAATACATATACTGCCAATTTTTCATTAAAAAAATTAGTTAACATTTTCTTAATTGCTTTTCTCTCTTTTTCTCTCATTTTTAAGCAGTAATTACATTATACTTAATTTGTATAGTCAATACTAGTCTTGGTCTTTTGTATGACTTTCTCTGTCTCACTTAGTCACTCACTTATCACTATCTCTCTTTCTCATATTCTCTCACTCACTTTCTATCTCTTATCACTCGCTTACTGACATTCTCACTTTCTCTCATTCACTCACCTTCTATCCTCTCAACACTTACTTACTGACACTCCCTCTCACCCTCTCTCTCTCTCTCTCTCTCTCACTCCTACTTAACCCCAATATTGTTTCTTTTGTTTCTTTTACAATTCTGACTTCTTAAATGTTTTCCACTTTGGATTACTCGAACGTTCGCAGTACTGAATTCAGATTAGGGAGAGAGCACTATACTTAAAAATTAGATATTCTTTTGTCAGTCTAAAGGATCTGTGAAAAAACACATTAGCCAAAGAACAATATGCAAGATTTAAATGATGCAGTTAGTTAAAATATATTTAGCAAATATATTTTAGAGTGTACTCTCAATTTTTACAAATACATATCATGCAAAAATTTAAAGAAGAAATAAACAATTTTAAAATAAAGGTCGTTATTTATTTATTCTTTTAAAGCAGTTTTGGTGAAGGTCAAGCTTGAAAGTGTTTTAATAAATGAAGAATTGTGTTTTCTCAATAATTTGCAAAACAGGAGGAACAAATTTTAAACCAAAACCATTTATATTAATATAAAAAAGTTAACAAAAAACGTGTGAGATATGAAATCTCAAGTGTAGGAAAAAGAAAGCAATCTGCAGGGATAGGATGTTAGTTGGAAAAATAAGGTGTTTCCTTATCATAATAATTCACAGTCACACAATCATAAATAAATAAAAAAACATTTTGGATTCTGATTATTTAAGAATAATTAAAAAAACAAAACAAAAAATAAAATAAAATGGTAACTTACTCTCTATTATTTTGAGTGGCCAAAACCAATAACATGTAAAAAAAAGAGAAAAAATTGAAATTAGTTAATGTGCAGCTATTTGCCCTGACTTATATTAGTATTACTTACACCAGAAGTGCAATTTGTACAAAGGATTTTAGGAGAAAATATTAATAGAACCATTATAAAATAATTCACCCGTATTTGTAAGTTGCTGGATCCATCATAGCCAGTTGCATTCTCCTACGAGTTACATCCATTGGGTAGGCAATACTTTGAGCAATTGATCCGGCAAGCCCCCCACAAACAAGCTTAGCAGGTATTAGTAGAACGAGTCCACCTACCCAAGAAAAATTTATATTCGTTAAATGATTAACTAGTATTAGGACAATTTTATAATAGACGTGATCGAGTAAAGTAAAAAATCAGGATCCAAGAATTTATGAGTTAAAGAGCTCAATTATCACAAACCAGTATTATTCGAAGAAGGCACACAGGTCAAATCTGGAATGTATTTCATGCAGCAGAGTTTCAGCATTTCAAAACAATAGAATGATAGGCCTGCATATGGAATCATTCCACACAGAGTAGGCACGAAACCTCTGTACAACCCTTTAATCCCTCCTTCCTGTCAAAACACAAATTATAGGTTTTTTATTTTTTTTTAATTTTATTTTTTTAAACAGTGACATACATGCTGAAATATCGAAGTTGCTGCATGAATGATTCCAGTGTAAGTCTCACCCCCAGTTATTTGAAAGGCCAGTCTCGCTCTTATCGTGTCTAATGGGTATGTTAAAAGGACTGCTGTGGCGCCAGCGCTAGATCCAGCTAGCAGCTTACTCAAGTGAGATTTTGAACCTAGGAATGAGTTAAAAACCTGGAAAAAAATTGTGTTAAAAAAAACTTTCTTTTTTTAAAATTTTAATATGCAAATATTTTACCTGAGTGTACAATTCAAAAGCAGTAAATTGGGTTGCAGCATAGGGAAAAACCCTAACCATTTGGGCCCCATTTCCTTTGTACAAGGCCAATAAAGATTCTCTTTGTACAACTTCTTTTATTCCAGAAAATACACCTGAATTAAAAACCAAAATTACAACTGAACAAATGTATAAAGAGAGTTTACTCGAATTTATTATATTTGTAAAGAGAAGTAGAAAAATTTTAATGAGACAATGTTTTTAAATTCAGAAGGGGTAAATTCAGAACTAGTTATAATTTATTATCAAAGTAAGAATGTAACACATAAGCCAAGGAATATCTAATTGCATCTTACTGAATCTCTGCAAGAAAATTATACTTTGCCAGTTAATTGTCTAGTTAAATATAATAATAGTGGGGGTGAATCACTGCCAAGTTTAAAAGTATAAGTTCAGAGGTATAAGCCAGACTGAGTGTTGTTTCTAACAATGCCGAATTTTTAATTTAAAAGTCAAGATTTCTATTTGTTAAAGCACTGCACATAACTTAGAAAACATTTTTAGAGAAGCGTAAAAAATATGTCCACAATGGTTTTTCCTCAGAATAAAACTGACTGTTATGGTTGGAAAATTAGCATAAATTTTCATTGTAAATCCTGAACCTTGGCTGGTTAGACGAAACAGTTTTATCTAATCTGATTGTTTTTTTTTTTCTGTGATGACAAAAATGACTCAGGAATGTATTGAACTGTTATAAATAGGTTCCATAAAGGATTGTAATTTTATTCAGTGACCTTTGAAAAATTTGACCATTGTGTGTGAAACGGCATCACAATTCAGTGTATTAACATTAATTCACACAATAAAAAGCTAGTGAATGAATTTAAGAATTAAAAAAAAGTATTTTTCACACTTTTCACAGGGCTACTATTAAAAGTAATCTTAAAGTAAAGAAATTTTTGTAACACAGGAGGGATTAACAACTAACTACCCACTGGGTGTCGCGGATGAGGATCAAACCACTTCACAAACCCTTTTTCATATCATTCTTATTTAAAATTCTATGGAATATACCAAAATTTGACCCCCCCCCAAACTGCTGGCATGGCAAATTCGACAACTATTTTTGTTGTTGTTAACAAATGGATGTAACTGATATGTTGTGGATAGTTTTAGGGCCAGCAAATGACATTGGTCTTCACCTGCCCTCTCATACATTGCTGTTCTCCTTTTCTTCATTATTTTATTCCTACTTATTCATTTCTTGACGCTGCAGCCAAATTATTATTCACATCTATTAAATTTTGCAAGTTAACGTGACCTTATTTCCTTATTCTATTGCCAGCCTCTCTTAAAATAACTATTAAAAAAATAAGAAATAAAACTAAATAAATGGAAAGAAAATGACTGTAAAATTTGGGAGACAAATTTAAAAACAAAATGGTTGCAATTTTTGATAGAAATTTATTTAAAACAAAGAGTAGGTGCAACAACTGGCAGATTAAAAAAAAGGAAAAGAAAAATATTAAACACATAAATTTCGAGCTTTTGTTTTGAATTACTTAACATATTTTCAAAGCTTTTGCTTTCTGAAGAAAATAACTCATATATACAAAAAGGGGGTGCCGGTGGCCGCAACGGTTTAGGCGTTGACAAGGTGCTCGTCACTGTAAGGTAAAGGTCTCAGGTTCAAATCCAGTGGCCCTGCATTCGTACCCGACATACTTACAAATGGGCTTTCTTTCAAAAACACCACCACCCTGAGGGTTTATATGACCTCTGCTGTTGAAACCCTCGTTAAAAAAAAAATCAAGTTCCATGTTTTGTTTTTTGGAAGTAAATGTAAATGACTACTCTTTTATTTATTGTATAATAATGAAACATTCATGAAAATAACTAAAACTTTTGTTAGAAAAAAATAGTTTTTGAAGCTTTTGTTTTATACAATCAATTACATATATATTTTCTGAAGCTTTTGCTTTTTGAAGAAAATGATTATCACTATAGAGAGAAAAATCCAAAAATATTTTTTTTCTGAATTTTTTACATAGAGTATGTAGACAATAATCTTGGTAAAAATAATCGTCCACGCTTTTGTTTTGGAAAGGGTATGACGATTACTGTTGGGCTAAACAACACCTTTAATATTTTTCCCAGTTTCTTTGTCTCTGATAAATGACATGTATAAATCAATATCCAAATAAGGACTTAAAAAAATGAACCCATTTTGAAACCTTTTCAAGATTTTAAAAACAAAAAACGTATTCTTAAGCTTTTGTTTTTCAAAATGTTAGTGAAGTGGGAAACAATTTAGAAATATTCCAAGACCTCATTTGAGACATTTTGGTTCTGATAGACTTAGAATCAATAAAATGTTAAAAAATCGATTATTTCTATGTTCAGTTTTAGAAACAAAAACTGATTTTTAGAAGCGAGTAAACGATTACTGACGGAAAATAAACAATAAAGTCTAATTTTAGTAAGTGCCTGGGGAGCACAAACCCCGCTTCCTAGTTTCATCATCATCAACTAATTTTAGCAAGATCTAGAAAGGACTATTGGCTTCTGACTTTTGTCAATATTTAAACCATGTTTTTCAAGTGAAGTTTTAAGATTTTATTAAGATTTCGATCAAACCGTTGGAAAAATAGAAAAAATCGTCGCCAAAGGGCCGGGGAATTTTATTTGTCGATACGCAGTCCAACTCTTTTAAGGAATGAAAAAATTGTCAGTAATTTCTCGTTTGTTGTATTTGCATAATTGATTTTGTCAGTGTTCGATATTTACGTCATTTTGTTGGGGTAGCGTTCAAATTATTTGTATACTTTTAGGGGGGAAGATGACGATACATTTATTATCGCCCTTAATTAGCATTTTAAAACAATTGTTTTGCATATTTCGGCATAATTTTTAAAGATTAATTATTTCATTTTTCTAAGAGAATCTGTAATTTGACGTTTTTTACTGCTTGATCAGCTTCTTCTGGCTATATACGTTTATTCATTTGCCTAATATGTTAATTTATCAAGTAATTTAGGAACATTTACGAAGGTAACACAGTGTTGTATCGCATTGGTAATTTTTAACGGATGGAGAATGTATGACCTCAGAGCCATCGAGATCCAGCGGACCATATGAATAACTGTCATGGTAGTTCATGATCACAGATATAAATAGTAATTCAACAAAATTCAGCCAATAAACAGACTCGATATCTAACTGATATGCCAATTGCTAAGTGCAATTCAATAAATGGATTTTGATGCCAAGGTCTTTCGTTAAAAGCTACTGGTACTTACCTAAATGACTGTAATGACTGTTATGGGCCTGGAAAAGAATTTTTATCCTGTCGAGCGGTGCCACAGCAGATTTCGAACACATGCCAGCCACCCCTGAAAAAAATGACAAAATTTAATTAAACCGCCAACATTGATAGTAGTAACTATTGATAATAAATCAACCATTATCTGTCATAAAAAAAAATTTCAAACTGACAAATTAAAATTACACTAGTTTACGAAGTCCGGCTAACAAAGGTATACTATAAATAACTTAAATAATAGCCGCCATGTCCAGAAAAATAAAGATCAAAATTAGTTTTTTTACACGAAGTAAACTTGCTAGAAAGTTATTCTAAACACGATGGAAAAATATTACTTTTTAAGAAGCGAGCACGCCACACACACGCATTTTGAACTGTATGTTTTTTTATCTACTTTTTTATGTGCTTGACCTCATGTGAATTCTAAGTAAACAGGAATCAATTTAACAATATCAAACCGTAATTAGACAAATATTAAAAAGTTTTTCGTGTCAGCAGGACAGGAGTAAACTTTTTTTTTCTAATTCTTTCCAACACCGCAGGGTACCAAAGCGAAATATTGCTGATCAATTATTTATTTTATCACTATTATTAATAAAGGCAAACAACCACTAAGGGTCGTAATCTTGAACAGAAGACTAATTTTTGCTATGTAAAATTTACAGAAATAGTTCATTCAAGTGGTAATTTAACACGAATTAATATACCAAATCTCATTGGGTCACCCGGTCAATGACGCGACGAAAATGATTATCGCTGCTAGGATTCCATCAGGCTAAACATGTTTGTTTTAGTAGGTCATTTTTGTTCATTTTACTTTGTGTGTGTGAGTGAGAGAGAAGAGAGAGAGAGAGAAGAGAGAGAGAGAGAGAGAGAGAGAGAGAGAGAGAGAGAGAGAGAGAGAGAGAGAGAGAGAGAGAGAGAGAGAGAGAGAGACGTAGAAATAAAAAGGCCCAGCCTGGAAGGATTTTTAAAGCTAAAAAACAGGATGAGAGCGAGTCAAGAGAGATGTCTTTCCCCAAAATTTTGGCTATATTTGGCTGAAATTGGATAAAATTGATTGTTTGCTTCAATTATCTAGTTTCTTGCAACTCCTAATAGAAAATTTTGGGGATGGTAGCCTGCGGTACTCGACTAATGATAGAAGGCAGGTACTTGCTCAATAGGCTCGTGAAGCATGGTTTTATAGGAATGTACTAGTACAGTATTTCAACTTTTAAAATCGTGCCTCTCTCTTGCTCAGAAGGAAGAGATATATAAGTTTATTTTTTTTATACTTTTTTAATTAAATAAATAAATAATATCTTAGTTCATAATTGTATATATATATGGTATTTTCATTGTTTTCCTCCAATTATTTCAACATGCCCCGATTTTTTCTTTTTAATCGTCATTGCTTGTTTTTTGTTTTTTATATATTACAATTTTTTTGACGATATTGATTTAGTATTTATTTGCAGATGATCTTTTCCATGCTATTATAGCATGCTAATAAAAATCTTTACTTACTTTAAAATATTGTAAACTGTTGAAATAATAAATTAAGCATTATATTATTATTATAGAAAAATTTGTCGCAAGATTTGTCCTCAGTTAATCATTAATTTGCTTTAAAAAATTATGAATAGATTTGCTATATTCAAATTTAAACACTTTTATTCTCCTTGTCAATCTATCACACGCTCTTTCTTTATGCAAGCCTATTTGAGAATTATTTCCTTGCATTAAGACAGAAGACATTTTCCCTCGGATCTTGTGCAATTTTCTTCTGCAATCATGTAATTTCTTTGTTTTCTATCTCGTGCATTGTTAATAAATTAATTTAAAAAAAAAATTACTTAAGAGACCGAGAATTTGCGGAGGTCAAGTAGAAATTTAATTGTGAGATATTTCCAGCCTTTCTTCCCATCTAAATACATATTTATGTAGGCCAAGGTCTCTAATGAGCATATAAATGTATCCAAATTTCCAATTGGTTGGCTTCCAGGTACATTTTAGTGATACTTAACAAATGTAAACTGGCAAACACTGCAGTACATCTTACTCGTAAACATAACTTATAAGTTACGACAATCATAATGTTTACTGATTAAAAACGCATGATTAGAATAAAATCCGTTATTATTTGATACGGGGCTGTAAAAAGTCAAACAAGGTATGAAAAGCCACAAATGAAACTGAGGTAAGAACAAACATTCCAGACATTTTTCCGTTTGTTCAACCTTGGCAGTAAATATTGGCCCTGCTGGTAGAGATGGACAGGCCAGATTTAAATATACACTACATCTGATATAATTCCACGCGTAAACTATTCTCTAGTTATGTTATTTATCTTTGATATTTATCTTTATAGTTGAGTTATGTTCTTGTTACATGTTACGTTGTAGTGAGTGAAATTGTCACCTCTGATCCGCCCATCGTCGCTGTTGTCCCATACTGGCATAAAATGCTCTTTTAGGCTGATTCCTCAAGGGGTTTGATACAAACAACAATGGAAAATGAATGAAAATATCAAACCTTTTACCAGTAAAATTCTTGAATGTTCAAAGCGGAATATTTGATTGTAAAGGATTTTTTTGTTGGTTTACTTGTTTATCTCAAAAGAGAACAATTTAAAATCAAACAAAAATCTTGTTTAAACTGCTTTAAAGACTTATAAGAGGTTTTCATCTAATTAAAGTTAAAAACAATATAAAGTTATTAATTTATACTTATATTTTTTTGCCACCTTAATATTGTTTTTATGACAGTCCGTCATTAGTCAGTATCATCTCAGTAAATATCTCAACGGGTTTGATAACAAAATTCGAGACCATTCTTTTAAGACAATAATGTATAATTTATGATAAATATAATTGTTGTGTATATAATATCTACTCTTAAGGTGGAATAAATTAAAATTAGCTTTGTGTACTATCTGCTGAAAAGTTTGATATGCAAAAAGGTTTTAGCTTGTAAAGCTATATGTTTCTGACAAAATTCCAATATGGAAACATTCATTTCTGGACATTTCCGAGATATTATCGTAATAGATAGTATTGTATTTAATTACTGAAACCACGAGTTTGATTCGTGAATTTATATAGCGCGATATTGTTAGTTATCGTGGTCATGAGTACAGTAGAGTGTGACATGTAAAGAACAGAAAATTCCATATTAAAAAAAATCCATATATGAAATGCAGAATTGTTTAAACGACAACAAAGAAAGCAAGTGAAAAAAGAAAAATCGACACTTTAAATCTCTGGAGACATGCCCAATTCGTTGCCACCAGATGAATTTTTATGACAAACAGTTTCACTTTGGAAAATGAACGAGATAACACGGACACAAAGGTCGTCGCTTTTGACAAGGCAATTTAAAAATTTGGTTGTTTTTATAATAGCGAGTTAAACCCGTATCTTTTTAACGCAACGAAACACGGATTTGGCGAGTCTTTACTGTTTTTAATGCTAGAGGGAAAGTGTATTTTTATTTTTTGATTAGGAAAGGATGATGTACCAGGCATTTTAATGGTCGGAATTTAATCATTGAGTAACGTTAAAGAGTCTCAAACAAGAATTACTTGGCGAAAAGCCCATATTTCTCTTTTTTCTTAAATCTAGTTGACGTTTAGTTCTAGGATGGTTCGTAAAGAAAATGTCCAAGTTTTAGCAAAAATGTTCGTAAAGAAAATGTCCAAGTTTTAGCTAGAAAAATGTTCGTAAAGAAAATGTCCAAGTTTTAGCTAGAATGTTCGAAAAAAAATGTCCAAGTTTTAGCAAAAATGTTCGTAAAGAAAATGTCCAAGTTTTAGCTAGAAAGTTCGAAAAAAATGTCCAAAGTTAGGTTCGATGATTCGTAAAGAAAATGTCCATGCTTTAGCTAGAAAGTTCCTAAAGAAATTAACAATATTTAGCTCAATGGTTCCTAAACAAAATGATCAAGGTTAAGCTCGATGGTTCTTAAAGAATATATCAAATTTTTAGCTAGAACGTTCCTAAAGAAAATCCCTAATGTTTAGCTCGATAGTTTTGAAAGAAAATGTCCGAGCTTTACCTAGAATGTTCCTAAAGAAAATGATCAAGGTTTAGCTAGAATGTTCGAAAAGAAAATGTCCAAGGTTCAGTTCGATGATTCGTAAAGAAAATGTCCACGCTTTAGCTAGAATGTCCCTAAAGAAAATAACCAATATTTAGCTCAATGGTTCCTAAACAAAATGACCTAGGTTAAGCTCGATGGTTCTTAAAGAATATATCCAAGTTTTAGCTACAAAGTTCCTAAAAAAAAGCCTAACGTTTAGCTCGATAGTTTCGAAAGAAAATGTCTGAGCTTTAGCTAGAATGTTTCTAAAGAAAATGACCAAGTTTTACCTAGAATGTTCTTAAAGAAAATGTCCAATGTTCAGTTCGATGATTCGTAAAGAAAATGTCCACGCTTTGCTAGAATGTTCCTAAAGAAAATGTGGGGGGGGGGTCGGTGGCCGCAACGGTTTAGGCGTTGACACGGTGCTCATCTGTAAGGTAAAGGTCCCGTGTTCGAATCCCAGCGGCCCTGCATTCGCTAGAAAGGTCATAAAGAAAATGGCCAAGGTTAAGCCTGATGTCTCGTTAAGAAAATGGCCAAGGTTTAGCAAGATGGTAGCTTAAATGCATGTGTCCTTATTATGTTTTGGTTATATTATGTCGTAATTAACGTAGTGGTTCAATGGCTCGGCAGTTTAAATGAGGGACAGTTCAATTTTTAAAAGATGCACTTTCTGGGCATCTAGAAGATATCTAGGTTAGGTCTAAACTCAACATTATTACAACCGTTAGAAAGCTTAATTTGTCCTTTTTCAGCCAATGTAAACAAGTTTATATATATGTGTCATTAAAAGTGAGAAAAAAAATGAAATCAACATTTTTTTTATTTTATACTTCCAATTCTAATTTATATGCGAAAATCAAATCTATGTCGTATCTATGATCGTTTTATTCTATAAATACTAGATACTATTATAGATAGTAAAACATATTGACAGCACAACTTCATCGTGTATAATTTTTAAATGGTATATGGTATAGACTAGAACAATAAAAATATTCTATT